TCACCGTCAATCATATTCTGTATGTTGTGATGAGTTTTTATGCTGCAAAGGGTCTTTATTGGATATATTTACAAGGGATGCAATTACCACTACCTCTTTTGAGCACTTTCAGTTGTGCATGTCTTTCAAGTAAACATTCTTTCCTTTCCTGCTTCACACTGGATAGTAAATTTAGTTGTTGAAAAAAACGACATGAGGCCAAAATCTGCTAAATTTATTCTGTGTTATTATGTTAATTTATTTCTTGGTCATTACAGGCTATAGCGTCTGAAAAGAGTTTATGTGATCAAGGATACCCACATCAGGCTTTAGAGGAAACTGAATCGTAGCCTGGAAACAGGTTGGTGTTATGGCTGGCCTGCTGGTGAAGTTTGGATCAAATTCAAGGCTGTGAGTCAAACTCTCAATCAAACTCTTTTTTTCCAGTGTTCCCACTAATGAACGGCACTAATTGATTGAAAACGCTGGTGGGAGGGGATGAGCGAGCAGGGTGTTATAGTGTGAGAGAGTGAAGGTTTGTGGGTTTGAACACAAATAGCATCTGGATCGGGTCCAGACTTCTGTGGGGGCCCACAGTGGAAGGCCTTGAGTATTGTACGCAGAAAAGAGGATATTATACTGAGTACAGTAAATCAGGGGAGCAGACACAGAGAGACGGACAGCTTTGACCCTCTGAAGCTGCTGCCCTGCTGCGAATGAAAACATGTTGGAGTAAACTAAAAATATTCTGTGGGCTGGATCATGGTGTGCAGTTGTTGCTTTATAAAGGGAATACATGTTTGATATACTGTATGTGTAAATCACAGCCATCTTTTCTTCTTTTTTCTTTTTCTTCTCTTCACCAAGAACTTAATGCATTCAGTAACACCCAAATCCAGGGAACCATGTCTTTTTTCCTTAATAAGTTCTCACAAACAAGTGAGCATGGGTATGCAATCACTGAGCTCCTCATTTGGGAAGAGAGAGGTTACCACCACTGCAGAAAAAAATAATTTGTATGCATGGATCTAAAACCTTATTTTACCTCCAAAGCTTTGGGCCCTTAAGCCAAGACAGATCAACTATCAAATCAAAACCTTTGTTGTTCAGTTTGGGGGCACCGTCTCTCACTCAACCCTGCCTCCCATTTCACCCTCACCAGTAAAAAAAACTCAAAGTATCAGCTGTGCTCCACTTTGGACAGACCTATTGAGACCTAAAATATACTGTTTGAAATGGGTAGGCAGTTTCCAGCTTCAAAGATTTCTGTTCAAGCTATTATCCACAGCAGCACTGTGAAACAAATTCCTCATTCTATTCAAAACGGGATTATTTAATGTTCAAATCCAGTGAGAGAGGAGGCTGAACTGTGCAGGTATGGAGGCTGAAAATGTGTCTGGGTTGAACCTTCACAAATTCACAAATAGTCTGATCAGTAGGGGAACAATGTTGATTTTTGCAACAAACCATGTTTTACATTAAAGCATGGGTATGCATCACAATAATGATTTACATTTCATTGAAAGAAAACTTAGAATAGATCTCAAGATTGAGAGAATAAGCTCGAGTTAATGAGTAGCTCTAAACCTGTAAAAAGCACAAGTTGCATTTAGACAACAGAAATGTGATATGTAGTTTTCATCATAGGACAGCACACGCCAACATTTAGTTTTCACAGCCAACACTGGAGGTTGGGGGTGTAGTGGGAAAACCATAATCCCAGTTTTGGATGCTCAGGAGGTATTCAACCCTCATGGGCTGCTGTCAAGTGCCTGACCTTACAGCAAAACATTGCAAGGATTTGGTGCAAATATCTGAGATATGTTTGGGGATTTTTTTCTTTATGTTCTACATGATAATTGATTGACTTCAGTCAGCTACCATCACCAATAAGATTCAATGTGGAAATGTTCCCTTTTTATAAGCTGGTCAGCAAACTTCTGTCTCCAATCCAGCCAATCTTGACAGAGTATAAATATGTTCACATGTATTTCAGCTTCATGTGCGAAAGACAGAATCTCCTCATCCAGCTCCATTAATTTGACCCTTTCAAGGTTGTGTCCACACCTGTCAGTGATTATCATAGTGCACTTATCCAAAAGGATGCAAGAGTTGTTCTCTTAAATCATATGCTATTTTGTCCTTTTTGGTGCACTGTAGTTAAGCTGCTGCAATATCTTACTGCTTCCAACACCTTTGCATTTTTTTAACGGCTCAGGCAGACACCTACATTGGGTTTGAGCCACCACCTATGAGCTAAGCATACAGGTGCAGCCAGACTGATGTGAGCTGGCAACCACATCATAAAAGTTAGTAGAGCACCACAGACCTGTGGGTGTCACTAAATTAAAGACATTTACCACATATGTACAATGTATGTACAAGATGTACAAGACTTGGGAAACCAACCAAAGTGGAACTCCTGACAAGTGCGAATGCTGTCACATTAACCATGCAGGGATCGCTGGTAAGAACTGCTTTGCATAAAGGAGTGATGCGAAGTGCTGAAATATATCCACTTTCTACTGAATCTTGAGATTGTCTATGTTTGTGACAAACACACTGTATGTAAGTGACAGCATCAAAATGTATTGGCTTAAACTTTAAGAGCCACTCCGATCAAAATCATGTCTTTCTTGTTTTTTACATGTTCATATGGCATTTTTCTGATGCTACAGGACATATCATGAGAAAAATAAGTGTGAAATGCATTTGAGTATCTCTGCATTCAAATCGCTGTGAATCTCTGGCGGACCCAAACTGCAGGATCAGTTTCAGTGAGATTTCCTACATAGCAAATCCAAGCTCCGCCCCCGGAGCCCCACTATGCAGGCCAGACTCAGAAAAGTAGAGAGGACGATCGCAGAACAAGCATGTGCGTTAGCAAATTGCAATGCTCATAAGAAATCTAGTTACGATATTAACTTTCATTATGTCCCTAAAGACATTAGTGTCTGAGAGCGGAATAGAACCTGTTACCTGCTTCTGCCACACCAACCGTGTTATAGGCTACAAGCTAGCATGAAGACGAGTGTGCAGAACAGCACTGTCTCTGCCCACGACTCAGAGGTGAATTGCTAATGAGCTACTGGAGCTCTGCAGAAGAAAAGCCCTTGAAAATGAGACAGGTAACATGAATTTGGCAAAAAGAAAAAAAAACTTCATAATCTCAATTTAAAGACCACTGATAACACTTTAAGAATTAAAAAAAAAGTTAAGTGGGACTTATAATGTCTGTATTGTTCTTATATGTCTCATTATGTGTCATTCATCGTTTGTTTCAGCTTTGTCTCGCATAATTTTTGTCTGTAAAACAAATGACTGGCATCTCTTTTTTTTATAGTAGGAATACAGTGTGCCTGTTCTCAGGAAGTACTGTTAGTAACACACTGACGACACACAGTGTAAGAATGGCATTTGAACCGTGAACAGTGTGAAATTTAACAAGATATAGAAACATGTAAGGCCTAGACAGCCTGAACATGATAGAAAAGGAGAAATATGTTCGTGTGTGCATCCTGCAATATGTATTTGTGAGTTTGTTTTTTTTTATTATTATCTGTTTTTTTTTTTTGTTTGTTTTTCCAGATTCACAACCATGACAACATAGAGGATAGCAGAGACTGAATACAGAGGCCCATCCTCCGATAAGTCTCCTTGAGAGAAATAAAGTACCAGGAAGTTGTCTGGTGGACAGAGCTTTACTTATAGGAGATAAAAATGGTGTTAAATGCAGCAGAGAAAATTTCCACCTGATCAGTCAAGAAACCAACCAGAGTGGGGTCTCCTATATCCAGGGCTTTGATACTTTAAATGCCGTGTTGTGCTGTAATTTTAGAGGGAACATGATTGTGCTAATGTCCCAAATACAGTAGCTGAAGTAGCCCTTTCTGCTCTTGGAAGGATACAGTATGTAACTGGTTGACGTAAGTGCATCCACTCTCAGCATACCAATCCTGCTGGAATCCACCAATCACAAAACAGAAGGTGACGGTTTTTCTGTCTTTTTAATGAAACAAAGACCTTTGGGAATGCATATGCAGAAAATGAAATTACACAAGGTCCTTGAACATGGAGGAATTTTAATATTCACTTCTAAGATTGTGTTTTAATTCCATCTCAGGAATTCCTCCTGAGCTGAGTTCATCTCTGAATGAAAGCCAAAGCTAAATAATTTGACCACTTTATCTACCTTTTAAATAAACCTATTTGGACATTCTGCAGTTGCACCAACTTTCTCACTAAAGAATTCATCTTTTTTTACTCATCAGCGTACCATATAAACATAATGTATTACATTGAGTTTGAGCTGAATAAACTGATTTTATAAATTATATAATGTGGCTAAAATTTTGATTCACATAAGTATTTCCATTTAATTTAGCTAGTCTTCCTCTCTTTTTCAGTTCAAAGGTTAACCAAGCACTTCTTTCTATACTCTTCTGACTCTTAATGCACATTTGTGTTCATGGACAAACTGTCTTAAGAACATTTATTGAATAAAAACTATTAAAACAAAGGGACTTGGCAGTTTGGGAAATTCAGACTTGTGGGTGTGGGGAGTCAAACCACAAGTCAATTCGATATGAGGGGTTTTTACAAAAGTACGCTGATGATACCACAAATTATTATATTTTTATTATTATTATAGGATGTAAATGTAGCAGTAGTAATTGCTGTTGCTGCCACTGTCATACAGCATGAAGAAGGAGGAAGGAGACGAGGAAAGGAAACATGAGCTGTTGCTCCATCTATCTATTTATCTATCTAACATACTGTGTGTGTATATATATATATATATATATATATATATATATATATATATATATATATATATATAAAATGTTTTACTTCTTATATATAACTAAACCTCCCACATTTATTCAGCCACATTTTATGACTAGGCCCCTTTCCATCATGCTTCAGATGGCTTATATCGGTTTAGCTATGTGTTTATTTCTAAAAATAAATTCACTGAAAATAAAAACAAAAACCTAATAAAGAAGCTCAAAAAAACCATGTTTGATATCTTAAATTAAATTTATTCAAAAACAACGACAGGACTGAAATATTGTGCTCATAGACAGGATCACTTATAAACAAACGTATACAACACTTCTCCACTGAAATGTGAAATATCATACTTTACACTTCTGTACATAACTGCAGTCAATACCATTTTCGTCACTATAGAAATAATGCCATAAATAAAGTGGGCGCTGCTGCTGGCTGCTTGCGCCTCCTCAAGAAAAGTGCAAATCGAAGTCGGCTCGTTATTCGTCGAGGCGCACGGAATCAAAAATCAGTCACTCCTTCTCAGAGGAGCTGGAGAGCATTTCTCACTGCTGCTTTAAAGTGCAACTGACAGTTTAGAGGGGGGATATTGTGGGAATATGTGAAAACGTTTGCCCTTTTATACACAATTAAGATATTGTATATTTAAAAAAAATCATTGAAGTTTATAATTTCCAAAAATATCAAGTGTGGAGGAATGTTGTTCTCTTTTCTTTTCAGACCTCTCGTCGAGGCTTCATTTTTCAAGGAGGAACATGAGCAAATATGCGAGTCTCCAGAATCTGTAAACATATATTTAACTTCATTTATGGCTCTTCATGCAACGTGTTTGTTCGATTTCTGAGTGTTTCTCTCATTGTTCCAGTTTTGTTGCATCAATTAATGTGTCGAAATATGACATTTTTAAATGGCTTGCATTTTAAACTGATGGCCATTTCATAAGGGATGATTCTGTTTTCAAAAGTGTTTTCGTCAGGTCAACAACTGAAATGTAAAAATAATGGACTCAGTAAAAGCTTGAATGCCATAGTTGTTGTGGATGTAATTAAAAGTCAGTGGAAAAAGTCTCAGTCGTTATTTTTACTCGACTCCTGGTCGCTCTGGTCGTCGGTGAAACACACATCCACATCACTATCATTGTCGCTCTTGTGGTCCGCGTCCTCGAACAGGCCGCTCGCTTTGTCGTCCAGTTTCTTGATGGTCTGCCCGGGATGCCTGGACTTCACATGCCTCTCTAGGTCCCGCCTCCTTACGAGCACCTTTCCACAGAAGTCGCACCTGTAGGGCGTGTTTCCCTCCGCGTGGAGGCGGATGTGTTTGTTCAGGTTGCTGGGGTCTCCGAATGGCCTAAAACATACTTTGCACTTCAGTGGCTTATAACCCGTGTGAGTCCTCATGTGGATTTTCAGGCCGTATTTTCTCGAGTACAGCTTTCCACAGTATAGACACAAGTGCCCTTTTTTCGGCTTGCCTGACCCGGTGCTGCCGGTGCTACCGGCGGGAATCGAGTCCAGCCTTGTCCGGTTCTTCTCCGCTGCGATTTCTGACAGCTGTTGCGTGTGCATAGCAATCTCCCGGTCAATGTTGGTGATGGAGCCCAGGTCTTGACTGAGAGGAGGCGCACCGAAGTAGGACATGGACTCGGGATACTTAAGGAGGTTGCTGAAGTGGAATTTAAGTGGATAGTAAGGTGAGCTGTACAGGAGCTCCCCGTTATACACAGTGAAGGGCATTAGCGGGATGTTACAGTCCCCTCCATATGTCTTCACACCGTCGAAATGAGGGAGTGAAAACCTCTCAAAGTGGAGTCCGGGGGGCATCTGGGGGTAGCGGGACGGAGACAGGCCAGAGTGCATCCTGCTCTCGACGTGCTTAAAAGCTGAGGTCTCTTCCATGTGAGGCAACAATGGGAAACCTCGGACATTGTTAGTGCACGGCACCATTGGAGAAGTGGAGTCCATTATTGCAGGAGTGCACTTGGGAGGATGGTTCCCTCCTCCGTTGAGAGTCTCGCCAACATGTCGGATCGGTTTCATGTTTCCAATGAGTTTGCTGAATCCCATGCTGTTCAGTTTTCCATTTGCGTCCTCCCTGGATGCGTCCGCGCCCGGAACTTTGGAGACACCGGTCGGCTTGAAGGCAGAGCGCACACCCGGGTGGAAGCCCATGCTGCTGAGCACTGTGGATGTGGCGCCGAGGCCCAGGATGTGCCCTTGGTTTCTGGCTGAGGTGACGCTCATATCGAGCGCCCTGTCCTGCTCCTCTGAGCTGCCTTTTTTAATCAGTCCAACTTTGTTTAGAAAAGGTGAGGAGGACACCGCTCTCCTGCCAGAGTCTGAGATGGAGGTGTTGTTGTGACCGCTCCTCGGTGAGGTGGAGGTGTTGGGGATGTCTCCTGACTTTGGTGACCTGCTGAAGGTCTCTGTGCCTCTGGCCTGCTCGCTGTTTACAAACCCCCGCCCGTTGCTCAGGGCGCAGTGAAAGTGCACGTGGGCCTTGAGAGTGTTGGGGTATTTGAATATTCTCCAGCAATACCAGCAGATGTAACGCTCCTCACCTGGAGAGACAAGAACAAATATGACATTTGGTGATTAGGTTTGATTTAATTCATTGAGTCACAGTTTCACACAATGCAGGTTTAAACAATGGCATTAATATTTTTTTATATTAATATTAATATCTAATATTTGTGTATATTTCCGTGCGTAAAAGCGCAATTGCATGCCAAAATCTAAACTTCAAAAGCCTAGAGCCATCCTCTTTCCGTTTGTTACTATGACCAAGTTCAAAACACTCACAAACATCCAGAAAACACATTCTGAATTAACATGTACAAATAAAGACGTCCATAAAACAATTGAACACTAGAACCATTTTACTCAGTCCGCTTCTCCAGCCCCTCAGCTGAAATTTCAATCGCGGCCATTGGATATGACCCGGGTTTAAGATGTTGTGCCAAGTGGTAATAGGCACGGGGCGCTTTTTAAGTGACCCCCAGTCGAGCACTCGGGGGGTTAATATAGATGTAATGATTCTGTAATCCTCATACGGGCCTTTGTTTATGATAGCCATCAAAAGAGCAAACGCCCTGCCCAATCTGGCGCTCAGAAAGTGATGCATTGAATTCAGGACTTTCTCTCTCTGCGCTCTTTCCCGTGGAAGTGACAGCAGCTGTTGCTTGAAATCGCGAGTCTCCAGAAACAATGGCGAAGGCCCATCTGTTGACGCCTAATAATGGGAGCGAGCGTATGTCCAGGAGCGCACACGGTGTGTTGGGCCGGAGAATCAGGGCAATATACACCCCACATAAAAGTTAGCATTCATTAGGCCACAATACCTTGACGCACCCACCTAATTTACCGTGAAGCACTTGTTTTTGAATTTATTTGCTTTTGAATACATGAATATTAACGACACGATGACATTTGTTAACCTCCGTCTCGCAACTGAATCACCAGCCTCTTCCTTCTCCACGGTCACCGAAGAGACACGTCTATTACTGCTTTTAATTGCTTTCTTTTTATTCCCTGTGTCGAGCACCGTTATTACTTGATCACCATTTTTTTTTTCACACCATGCGAGTGTGATATCATTTTGCTTTTACATTTATTCAATTAGTGAAGAAGAGGCCCCTCCAGGTCCAGAAGTGTAAAACAAAATCATGGGTTACGAATTATGAACTGAGAATTAATTAATATTTAATTAAAGTAAACGGATTAGCTTCTGCTGAGCTGGTGTTTAATTAAGATTTGACCATAATCCTCACGCGCAAAAACCTATAACTCCCATTACCAGCCCAAACAAACAGAAAAGCTGATTAGGAATTTAATCCACAGGAAAAAATAAATCTGTTTCAGAAATCTGGATAATGTGGTTAATCTGACACAATATCCTACTCTCACTGTTTTAATCTTTTCTGCAACAAATTATGTCTCAATATCTGAATATCGGCGTAATTTACACCGATATTCTGTGTAAATTACGCCGATATTCAGTGTGATTTTTTTTCGACTGTTAATAGGATTCATTATTAAAAAATATATAAATAAATAGATGAGATGCCTCAGGTAGAGACAGCAATCAATGGATTTCCATCACTGAGTTCAAAAGGAGAAGCAAGTTGTATTGGCAGTCATTTAACCCTGCAGAGATGGACCCTCAAAGTGTCGATGGGACCTCAGTGTGAGCTCTCCATGTACAGCTGTGGCCTAATGCTAACAGAGGAATAGACTCTTTTATTATTATTATTATTATTATTATTATTATTATTATTATTATTATTATTATTATTATTATTATTATTATTAAATGTATTTTTCCCTCTTGGTTAAACTCTTCCACCCTGCCCTGGAACACTCCCATTAGAAGTCTGAGTTACCTTTTTCGTCGTGCGTGGGGGTGGCTGTGGTGGGAATGTCGTACCACTGCGCAAGGGTGTTGGAGTACCAAACACTGAGCTCCTCTCCAGCTGGGATTTCTCTCAGCACACGGTAGAAAATCTTTTAAAAAAGAGGAGCAGGAAGGCTTGAGTTGGTACTGATCAAAAGGAAGGGTGAACATTTTTACAAAGGCCTAAAGATGTGCCGAGAAAAAAAAGAAAAAAAAATCACCTGTCCGCCAGGTAGGTCTGACACTGCCTCCAGGTTTTGCTCCTGACTGTTCCTGGCTGCGCGGATGAATCCGATCCAGTCTGGCACAGGGCAGCCCGACTCATCCACGAACTCTCCACGAACCAAGCGGACCTACAGGCCAGAAAAATACGATCATATCAAGAAAAACTCTTTGTTTGACAGATTTAAAGGAACGATGAAAAGTCAAACATCATAGCCTTCCCACAGAAACAGCCAACATTTGAAGGCAATAAATTCACATTTGATACACTGGTTGGAAAAACACATTTGACCTGGTTTTGAAAATTCTATTTTCCTTAAACTTATTCATAAATTCGATTTTTTTTTATTTCTTTAAAAAAAAAAGCCATAGATATTCAACAAATTTTATAGACAAATAATTGCCCATGGCTGCCTACCCTACCTGGAGGTGCTGCGACCACGCCTGACCAAAACGCGCTTAATGCGTCTTTATCCGCTCTACTGATGATTTCTTAAAGAGAATGACACTCGGGCCTAATTGACCTGATATGGGAAACGAATTTGAGGAGTGTCAGAGCGTTTCTAAACTGTTCAAGGATATTAAAGATCGAAGCGCGACATTTGACACTGAGAGTGCACCTGATGATCGCCGGCAGCCCGGGGCCACGCATTTAGACGCATCAATCACATCTGCTGACAGCTGCAACAATAACAGGCTGAGGTTATGGATGCGCACATATTCTCTGTGGGGTTTTTTTACCTTCTTTTTTTTTAAAGTTTAAACATTTTAAAGTTTCATTTCTTTAAAAAAAAATTGAATTTTAAATGTCATTTTCCCTGAAATTTAAAATGATGATTTATCGCCACATTTCTTATCTCCACCAACCCTGGTCCAAAAAAATAATAATAACTCAGTGTTTCAATTTTTGTGTTGTTGTTATTTTTTTTTTTTTGTTATTATGTGTAAAATTATTTCTGTCCTCGCCCCAGGCTGTGCTCTCCGGCCTCAGTGGCATCTTTCTCTGGCCGGATTACATTAAAATTAAACGGCTCATCGGGGTAACAGGCCCGCCAGGCAGTGAAATGTGAGGCGGCTGAGGGCATGAAATCCCACACAGCGGAGCCGGGCCGCCCATTAGGCCGGTTAAGTAGAAGCACAGACTGACAAGTCGGCCACTAATGGAGCTCAATTATTTCCAGCCTGACAGGCCAAACCAATTAATAAGTGAAGGCCCGATGGAGTTTGACACTGCAGCTGCAAAATCTACATCTAGTGTGCTCCTTTTGGATGCTGCACACCACCAGAAACCAAACCAAACTGATGTCAAGAAAAAAAAGAGAGTTTGTATTTTTTTGAACAGCAAAAGTGATAATAAACATGCAACTTGTGCGTAATTTATCCAAAGGTTCTGAAGGAGAAACAAAAGTCACCTGTAATTTCATTAAAAAAAAAAACTCGAGGGATTTGATTTACAAAAACACACCATGAAGCATTAAAATCAGAATGAATGATAGTTGTCAGTTTTTAAACGCACCTTCTTCTTGGGTCCAACTTCCTTTCGGTCCGACACGTACTTCCCCAGTTTGAAGATCCCCGGTACAGGTCCTATCCGGAGCCCGGACGGGATGCTGCAGTCCGCGAACACACAGACCGTGGTGGACGCCCGGGTGGGTTGCATGGCTTGGGGTGAGATCAGAACCATGAAGACTGATGGAGGAAGAGGAGGATGAGGAGAGGATGAGGACCGGCCGATATCCGCCCTCAAAGTGACGCGGTGGCGTTATGCACTCCGTCTTTTCTAGGGATGGTGCAGGCAAGGTAGCCCCCCTCCCTCAACAGACCCCCCCTCCACTCCCCTCCCGACCTCTCCAGCTCAGGATGCGTGTGTGCAAGTGTGTATCGAGTTGGGGGTGTTGTAGAGAGGTGATGCTGTGCTGTTAGGTACTTTAAAGAGGGGAGGGGAGAAGGCGGGGGCAGCGGTCCTGAGTTTGCAGCAGCAGCAGGATGAGAGCGTGTGTTTGTGTGAGTGAGTGAGTGAGTGAGTGTGAGAGAGTTTGGCTCTCCCAGCAGCTGTGAAGAGAGGGGAAACGGGCCTGCCTGGTCACATGGAGACTTTCCCTCACCCCGCCGCATAATGAATTGCTCCAAAACGGTCAAGAGACACAAAGGGCCAGGCGACCTTCCCATCCCCAAAATCCAATTTGTCAAGGGCAGAGAAAAGAGGGAGCAGAATCAAAGGTCCAGAGCGACCATTAATCCTCAGCATGTGGCTTTGTCCTCCAGACAGTTCCGATATTTTAACTGACAAATCCACTGTATAATTTATCCATAAATCCTCACCCTTTCCTATTCTTCCCATTCAAACCAGGTTTTGGAAATCAGTGGCTACTTTAAATCTACTTGGCTCGCATTCTTTGGCTTTTATGCACTTCAAAGCGCTTTATTCTCGCTCCTCCTTTGTGTCCTTAGTGCAACAAAAGGAGCAGGAAAGTTTAGAGGACTTGTTAACTTGTATTGACTCTCGGCGTGTGCCGGGTTGAGATCAGGCAGGTACTGAAGGGAGAACCACCAGCAGGAAGAAAGAGAGAGAGAGAGAGACGAAGAGAGCAAGGGGAAAGAAAATGACCATACCCGTCTTCTGGGCGCACTTGTGGCTTTCTTATCATGTCTCCCTCATCAATAATCGAAACAGCAAATATCCTCGAATGGTTGTTATGATCAGAAAACTCCACTAGGAGAAATTATTTGATGGAACAAAAAAATTGGGAAAATTCTCCAAAGCACTTGCAACTTGGTAAAATATTTTTTCTCTATAATAGGAATTGAAAATCAAAATTGTTAAAGTTTGTAATTTCATAAAAAAAATAGACTTAATTGGCCAGACATAAATCTTCAATGAGTGATTCATATGTTGTTTGGGGCATGATCAGTTTTTCAGAAAATAAGAATTCAAGACTTAACTTTTTGATTCACAGCTTTATTTTTCTATTTTAATTTTTTGTGCAAGAAATGGTGAAAAAAAATCAGCAAAGAACCTTTAAAAGACTTTGTGGTTACTGGTTGAGCACCATTGTATTGCGAGCTATTTAAACGCGTTATATCAGATAAACTAGATTAGATTGCATGGACCAAAATTAATCACATATCTATAATGTGTGAGGCCTAATTTTTGTATAATTCCCGTTTTAAATGACCTTGTAAAATGTACTTGTATTTAAAGGTTGAGGTTTATAATGGATAAATTGTAGTCTCCAACACGGTCTCCGCGCAGCAGCTCCATGGAGCCTTTTGAGACTCTGCTGATGAGTCTCAGCAGAGAAAGAGAACAAGAACCTGTGGGCGATCAACTCAGACCATGACCATGCTGACCTCTGACCTCTGCACTGTGGACCTCATTCCTGAGTCACAACAAGTACTTGTCATATCTAAAGGCTTCTGGGTAAGACTTTCGGACAGTTAGAACATTCAATTAGACGAGAAAATAGGATGTTTTAAACCGGTGCGACTAAACTATGTTTATCGATTAAATTGATAACTGTAATAAAACACCGTGGCTTTCTTTTTTCACTGCATTCATTCCCACTGAGCAACAGACGGCTATTAGACATCTAGTTATTTTTTTAGACCTAATTTCAACCGTCTAGATTCTGTTTATTTTTAGACGGAATTTAGACGTTGCACTTTAACCGATTATTATTCCGATTATTCGATAACCGATCTCCAAATACTTAACCCAAATAATTATGATAGCTGTTGAGCAATATACAGTGTAGTATAGATATAGGTTTAGACTTGGTCTAAATACAGACATCTAAAAAACTTTCATTTTTAGACCTGTGGTAGCCTGATTCTAGACCAGTCGTCTAGGCTACATTTAGACCTGTTTTAGACCAAAAAAATGCTCAGAGGGTTGTTGACAATTAATTAATAAACACGGTCAGTAATTTTAAAAAGCTGTGACTTTCTCCCTCTCCTTCTCTCTCTCTCTCTCATTCCCCACAGGAATCCCATGTTGCTCCTCTCTCTTTCTCCTCCCTGCGCTCCTCCATATAGTCAAAGAGCCTAAACGACACGCGAACAATCTCATCAATGGGCGCAATGTTTGCGCCTGGCTGTGCGGTGGGTTATTTATTAACGCCTAGCCATTTGCGGCTGGTTCCCATCCTCCCCGCTCCTCTACAGCATGAACAGAGTGAAATTAATTATTCTCTGTGAAGAGAGAGAGAGAGATGGGAGGGGGCAGCAAAAAAGGGGAGAAGACGTTTCCTTTCTGTTTGCGGAGAAGTCGCTGCGGTGAATTCGCGCTCCGCTGTGCGCTCTGGTGCAGTCAAAAGAGTCCGTGTCAGAAAGAAGACAGAGTTGGAGGCAAATGGGATTGAGAATTAAATGAAATTAAATGGCCTGACCAGCGGTTTTGTTCCCCCTCATTTTTTAAGAAGAAAAAGACATTAATAACACGGCCGGATCTTTATTCCGCGACAATATTGCGACGTCCATCAGCAGTGTCCCACAAGTGCGCTTCTCTCAAATCAACTCCGCTTCTCTTTAATGAACTTAAATAACGACCTGAGAAGAATCGGGGCTGTGAGAGGAGGGAGACGTTTTTATGGGCGGCCCTGCCTGGCTCTTGCCAGCCTTTCTTAGATTTTAACTGTCTAAACGGTGGGGCTCTGATTTAACTGGTTGGCCATTAATGAGCCATGAATATAGAGGAACAACCTGCCTGCAAAGCAACGCGGTAAATACTGAGAGCAATGCCCCACCAGGGATCTCCATTCATGCGCCCTGACTATACTTCAGGGGTGCCAAGGGTTCACCACCACCTCTCCTGGGCTGGTTTCAATAGCCTACCATTAAGACCCCTCTGAGCTCAGAAGAAAACACATTTTTTATGTCGACCCATAAACTTTGTTTGCCTCTATTCAGCAGATCCCAATCATTGTCCCACTTAGCAATGTGGCCTATTTCTCACAGATTCCCACGTCTCAGAATTGACTTTATCCATTTATTTCTCAACATGTAAGCCCACACCTTTGGCACGTCTCACATTTATTTAGTCACACTTGAAAGTTAAATTCCCGTGCATTTCAGGGCTTGGGTGGACTCTGTTCACTTCTGAATCAGAACTTCTTATTATTCCTTTCAGACCTGAACCTCTGTGAACAAGAAGAGAAAAGCTTTGGACAGGCCTGTTTATCTTACTCCTCGTCTCTCTTGTCTTTATTTATAAGCTGCCTGCTCATTTTAGAGGTGTTTCCTTTTCTCAGGAACCTGGGGAAAGTTGCAAGATGCACCAAGGGCAGACCAGCTGTCTTGATGCGGGTGGGACATTAGCGACGCGTTTGAATAGTAATGATGCTTGTATGGGACTCCCACCAGATGACATGATTGGGGTTTAACCCAGACTAATATTCAAAATCGCATTAGAGAGGAGCCGAATAAACGGCACCTGATTCAACGCTGTTCATGCGTGATTTCATTCAAAATGCCTCCTCTCTTTTTTTTTCCAAGAAGTGGGCTGAACCGTTTCGTTATTCAAAGTCTCTACAGAGTTTCTCCGCCGGCCCTTTTTCAAGGCACATTTCCCTGACTTAAAATCACTTTGTCTCGCATGAGGAGACGCAGATAAAAGCGTGAGAAGTTGCCTGAATTGATATGTTTCGGTGTACCTTATAAATTCATACCTTTTCTCACTCGAGCGCCTCAGAAAGAACGTGTCAGTCAGGCCAATTCTCTCTGCTGTCCAACGCATTTAGCAGGAGATCTATTTGAGAAGTTCATTCCTAGGCAAATGTATGCACCCAAGGCCCTGCATGAATAGAGCAGCGTGTCAGCCGACCCTAATTGGGATTTAGCCACCCAAAGCATATGCACAAAGTGACGGAAAATCACAGGTTTGAAAGAAAGTCACAACTTTTGCCCTTTTTTCTGAATATAAGGAGCTCTTTCCTTCTGCGGAGAGTCAAACTGAGTTTTCTCATGGGATGGAGGTTAGTGACCCAGTTGGCCGTAGGATTTGTATCTGCGAACTGAGAGTGTGAGCAAGACAACAAGAGTGGCAAAGAGCAGGTTTTAAGACATGTAACTTTGACTGTGTGTTTGAATATAGGGCGGATGTAGGAGCCAGAGTCATGGTTATTATCTGAGTAAATGTCAGAGTCGTTTTCAAGCCTTTTCTTAATATACAGGGGAGATACAGAAAAAATATTATTTAGTAAAAAAAGTCATTTTAAATTCAATAATAATAATAATAATAATAATAATAATGTGCAATGGTTTGTTTGAAAAACTGCGTCATATTTGCTTATTTAAAATTCTATCAGAGGTAATTTTTTTTGTTAAAATTGTTAAATTTTCGTCATATTTCTGAGTCTGAGTTGAAAACCAACACTCCTCTGTTGTGCTGTGCAGCCTCTTTTTTCATCCTGTAGACGAAGCACCATGGAGAGCTCCGCGTTCACAGACACAGACATCATAAATTATAACAAATTCCGTCGCATCATGAGAAGAGCATTTTCTTTCGTCCTGTAAGTTCATCTTAAATATATCGCCTGATTTCTATCTCTCGGGTTGGATGCACACTGGTTATCCGCAGTAACGAAATGTTATCTAATGATATGAGCGTCTCTGCTCTCTCGCGGCTCCTCATTATGGCGCCGATTGACAGTTCCGGGCTCAGACTAATTGTGTCCTGCAAGCTCGGGTGGGATGAGCTTGTGGAAATGATGTCCGAGAGAAAAAGTGATTATTTCAACATGTATTTTATGCACAATCGTATTTGTAGTAATTAAAAAAGGCAGTGACAGCCAATAAGTGATAAACTGTCTTTGAATTATATGATGCAGCTTAAACAGAGATGCAAATGCTCTAATGAAAAGGCAATAAGGCATTTTTAAAATATATAATATGTAACATTTTTAAAGGTCTCAATATAATACTAGGAAGAAGATGTACTTTTTTTATTATTATACAAGTTGATGCCACATAGGGGGTGAGCTAAATGAAATTTCTTTGCTCTGTACTTGTGACATATGCAATAACAATAAATTCCTCTCTCTCTCTCTCTGTCTCTCTAAATGTTCTGATTTGTCTCACATATTGTTCTTATACTAGAGTGTAAGAGGTAATTTAGGGTACATTCAGAATCCAGAATATGACCTTATTACATTTAGAGCACTAAACATTAGACAATAAACATTAAAATTTCTACATTTTCTCACAAATCATAAATGCTCGGTACAGAAGAGCAACCTGTTTTAAGGCTGGATTATACTATAAAGAAGATTTTTTTTCTCTGCTTTAAGACATGTTGTTGTTGTTATTGGTTTTTTTTTTCATTTGGTTGATGTGGTAGTAGTATGATGTGTCCTATTAAAATAATAATGGCAATGCAGTGTTAGTACTGCCATAATAATACTAGTCCTGTTCCTATCTTTTGTTTCAGTTTCTGTCAGAGGATTGGTGTGTTGCATGTTCCTGCTCTCAGGCCCTGAGTGGGACACTGACTGTGTTTGGCATCTGCTGGCCAGATCCAATCGCTCCTAATCAGCAGCAGGAAGAAAAGGTGTGGATGTGGATGGAATGAGGACAGAAAACGGCTGTGTGCCATCACTCTGCTGCAGGACAAAATATGACTGACGGATTCCTCAGCCCTGCAGAAAGTGTCAGGGTGACCGCCTCGACCCTCAGGTGACTCAGTCCTTCCTTGTCTTTTACTGTTCCCTCACTTCTTCCTTACCCATTTTTACTCTCAACGCTTTGAGACAAAGCTTTGAAAATAAGCAAAATTTTTTCCCAATCGAGCAAATGTGTATTTTAAAGTGCTATTCATGAATATCAGAAAACTGTTATGTTGTAAAAGCTCATCAAACACTGAAAAAGACATCAAAAGATAAAAAGGACAAGTAATTGAATGCTGATAGCTTTATTGCAGCAAGTAGAGAAAAGAGGGAGGGGGTTGTAAGGCACACAAAAGTTTGAAAACCATGTTAAGGGTTCAGGGTGAGGCATATTTAAACCCTACGAAGTAAAGGTTTTACTTAGTAGCAAAGGGTCAGCCCTGGACTTCATGTCCAGGGCAAAGGGCGAAGGTCAGTGTCCAGACATGGGGTTTGGTCAGTGCAAAGCTCAGAGGGGCGTGGATGCTGAAGGGCGAGGGGAGGTCATTTGCGTATTTGTGCTGCTCATTCCTCATCAGAGTCATCGGCTGCGCCAGTAATGGTATAGGTTTGCTCCTGGTGGTCCATTTCAAGCACGTCGTCCTCATTTTTCACTGTTCTATAAAGAAAAACAGAAAACAGACAAAGCTTAAGTAGCATAGGGGATCATTCTAAAGCTGGTAAATCTCCTGCACCCTGGAACTCAAAAAAGTTTCCTAAAGACAACACTTTGAGTCATTCTTTTGAAAATCGAGGGAACCCTTTTGTTAGTTCCTGGGGTTTCATGCTGTACAATAAAAAATGGATACTTGGATAAGATACCTTTTGGTACCTTTACCTAATGAGCACTGTCCTTCTCTCTGTCAGCTCCACAGCCTGCTCCGTGTAGGCCTCATGGTTGCCATCAAATCCATCGGATCCATATCCCATCCCAGAAACTCTGGTGTCACCCATTCCTCCATCACTCTTTCCTGTTCCACCAATGCCTGACGTTGCAACACTTAAATCCCCAGCTCCTACAACCCCAGTTCCCCCACTACCACTAATTTTGTCCCCCATTTCAGGACCTTTACTTTCATCCCTATCCATGCCTTCATTAGTTGCATCACCCCTCCCACCACCGATACCCCCTTTTCCTTCACTGAGGCCTGCACCAGTGCTACCTATGCCAGCTGAACCTGCAGTGCCACCTGGGACAGTTCCAGCACCTCCCAGACCGTCAGCACCCTTGCCTCCAACCCCAGCAACCATGTCCCCAGCACCAGAGCCGACACCTCCAAAACTGTCAACTCCTGCCCCAGTACCCACACCACCAGCACTAAAGCCTGTACCAGCAGCACTGCCAACTCCTGCCCCAGTCCCCAAACCACCAGCACCAACACCCTCAGTACTAGAGCCTACATCTCCAGCACTTCCAACTCCTGTCCCAGTACCCAGGCCCCCAGTGCCCACACCCCCAGCACCAGAGCCTACATCTCCAGCACTACCAACCCCTTCCCCAGTACCCAAGAACCCAGTACCCACACCCCCAGCACCAGAGCCTACATCTCCAGCACTACCAACCCCTGCCCCGGTACCCAGGCCCCCAGCACCAGAGCCTACATCTCCAGCACTACCAACCCCTGCCCCGTAGCCCAGGCCCCCAGCACCAGAGCCTACATCTCTAGCACTACCAACCCCTGCCCCGGTACCCACACCCCCAGCACCAGAGCCCATATCTCCAGCACTACCAACCCCTGCCCCGGTAGCCAGGCCCCCAGCACCCAACCCCCCAACACCAGAGCCTACATCTCCAGCACTACCAACTCCTGCTATGGTACCCAGGGCCCCAGCACCCACACCTCCAGCTCTGGCACCAGCGCCAGCGCTGAGACCTCCTGCACCTGTACCACCAGCCCCAATCCCATCAGCACCAGTACCAACACCATTCATTCCTCCATCAATTCCCATCCCACTGGCACCTGTCCCAATGCCAGCACCTCCTCGACCAGCATCCAACCCCACAGCACCTCCACCAAGTCCTCTCCCATCTGCACCCATTCCAACCCCACTTCCCACTCCAGGACCAACACCAACATCTGGTCCACCTGCCCCGCCTGCCCTACTTGGAGGACCCCTCTTGTCATCCTGACTCCCAACACTCAATCTGCCACCCATTCCCCCTGCACCACTGCTTGACCCTGTACCCATGCTTCCTGTGCTCATGCCCCCACCCACTCCACCTCCCATGCTTCCAACACCACCAGCACTAACTCCAATCATCCCACCACTTACTCCACCAGCACCACCCATGCCTCCTCCACTGATGCTCATCCCTGTACCAATGGCGCTCATGCTACAGCTGGTGAGAGACAAGGTTTGCACCATCCCGGAGAGCCGCAGGTCCTCGCCTTCAATGAGTTTTCTAGAAAACAAAAAGAATGTTTAACTATATTTGGTAACAATTATTTAAACATAGATTCACGGGCTCTTAGTTTATTTTCCTTTTACCTGTATGTTGTAATCTCAATTTCCAGAGACATCTTGACATTCAGGAGTTCCTGGTACTCACGCAGGTGCAGCGCAATTTTCTCTTTTGTTGATTTCAGCTCGAGCTGCAGGGTCTCAATTCGAGCCTGTGTGTGAACATGGCTTTAAATAACTGTGTGCAGGAGTTCTTGTGCCGGAGTTCTAGTTCTTTGTGTTCATGAAAGTATTTGTTTGTGGTTTTGATTGGTTCTACTGCAACTAGGGATGCACCCCGTAACAATGCAAACATTTCTTTACCTGCAGCTCTTCTTGCTCTTTCCTGTACTTTTCCTGCATCTCTCGAATCTGGGCCTCTAGGGCTTCATTCCTGGTCCTCAGTGCCTCCAAGTCACGTTCTTTGCTTTGGATCTGGAGATAATTTTGCATGAGTAGAGTCACGTTAGCCACTAATATTTTTTGATCAGAATTTTTTTATTCTTTTGTTACTTACATCCTTTTTGGCTCCTGCAAGTTCTTCTCTGAAGCTTCGAACCTTATCCACATGCTTGGAAGTCTTACTGGTAATATCTTCAAACTTGTTTTTATACCAGGAATCCATCTCCTAGAAGGACATGATGAATTACATGATTTTGATTCACGACATATAAAAATTAACTATTCACAGTCCTAATGTGTGGTGATTTTACCTGCAGATTTTTGGCTGCGATGTCATCATACTGGTTTTGGATTTGTTTCATTGCAGCTCCCAGATCTGGCAAGGCGAATGCACTCTGAGCGGAGGCATGAGCTGCATAGATCTGCTTCATGAGCTCTTCTATTTCCTGGAGAAAGAGAAGTCTTTAGGTGCAATGAAATAAAGGTCACCAAATGTTGTAGTTTAGGTGTAAATATGTTAAAACACCTCTTGATGGATACGCTTCAGAAATTCAATTTCAACTTCCAGCTGCTCCAGCTTCTTCTCCAAGGTAATACGTTCAGATGTAGCTTTGTCAACATCCTGAAAAGAACCACAATGATTTTGATTGAGGACTGTAAATTAGAAAAACAGGAAGTAAAATATTCAGTTATTAAATGTAACCTACAGGACGGAAGCTTTCGATTTCCATCTCTGCCTTCCTCCTCAGCTCCACTGCCTCCTCATATTTGATCTTGATTGCCTCAAGTTGAGCAGCTGTGGACTGTTTAGCTGCTACGGAGATGTCCTGAAAACAAGAAGCCGGAAGTAATGTGGCTGTCTTTTAGATTTTAAGGTGTGTGCTGGGGTTTTTGCTAAATGTAGACTGCCCTTTTAGCATTTGTATAAAAAATGTGTGTGTGTGTTTATGTCCGACTGTGTATGAGTGTGTGTAAATGTGTAATCTAGCTGTCTCATCGGTGCAGAAAACATGGCTGAAGACAGCTGCGCTCCATGACACCTCAGTGCGCTCAGGGTCCTCTCCATTTGCCTGCCAGGAGTGAGCCTGTTACCAGGTGAGGAACCTTGAAAACACCAAGTTGACGTCTTGTATAGTTGCTTGGATGGATCTCCTGCAGCTCAGTGAGCCTCGCCGGAAACTGTCTTTCCTTTCCTCATGTCTATTAATAGTCTAAGCTGAAAAGAAAGCAAGGCAATGTATGGCTTTAGAAATTCTGTCTCACCCGCTGAACTTTCATCTGCTCAGCAATCTTCTTCAGCTCCCTCAGCTGCTCCTCGTATAAGAGGCGCAGACCTGATGGCTTCTCAAAACGGTTTTGATAGGCCTGGATCTCAGTTTCCAAAAGCTTGTTCTGCTGCTCAAGTGATCGAACCTGCACACAAAACAAACTCCTGAGTAATTCCAAGACCTAAATCAGAAAGTTTTCTCTTTCTGGGCTTGTAAAGGCAGGATGATCGTAACACTTTTTTATTATTATTAGAGGGGCATTTTAAAGAAGGCCTTGACATGTTTTCATGACTACAGCATTAGTAATTGATCAGTCAAAAAGTCTTTACCTTGTCAATATAAACAGCCAGTCTGTCATTGAGGACAACCATCTCCTGTCTTTCAGTTGTGCGGGTGCTGAGGAACTCTTGGTTCTCAGCTGCAGCCGCATCCAGATCCATAGCAGGTTCTCCAGTTGGGCCAACACACACCATGGCTCCTGCACCCACGCTAGAAGCAAGAGACGGGGGCATATCAGAGGAAAATGAGTATGCTTGAGGAAGATGCACTTAGTTTCAGCAGATTTTAAAGGTTTTTGGAAAAGGTGATACAACTGTCATTTGCTTGAGTCTGCTTTGACACAGAGCTTACCCTGCCCCGATCATGCGACTTCTGCGTGCAGCTGAGATGTTCCTTCGTCCCACAGACTCCACACGCATGATGCCAGCCCCAGCCTTGCAAGCATAGCCAGCAGTGGCAATGCGGGTATCTCTCCTGGTGGGGGATGGGCTGGACACCCTGACTTGGTAGGACGAGCTGCTGCTGTCCTCAAAGTGGCGGCGGTAGGATGAGATTCTGTCTGGGCTGCGACTCATGGTGGCTGCTTTTCCTCTTTTCCCTGATGGTAAAGACAGTATACTCGAGTGATGGTCAGTGGTTTGCTGCACTTCCGGGCTGTTCCACCTTGTTTGCACTCCCCGTTGGACAGTCCAGTCTCAGGTTTTATACTGCCCATAGTCAGCCGTGATCCAGGTCTGCCAAAGACAGCCCAGTTCATGAACCAACACCTGTGGAATCTCGAACCTCAGCACCAACTCAGGCCTGACCTGCTGCTCAGATATCTGTCAGATGCTTGTGAGGAGCAGAGCTGAGCTGGAACGGTGAATGATGGTAATGAGGGTCACCCATTAGTCTATCCCCTAAATCAAATCTAAAATGGGTATTGGGAGAATTATGAAACATCCACCTTGTAAATGTTCATTGCAGCTCTAAGCGGTGGACATGCTGGCCAATGAGCAAACAGGCAGGGCCTTCTCCGTCACAGCAGCCAGTAGGTGCAACACTGACATGATCTGCTCTGATGGGACGAGGGACTTTAATTGAATGCTGGGCAGAAGCTGGAGGGTGACCTGATGAGGCTAAGGCTGCAGAGGAACCAACAGCCCTGGCAAGATTTGACATAAATTAGTGCTTATTAGTCTGGTCTACTCTCGACATATTAAAAACTGGAGTATGTAGAAACAAAAGAAATGGGAATTAAGTGCTTCTGAGGCAAAATGCAGAGGCAGAAAAAAAGAGAGGGGGGCTTAAGTCTGGAGTTTACGGTTGACACGGCACAGTGATGTGAGGGGAGAAAACTGTGGTCAGGTCATTTAAGGTTGTTCCTCCATGTACACCTATGAAGTCACAGGGTCAGGGGTGAACAAACACTGTTGTCTTTGATACATGATTTCAAAAAGGGTAGATAACCCCCATGTTTCACATACAAATAAAAAAAAAACAGAACATAAATGATAAACTTTGAGTAACGGCATTTTGGCACATTTTTAGTGAAAAATCCCAGCTTGTAAAGTGTTTTATTTATGGGTTGTGCTTGTAAAAAAAATAGCCTTGATTAAACAAGCTTCTATTCCTTCTCATTGACCTCACATTTCTCAGTAATGTGGGACTTTTGGGGTGAGGTGGAATTGCATGAGGACAATCCATCTCCACTCACCAGCTCTTTTCCAACCACAACCAATAACAATCCCTCATCATCGTGGTATTTTCTATTACAGCATGAATAAAGCCTCCCTTCAATGCCAGGACACCCACACACCCTGTCATGAGTTATCTACTCAGCTAAAAATGGCTTCACACAAACCACAGAGGACATGGGCACACTTTAGTTTGTGTATTTTTCATTTTTCTAATCAAATATGTCAAAAGATGGCCTCAGGTGTGAGACTCGGGGATCTGCTTTTACACCTGGATGATTTATGGTTTCCCTTGACCACATTCTGCATACTGTTCAGAGTAATAAGCAGAAATAGTATTAGCACTTCTGGGCCACATTGTTTACTCATGCATCTGGACAGTGACTTGGGGTGGTGAATTAGTATGAACAAATCACTTCAAAGTTTGCTCTATCTTTCTAAATGCCGACTAAACTGATCAGGAGAAATGTTGTTTTGTGTTTGGACTTTAAGCTAAAGCTGTAAAAGATTGAGTGAATAGGGAACAAAGTCCACGGTCAGGATGGATATGCAGTAATATAGGCATTCCTCTAAGTTCAAAACAAACACATTCATTATCATGGGTGATGAAGTAACCTGTTAATGTTCCCCTGGAGGGTTGGTGGCAAATTCATACTGGGGCACAGTGGACATTAGACACGGCCCATCAGGACCGTAGATCATCTCAGTCTAAGAGGCTGTCACCTCAACTGGCCCCTCACTGCCTATTTATATCACAAAGCATGCAAATAAATAGGCCTGACAGACACTGTTCACAAGTTTAAAATAAACTAACCACATACAAAAGACTGAGTTGATATCACAGCTAATCAAAACCATACTTTTATTGAATTATGTTGGCACAACTGAACATTTCCATTTTTGTGCGACAAGGTATTAAATATTTACAGTACGTCAAGTTGAAATGTTGAGCTGTTCATAATGTGCGATGGAAGACTTCATATTAAATTACAATCAAACACAGTTAAATAGTCCTTTGCATAGGTAGTCTGGTAACTGTTAGCACTTCTTTATCACTTTTGCAATGAGGTTAAAAAAAGTCACAGGTTATTTATGAGTTTGTAAAGAAGTTGTAAAGGGTTTATCAGTAGTTCGTTTTATCAGAAGACTGGAGTGTTGTTGTACGCTGAGCCCTCTGGTTTCAGTCTTTGGGTATCACAGTTCAGAAAAAAACATCTTCAAATCACATTTTTAATAAAAACCCTCCACATACCTCCTTGTTTTGCACCCTTATTTTGTACTCTGTATCACTTTAATTGAACAAAAAAAAAAAAAAAGAAAAATCCCCCTTCTCTGTCTTTTTCTCACTGTATCAATTATGTTGTTCATTTTTCGCCCAGTCTTGCCATCCACCTGGATAATGCTGAGCTCTGAAATGGAGAGAAAAGAAAGTGACTCAGCTAATGAATAAATAGAGGTGTAAAAAATGCATTTTTAGGATTGGCTTTCCAAGTTATCACAACATGGATTTAATCATTTTAGTATTAGCCTTGCGATTGTTAGGCTCGATTTCCTTGATTTTCAATCAGTCATATGAGTAGTCCTCAGAAGAATACTGAATTATGTCCCAACATTGTGCAAGGATAGCTAAAACACCTGAAGAGGTGAAATGTGATTTTGTCTTGTGGTGAAAAATGCATCTTTTATCATTCTCTAGACTTTAAAATGAAAACCAAACTCTTGCAAAAACAACAGCAAAAAAACTTGCCACCAACAGTCACATAAGCAATGGCCTTAAGGTTAAAACAAAAATCATTTTTATGGATGCAAAGAAAACATCTCACTCATTGTATCCCAGTGAAGCAGCTGTGTTGAGAGCTTTCTTGCTCCTGACCCCTGCCAGACATGTGAATACGATGTTTTCTGTCTGCTGGGGCATCTCACCACCATACTTCTCTTTGAAATCATCTGGATCCAGCTGGAGAGCAGTGTTCACCTGTCCCACTACAACATCAGAGAAGCACATAACATTTAACACACAGAGGTGTCATGAATACTCCCTTATGTGCATGGAGGGGTATGCAACGTAACAAGGTAGTCTATTTTTTTTTCTCAGAACATATTCAGTTTTTATTTCCATTTGCCACAGAGTACAACAATTTCATTTTCTGTATAAACATTTATTACACAAAATAATACACACAAAATCAGAGTCACATAAGGAGATAAAAGAAGAAGAAAAATACAAAAACCAAAATAAATATATAGCACCCAATGTGCACAGTATTGTGGCAGACTTGTGGATGTCCTCCATATCAAACTATTTTCACACAATTTTTCCAATAACTTTTCTTATTCCTTTTTCAGTTCACCAAAAAACAGTAACAAACATAAATTGCATACTGAAATTAGTAATAGAATTCATTAGGCCCCTATTATAGGTGGATATACAGATAAATTGTGGTTGCACTCAGGATAGTCTATTCAACGACTTGGTATGGGGAGGAGAGACATGGCCAATTCAATGTATTGTCTGAATTAAAATATTAGTGATTTTCGAGTTGGCACCCTCTAACTGGTTCATCACCTTCAGACAACTCTGAGGTTGTAAATAAGTGTTTTGTTGTAACTAATGAGACGACTTTGTCTGACAAACCCATTCATGATTCCCAGAGTATTTCAGCAGAATGACACTCACAGGGGACATTAATGGACCCGGGGATGAAGCCGTACTCCCTCAGCTCCCATGGCTCCCTCACATCGATAACTACAGATTTCCGAGCAGCCAGAAGCTTCTTCAGCTCCTCATAGTCCACCTCGGTGCTGGTTGACCCTGAGCTGAACCTGCGGGGCAGTAACACTGAGACTGGAAGCGACACAAACAGCAGACAACATAGATCATTTCAGATCTTGACCTTGTATTCCAGCATAGACGACAGATTAGCATTCCTATTGTACGGATTATTATAGGGACGCTATAAAAATCGTGAAACTCACTTTTGCACCCGGGGTGAGTGTTAATAATGTTTGATACAAAGCCTCGTCCTCCAGAGACAGAAGCTCCTGGCAGGACAGTCGTGGTCCATATCAGCCGCGGGACAACTCCTGCAAACCTCCAACACCTTCTGAGAGCCATTTCTGATAAATGACACCCTCTGCTAACCTTTGGCACACACAAACCTATAATTATGTCTCAAAACACCGTGACAGAACAATTAAAGTCACGCTGACTGTGCTCGCTACGCCAACAACAACATGCGCATGCGCAAATGTACGGATCTCCTTGAGGATAAAACAGTCTCCTTTGACTTTTTTCAAAGTAAATAAATTACTATTAATGTGATGTTGCTCACTTCAAATGACTGTCAACACAAATAATGTGTAGAGTGCCTTAATAAGATCTCATTTACAAGGTTCAGAATTGCGGGACACACTGTAGGGGATGCATTCAATATCGTGTAAAAAAGGGAAAAGTGACAACCACACATCTGTCCAATCGACACACTCGCATCGTACACACATCCAGCCGTCAGTCACCATCTCTTGAACCATCTCTTGAAACAGAAGTAACACAAACACACAACAAAAAATTAACAACATTTTAACATTCCAAAATTTCTTTCTCCTCTGACCACCCAGTAGTTTCATTCCGTGGAGACGTTATGCGTGTATCGATTTTCCGCTGTACGTGAATGCAGCACCAGGGCACTTCGGGTTGCCGTAGTGCGTCACGTGTTGACGAGGTTTGCTAGCTGGTGCTACCGAAAGCTTCAGTAAATATTTGTAAAGTCAAGGTTACACTCGAATATTTACTGAGATAACAATATTGCCATTAGACGAGCGCTATATCGTGCGCTGAAATGCCTTAATGTCGCTGAGTATAGTTTGGTCAAAAACGCCTGTTATTGTATATTTTTATTCTGACGAGCTAATGTAGCTAGTCCAACTGCTAGCCAGGAAGAAGAGTTGACATATTACTGTTGGCTTGAAGTTAGCTAACATAGTCAGAGACGTTGGAGCTGAAATAAAGAGGTAAGGTAATACTTTTAAGTAAGTTACTGTCGACTGTTGGAGAGGTATTTGGGTATTTATTTTAATGCTGATACAAGTGTCATAATGGCTTTCTGTGCGCACATGTGCAGACACTTAAATTGTAGTTTCTAATTCGTGTTAGTTTCACTAAATATATCAAATAAACGACCATGAATCTATCAAGCCAGAAGAAATCATTAAGTAAGGATGCGTGATGCAGGATTTTGCAGATATCTGCAGTACTGATATTTTCACTCTCAGTTATTTATGCTGATATATAACTTTATATTTTTACGTAAATAACTTTAAGTTTTCCTGTACTAAACCGCATCTGTCACTATCTTAATTCAGAGACCGACAGAAAACAAGATAAACAGCATTTGATTCTGCCATAGATATACTCCTCCTGGTCTCCTCCTGAGTTGCTTTGCTCCTCCTCCCATTCTTGATCAAAGCATCATATTGATGGAACATATTAGTACAGGCCAAAAGTTTGGACACACCTTCTCATTCAATGTCTTTTCTTTTTTTTTTTTATATGACTATTTACATTGTAGATTATCAATGAAGGCATCAAAACTATGAATGAACACATGTGGAATTTTGTACTTATAAAAAAAGTGTGAAATAACTGAAAACATGTTTTATATTCTAGTTTCTTTAAAATAGCCACCCTTTGCTCTTGATGACAGAAGTACTTAGTCGTAAAGTAACCCTGACAAGGCACACCTGTGAAGTAAAAAACATTTCAGGTGACTACCTCATGAAGTTAATCGAGAGAACAGCAAAAGTTTGCAGCGCTATCAAAAAAGCAGAGGGTGACTACTTTGAGGAATCTAATATATAAAACGTGTTTTCAGTTATTTCACACTTTTTTCTTAAGCACACGATTCCACATGTGTTCATTCATAGTTTTGATGCCTTCACTGAGAATCTACGATTTAAATAGTAATGAGAATGAAGAAAATGCATTGAATGAGAAGGTGTGTCCAAACTTTTGGCCTGTACTGTATATCATGCTGGATAAATATAGACTTTGAAGGTTTCAAGGAAGACAGCAGGGACAAAAGAGGAAGTTAACTTTACTGTGCTGAACTGCAAAAACTAAGTCAAGATGTCTGAAAACACAAGTGGGAGTATGTGTCAGAGAAAGTGATACATTGACGCATAAACAGCCTTTTTCAGGTGCAAAGGTTCTAGGTAGGATACATATGAATACTGAAGCAAGCAGGATAAGTTTGTTTTTTGTTTTGAAAACACCACCCACACACGTCCAGGACAAAGTCAGTAAGGAGATAAAGAGATACATGCCTTGTGCACAGGTGGTGCCAAAACTACTACCCCACACAAGCTCAAAATAACGTTGCATTCCATGCGTGAGCAAATTTAAAGTTTTGCCAAAACCAATGATTGTCCCTTTAGTTTCATTTGTCTAATGGTTCTCCATCCTCTCATCAAGAGCTCCAGATGCGGCTAAAGGATCCCTTCTCCTTGAAAGCCGCCGATATGACAAAGCGGACCAATAAACCGAGGAAACCTCGAGATGAGGAGTCATCAGATGAAGTCAGTGGTGAGTTACTGAGGCAACTTTAGCTATGGGATTTTATTTTGGTGGTTCTTCACTCATTGGATAGTGAATGAAATAAACCGAAAAGCCAGGGTATCTATTGAGGACAACTCTCAGTCTGGTCTGAAGGGTATGTTTGTTTTATTCATGTAAGACCAGATAATTAAACTGTATCAAAGTCCCAGGATATAAGGATTCACAATGTACATCCCAGCAAAAAGAAAATTACTCATGAACCACAAATTTTGTGTTAATGAGAACTGAAGGTAACACTTTTCTTACACTACACTTTTTTATTCTTAACCAGGGTTGACTTGCCAGCATGTAAGTAAGGCGGTGGACCTGAACTCAGTGAAGAAATCGGTTCTGTCGAACGTGTGGCTTGTTTGCTCTGAATGTCTGAAAGAGAGGACAATGATCGATGGAGAGCCAGCAGCATCCAATGACATCCTGGTGTGCTTAAAATGTGGTTTTCAGGTAACTGTTTTGTCATAATAATCATCATCATAATAACAATTGCATTATTTAATGTATCTTAAACAGTGTCAGCTGGTTTTGGACACAAAAAGGCCTATTGATGTTTGTGTTAGTGTGTAGAACAAACACAGGGTTGGAAATAGGAAGAAGAATACATGATGATGAAAATAAGTACAAAAAAATCACTCAGGAATATTTGTACTGTTAAGTCTAGTGTCATATAATGTATCTACAAAGCTGGGTTTGTCTGAAAGTAGAGCATAAATGTGAGCTGAAGGCATAAATGTAGGTTCATGTATTCCTTTAACATTTGAAGTCATTGTTCTATTTTTATAAATCTGTTTTTTTTTTTTTCTTTATCTGAACTATTTTTAGGGCTGTAACCAATCAGAGATCCAGCATGCTATCAAACACCATCAAGCTTTCCATCCAGAGTCTCACTGCATCACCATCAGCCTGAGCACATGGAAGGCCTGGTAAGAGATTTTAAGAGTGCGTTTATTGTACACTGCTAAAAAGAAAAAAAGGACTCTGCATACTTAAATCTAGTCTGTTTAAACATGTTATGATAAGTGCCAGGATGTGACAGTTGTGACTATATGTGTGTGTGTGTGAATGCTTCGACCGGCTTAAACACAGCAGTGCTCTATGACAAACCTTTTTTATCAGCATTAAGTTTAAGGTACATTCAGTCATGTTGTTGGATAAAGGGTATTTAATGAAGTTTTACTCAGCCCTTACATTTTACTCTTTGCGAATGTCTTTCTCCTCTGCCGAGTAATCCTGCTTGTCAAAAAGTGTTCATTTTCCAACTTTTGTGTCTTGAGGGTTATTAAATTTCCCGTAACTCCGAGCCTTTCTGGTTTTCACTTTCAACCTATCTCATTGTAACAGGTGCTTTGAATGTAATGAGGAGCTTTCGATTCACTGCAACAAGAAGGCTTTGGCTCAGACCCTGGACTTTCTACAAAAGCATTCTGTCAAGGCAACTTCAGGTAAGGTTGGCAAGTCTCTGGAGGTTTGGCAACGTATCAACGTTGAAGAAAGCTTTAATTAGACACATGCATTCTTTCAGTGTATCAGCGAAGCCTAATAAAATCAGTTTGAGTCTTTTTAATTCAGCAACCTTTGAGTAGAATTTGTTGGCCATGGCTGCAAATACCTTGGGATGGTGTTCCAGTATTACTGGATGGTGAATCTGAATGAAATTATGCACTAGAGAGCTTCAATCAAGGTTTTTGTGCTAATTTCATAGTGTCCACCTGTGCACAACAGGCTAATATCACAATCTTGTCAGGGCTGTATATCAGAAAGTTAGTATTTACCAAACCCTATTCTGCTCAACAAAGTACCCGCAGCACAGATGACCAAACTTACAGAGTCAAACAGGCCCTTGTTTGTTGCTGTCATTTTTAACACAACCTGTCCAGGATTGGTTGCAGTACACCTGCTCCCCCTGGTGGCTGCGGTTGTGTGAACCCTTGGATTGAATGTGACATCTTTATTGTAACAACAGCCTATGTTTGTGCGTTATATGTGAAGCCATTAGGCGTGTAAGCTTTGTTTGATCGTTTCTTATACATGAAACTATATTTGAATCCTTTCATTAAGCTTGTAAAGCCCTTTTGGCTCCACAAAACGCACTGCATATATGCTGAACACAAAAGTTATTGCCAAACACATTATTCCTGTGAAAGTATTTCATCGATATTGCGTGATGCATACATGTAAGAGCCTGAGAATAATCTGTTTTAAAATAACATCAGCTTTGTAGCAGCAGCTTGTGGTCACAGTCATATTTTTCATTCTGCTTTTGTTTATCTGTCCTTTCACCTCACTCACACCACCTGACCCCCTTAATAAGTCACTCAACCGTACAGATATTAACCCCCTTTTCCCTTACACCCTTGTACACCTTCTGCTCCCATCTGTATGTACCTCGCCATTGTGAGATGACCTCTTACCAAACTGTTGCTGATCAGGGTGGTAGGTATCATCACTTTCAGTCTCAATGGGTGCCTCAGCTTGGCCCATTTGCCAGTGGCCAAAGGCCAGTTGCCCATGCCCAGTCAGACTGGTCCTCCATCAGTCTCTCAGCCACAGCTTCAGAGTTTTGGGATTGATGCTGCAGCAATCCTCCACCCTAACCCCCACCCTGCACACTGCATGACTGCACACATTAGAGGAATTAGGCGCTTGAGCGATGCTTCTCGGCTGGGTTCCCTGAAGAACAAGAGCAGCTGCGTGGGGTTTAGCTATTGCTCTCTTGCTCTTTGTCCTCCCATTGCTATCTGTTTCCATCCCTTGCTTCCTCTGTCAAGCCGCTGTGTGTCTCACCACCTCTGGGCCTGTGTGCTGCACTAGTGGGAGCCAGGGTCCTCAACAAGTCAGAGCGACTGGATCCTTACAGCTGGAGCACGCTAACTCTCAGTGGACAGACACACAGACGATGAAAAGTAATGAACAACGAGAGAAAATAGTCTCCAAACTCTGTGATGAATATTTGTTGGCAGATAACAAACGCCTGAGTATTAAAACGTGTTGTATTCTCATGAGGCGTTTTGTGACATGTCTGCGACAGAGAGCACATGTTTCACGCTGGAACAGAGTCTGACTAACTTTTATTCGCCGAGTACATTACAAACCTGAGGAATTTTCAGATCCTGTCTGTATAATGTGGTTTGAACAAACCTATATATTTGTGATACTCTGCTTCACCCAGGCATAGTGAGCACTGGCAACCAAAAGCACCTCAGAGACAGAGACAAGAAATGATGAGAAGTCGTTGGAAAATATATATGCCAAAACATTAAGTTGACACAAGTTCACTTTTCTTCTCAATCGCAGTCTCAGACGTTCTTTTAAGCTAAATTTGCCTTTTTGATTTGATGTTTAATGTGTTTCTTTTCAGAAGTGTAGCGTTGAAGATTGACACTTGTATACCCACTCTATGAATGCAAGATCAGTGAAGGACTAGATTTCTGAACGTTGTGTTTGTATATTTGAGCAGCTAAACTTTGGTGGACATGGTGCCACTCAGGGTCCCACATTGATGGGAAATATTCTGCTGAGCTGGACAGTCGCTGCTTACAGCTTTCTATCTTTTCCTCTTAAATTACCTGCCACCTTTCCTGCCACCCAATTGTTCCACACCCGTTGACCAAATAGGTATAGAAGCAGGCAGCCATTGTCGCAGCAAAATAGGTGGTTGTTGTCTGTTGAGGAGCTTGTGAAATTGCATTTTAGTATGAAGGCCATGTTTTCAGAGGAAGCTGCTGTTGTACTGTTTTCCCCATATACCCCAAGCACAAAAGGGCCCCAGCAAGGATTTTTTTTTTTTTCAGATTCCATAATAATTTTGCACAACAACAGCTCAGGGTAGAAAGAAAGTCGATTAACTGTGCTCTCTCACCATCAAGGCCTTCAGCTGAAGTACCAGAGTCTCAGTAAAAAGCGAATTGACCTCAGGGAGGTAGACTCCAGCTTGTAACACAGCTGGGGAGTCTTTGTGGAGCAAATTAAAATGTTGGTTCTGAATAGACATCAGAGCATGTTTCTCATTAGAATCGTCAGTTCTGTCTTTCAGGGCAATGATTGTTATCAGTCACAGTTGCAAGGTGCTTTTCACCCGACTGAGAGCTTGTTTTTTTCTAATTTTACAACTTTAAAAATAAGCTTATCGTCTTTTGATCATTATTCTTGGTTTTTTAAACTTTTGATTGTCCAAATTGAACAGTTTTACACATGCGAGGTCTCGGACATGCTGCTAGGACAACTACTGTGGTTTAATTTAATGTGCATTGATTTTTTTCTTCATAAGTTCTTGAGGGGAAAGGAGTTTTTGTAGTCTACAAAATGTACATACAAACATTTCTTTATCTCTTGAATACAAAGAGCAGCAGCTATGACATACCTTTAGAGGCAGTGATTTATTGTTAGATACAACCATTAACACTGACTGAGTAATAAGATATTCTCAGGGATGCATTTTCCTACCATGCGTCGCTCTATTTTATTCACACACACTAATATATCCTGTTTACATAACGTGCACATAACCACCGATACAAACTACTTTTAAAGAGTCATGAAAGCTGGGTCTCTGCTAAATGTCCCATATGATAAAGGAGTCATTAGAGGGATGTTGTAAAATGACAAACTCAGCGAGGACATTTTCACTAGACACCACTTCTTATTTAACTTTTGTGTCCATATGGGAATAAATCTGAATTAGTTCAAAACATTGTTTTATGGTGGAAAAGATTGAACAGTTTTGCACTTCAGAGCAGTTAAATGATTTATTCATACAGCCCAATCTGCAGAAAAGTGAGTACATTTGTGGATGTTGTTGCGTGGTTATACAGTTTGAGAGACAATTACATTCTGGTTGTTTGACAAAATCTCTTTTGAGAATCGTCGGCCAAAGACAGAAGCAGAAGATGAGGTGTTATGTGGCACCTTTACTTACCTGGTTTCCTTCCTCTGGGTGTTGATTTTTGAAACCATAATCCTTAGTTAACTGTCAGAGTTACTCATCTGACTCAGTAGTCAGTATGATGCTTGTCCCCTGGTGGTGCTTTCATGGAGGTAATCAAGGGTGATTCTGTCTTTATTCCCACCATCGCACATGAAAGTAGGCCAGATAGTGGTAGGCAAATAGGAGTGTGTGTGTGTATGTGTAAGTAACATGGCACTGGATTCTGTTGGCCTCAGATGGCAAGGAAACAGGCTTTTCATGCCCTGCAGTCACAACAAATTAGCGAATTAATAAGACATTTGGTGTTGCTTGGCCTTCCTCTCGACTGCATGCTCTGCATGAAGGGAGCTGGCCTTGACCCCCCCCCAAACACACACAAACACACTCACACACACACTCAAGCGCTGCTGCTCTGTAAGTGAACGTACAGGCATGAAGCCCACTGGCCATACCATTTGACAGCATCTCAGCCCAACAAAGCAGATGAGAAAAGGAAACTGATCAAAAAAGCTTTTACAGAAACTATGTTTCACGGGCTCTTTTCGTTTGTTTGTTACCTCAACAAAAAGAAACTTCACATTTTTATTGCAGTTGATCTTTTATGTTAAATCAGTGTGCATAAGCGGCACACATTTGTCTAACACTAAACTAGAGGAAAGTAAGATTTGTTTAGGGCATGGTTTTACGAACATTAATCATATCAGAAAGATTTCAGTGTTTGTGTTTTATTTTTCTTCTGCAAGTACTCCTGTTCTGTTCTCTGTAAAAGCAAACCATTCCCCAGTTTCTTTGTGTATCTCTTGTGTGAAAAGAGCAGCGAGTGCAGGAGGTGTTAGCGTACACGCGTGCATGTGGATGATCCCGAGCACCGTGATGATTTCCTCTACCCTGGGGAAAGGCTCCACAGTGTCACTGCTGCCCAAACTCGGTGGCTGAGCAAGGAGGGCCAGGTGGTGGTGCCGAGTGCAGCACAGTCAAGCGTGGATGCAGCGCATGCTGACATTTGCCTTTACTGACTGCTGGAGGGAGAGGAAAAATCTGCTTTTCCATATGCTTGTGCTCGTTGCAACCCTTCCCTCCACCCTCTGCCCTCCCCTTGTCCTCTTCTACCCCCCTCTCCCAAGTCTCAACCAGATGGCTCCCTGAACATTGTTTACCTTGGGTGACAGTCCCAGATGCAGTGTGTGTCCATCGGCATCCCCATTCTGCCCAGTTAGTTTCCTCATTCCTCTGCTGTCTCTTGGCTGAAGTGCCAGTTGCATTTTTACACTCAGGTTGCATGATCTCGGTTGATTCTGTTTTTCTTGGCGGAAAAACCACAACAAGCAGATCCTGTCAATGAGACACTCTCAATCCCGCTCATTCTTTTCCTCCTTTGCTCAATTCTTTCCCTTGACACCAAAAAGAAAGTTAATTTTTCTGACTAGGGCTGCTGTCTCTTCCTGTGTCTACGTGTTTTTAACGTATTATGTGTATCGACATATGGGAGCTCCCATATGGCTGCTATTGAAGATGGAAATAGGCTTCCAGATGTTGCAAGCACAGAGGGCCAGATGCATTTAGCACCTCTGGGTTGAGTGCCACAAAGTGACAGCGCCTCAACAAGCTGAACCTCAGCCCATCATGGTCCCAGACTGCAGACCGTAAAACAGCGCCCTGCATCCCCACTCAGTGCTGAACCGCTTTGTCGTCACAATGTTTGATTAAAAGAGCACAGTCGGTGCAGCAAAGAAAAATTCAAAATGCAGCAGTCTGAAGAGAGAGACCATTTTACATACTTGTGTTCAATTAATTGTGTTTTTTTTTTCTTCTCAAGTCTGTTCAACAGAAAAGATGTCCTCTCTTTTTGAGTGGAATGTGGTTGTGTATGAAATGCAAATTGTCAGGTCGCGAGTAGAAAGACCCCGGTTCACATTCCAGTGACTGTGTCCTGGGCACTTCTGCTAATGTCCTTGGCCTTGAGGAGGAGAAGCTCGCTGGGTAGCGGCCAGCGGCAGGCTTACCACTGCTGTGGGCTTGAATACCTTTTCAACAAATGTGTTGTGCACAAGGAGAGGTTTCAAAGAATTCAATGTGTGCTAAGGCAAGGCCATTTCTGTGTTAAGGGGAAGAACGGAGTAAAGGTGCAGGTTGAAATGATGTTTCACAGTTCAATTGAATTTTCTTACTTTGGATATAGGCGGGTTCAGGCCAGTGATCTTGCAGCCAGCCTGCTCTCTTGACTGGCTTATACGGGTGAAGTGCTCATGGACCAAACTCTTTTTGTGCTCGCCAGCCTCAAGTTGATTTTTTTTTTTCCTGCCTGAAGATACGGCCATTTTGTTCTGTTACAGCTTCATATCGGCTTACGACAAGAAATAATGTTGGACTTTGCGGTTTCAATTCATACAGAATGTAAAACTTATTAGTTTCTTTATGTAAATTATATATAAGTATTAAGCATTATAATGTATAGCAGTCGTCTTGTTAAAGTGCAGATTTTATAATTTTTTCTTTCTTTTTTTTTCTTAGTAAACTTAGTTAAGATTAAGAATCGTATCTACATGAGAACATTAAACTCTTCTTGTAATATTAGGATCTCTTACAGTTTGACAACATTTGTTAAATGCTGTTGGAAATGAACTGTAGAAGTATTTGTTTTGTTTGAAGCTGCTCTCTCTGTTTTGTAACTACTGTAGTCGGTCCCCAGCAGACTATCTGTGTGTCACTGTTAGATTCTTACCATCTGTGCCTCGGTGTCTGTTTAAGGTTAGTTTTCATTGATGATCAGAAGTAACAGCTGGCTCTGAAGAGCCATCTTTCCAACCCCAGCCCCCAACCCTCCCTTACCAACCAGCGGAAACTTCTACAGCTGTCATCTGCTTTCCCAAATGACCCCGCTTTCCTTCCAGCTGCCATCTCAGCACCCTGCTCCCATCCCTAGTCTTGCTCCAAGGGTAAACCTTTTTTTTTCCAGCATCAGGCTGTATGATAATTTAATGGACACTGGAATCTTCCAACATCAAGGCTGACTTTCATATTCAGTCTCAACCAAGTTGCCATCTGAGTCAACATCTAGACTTGATCACCAAAGGTCGGTAACGAAAATAATCTTATAGTCGATATAAACCGAAGTTTGTGAACAGACTCCTCACAGAACTAGCCTGGAATCTTTTATGTAACTTTCCATTTGCGTTGCCAGTGAGCACAAACCAATGTGCATCTGGATGCAGTTGGGCGGAGAGCAGCTAAGTGTTCAAACAAGGCCAAAAAAGGAGCAGGAACTATGAGTCTAATCTGGCAGCATGTCTGAAGGTAAACTCTGGACCAGCTGATTTCAGAGCCCCGCTGTGAAGCAGCATTCATATCACCTTTGACTTGAGGCCAGTTTGTTTTTCCCGGAATGGTTATTTGTGGCAACATTATCAGCTCTTTGTCCACATGAGAGAGTAAAAAAAAACAGCTGTTACTAGAGACACATGTTCACGATCGAACTTCCAAGTTCTTCAGCATTGTGACTACCCGTTCCTGAGATTGAATCCTTGTTAGTCAGTGCCAACATAAACTGTGGTAATCAATAATGTAACAGGACCCACAGTAGGAGCAATCCTCAGCAGCCATAAGTCCCAGAACAGTGCATATCTGTTTTTATAAATACAATACACCACTTTGTTGTACCGTCTTTTTAAATGACTTTGTCACAGTGGAGAGTTTTGTTAGTTCCCTCTTCATCTGACCACTGGGCTGTTTTTTTTTTGTCTGTGTTGCAGGTGCGTCACCCAAAATCATCAAGCTTCAAGAGGAGCCGTCAGACAATGACCCACCCAAAGGCAAAAGCCCAGCCCTTAACAGCACCCTGGTTCCTGTCAAAGGCATTAACAACCTGGGTAACACCTGTTTCTTCAACGCTGTGATGCAGGTTGGTACGATAACCATATAGAAAATGGGAACAAACAAAACTCCTAAATATTGATGTCATTTTACACAAAGTGGAAAAAAAAACAGGCAGAAGAATGTCAGAATAACTACTCAAGGTTGAAATAAAGCATTATTGGTACAATTAAAAGAAAAGTAAATATAAACCATTTTGTATTTTTAACTAAATCAGTGTAAAGTAAGATGACTTTTCAGTCTTTGCTCTTTCCAAAGAGATCCTGTCAGGACATAAGGCATCAAAGGTATTTTCATTTTTACATGCCACTGTGACTAAGGCGTACTCTCACAATGCACTTACTCGTGTAAGTGCTGCCTCTCACACGTCTGGTCTATATTAAACATGATAACAACCTTACAATGACAGTAAGTGTAAACAGACGTTGCCTAAAGGTCACTTTGTAGTATATTCATTTCTACACGGAAGGCTGGCGAGCTTGTACACATTTACCTGTCCATACATGAATGGCACTTGGTTGGTGCAGAGCATGCTCACCACACAGCACAGCTATAGAGCCCTCTCTGTCTGTCTCTGGTCGGTCATGGTGACTGCAAACTGACGTGCCTTTCTAACAATAAAGCTTTATTTTCCGCCATTTTGTTTATCACCCCAGAGGCCTTTCTTGTTGATTGAAATTCGAGTTTGCACGGTTTACATGCTTTTTCCCTCCCTTTCCCTGTCTGTTTGTATTGTCTCCTTGAAAATTGCAATCTTTCTGCTCAAAACAGGTAATTGTCTGAGGACGAGCTGTGTCTGTGTTCACAATGCCGGCTCCATTGTGTGTTTTCCATAGCAACTGTCTTCATTGCCAGGATGTGACAAAACAAACATCCCTTGAAATAGAAGGAAAAGATGTTTCTTTAAAATGAGAGGACAATGACAGCTTCAAGCTATCTCGTCACCAAGGATCTTCTCTGTATTCCAGACCCGCAGATCATGGAAAGATTTGAAATCCTCTCACAGGATAATGAACTCACTAGTTCCCTAAATCACACTAAAAAGGAGATATTATTTTGGGAGAGTGTTTAATTGTGCTTGTCATGGGTTAAGTGTGGATAGTTTAATATCCTCCAGAGGAGTCTGATCTTTTTTTGTTGTCTGTTCTGATCTCCAAATCGTTGCTGGGTCTTCTTATTTGATGAATAGTAAAATAATTACATTTGATCAGCTTGATTTCTATCTGAGCTCTTGTCAAATTTTTATTGCTTTTTGATGTTCTGCCATGAATCCACATGTGAATACTCAGCTCTCTTAATGGATGGGTTTAAAAAGTGAATCAAACAGTGTCAAAATAATTCTCTTATCTCGACAGAACCTGTCTCAGACACACATGCTCATCGACCTCATACAGGAAATGAAGGAGAAAGGGTACAAACTGAGGATCTGTCCCCCTGCTGAGTCCAATCTGGTAAAGTTTACCGTCTGTCTTCTCTTCTCTCGAGTCTGAGTCCTCTTCAAACTATGCAGTCAATCGAACAAATACAAAAGACTTTGGGTCTGATGTTATTCTGCTCATGCTGTGTTTATTTAGAAATAATTCTCTAATTATTCAACTACATGCATTTCAGTAGTGATGAGTTATTACCAAAACCAATTTGCAGTACTAAGGAAGGTAAAGTTGAACATGTAAATGTTTTTATTTGGTTGAAAACCAGAATCCCTGTGCACAGCCTGCATTGTCAGGTCCAAAGAAATCAATGAGGAAAAGAAAGTTGTAGTGAAGCCGATTTCAGTGTGCAGCAGATCTTTTCTCCTTTAGTCTTTATTTGGTTGTTTGTTTGTAATAATAATGCAAGAACATCTTTTAAGAAAATGCAGTCTTTTAAAAGTTTTCAAGCAGCTGAGAAAAATCTGTGATCTTTGCTCTATTTCTAATGAAAAATGTTGTTAAATTATTTGCAAACTATCAAAATCTGTTGGATTACATTTTATACAACGTCCCAACTCTTTTGAAAATGGCCTTCCTGAATCAAGCAAATTCATTTTTATGAGTAACTCAACAGATTAAACTCTGATTTGTCTAAAACTGTTATTATATAACCTGTTAAGACACAAACGGAGAATTTTATGTCTGTTTCTGTGAAATTACAAATTAAAAATGTCTCCTATGTTAATATTCCAGAATCCACTGATGGTATCGCTGTCCAGTCCTGAGCCACTGACTGCGGCCATGTTTCTTTTTCTACAAAGCATGAAAGAGCCTGGGAAAGGCCCTTTAAACCCCAAGATCCTCTTCAACCAGCTCTGCCAGAAGTAAGCCTCTGTTACACACATCTATTACCATAAAACCACACTGGCCTTCAGTTGTGCACTCAGTATGTTTCCCAGGGTCGCTTAGGCTATGGGTTGTGGTGTATTGTTATCGCACTACTGAATCATCACAACAGCTTACAACACAGAAGATAAACCTTTTCCCTGCCTTCAATCCATGAGGTTGTGGTGTCCATTTTTATCAGTTAAACAAAGGTAACACTTGGTCCCAGCTTAGGTTGCCAACATTTTTGATGCTTTGAAGCTTTTCAATACTGTGTTGAATAAAATGATTTTGTACTTCACATGGTCAGAATATTTTCTTGATATCAATCATAAAAAGGATTTCAAATATTGAAATATTCAGCTTCTGGTGAGTCTGTTCATTTATACTCACTACTTGGTTGGGGCTCCTTTACCATGAATTCCTACATCAGTGTGTCAACCTCTTAGCAGATGGAAACATGAGGGTCTGTAAAACCTTCTGGTAGACTTGTGTAGACTCTGGACATAAAACACAGTAGACCAGCAGCATCAGTCTGGTTCTTTTAGCTCCCTAACCTTGGTAATACTCCTCAGGTGTTATCTCTGGTTTAGGAGTGAATCAATAGTAGGAGTACGAAAGTTGTTGTCCTTTTCCTCTATGTAGAGGCTCATGGTGCTCTGACTACATGCTCAGTCCACTGCTTGTGAAGCTCCCCGTGTTTCTTAAATCCTTTTCTCTTGATAATGCTCTCAAGGCTGTGCTCATCCCTGTTGCTTTCCCACCTTTTCCTCTCACCTAGTCAACTTTTCATGAATCTGCTTCCATACAGACTCTATGAACAGCAGCCTTTTCAGCAGTGACCTTCTGTTGCTGACCCTTCATGTGGAGGTTGTCAATGATGGTCTTGTGGACATCTGTCAAGTTAAAGGTCTATACCACAGTTGGGACTGCATGTTCTCGAGGCACATGGTATTGAGCTGGTATGAGCTCAGAGCATAGACTGTATATGCTATGGACAACTTGGTTCCGCCTCTCGCCTGTATACGGATTTGAAGCCAAAAAGCTCTCTGTATTTCTGGGATTTTCTTCATTTGAAACCAGCGCTGCGCAGTAGCAATGCGCGTATTCGGCCGTGCAGTCGCAGAGAGTCGCTGTGATGATGCTCGGCTCAAACAGCGTATCCCCCAGGAGAGCTACGCAATCCCTGAACGCCCTTAGGCTGTATCAGGTGTCAATCATAGCAAACATGAACCCCCTAATAACGTTTAAAAACGGTCTTCATTTACTATTGACAGCATGTCAATTGTCAGTACACACTGCTGGCTTTATGTGAAAATTGGTTATCAGAAACTTTAAAACCACCTGTTTACGTTGGCCCAGAAGTTCACTCTTTGTTGCAGAAGTGTTTCGATAATGGAAAGTATCAAATCAGGGGCAGAAGTTTGGTATCATAACAACCCAAGTCCCAGCTGAATTCCTTTCAGACACTCAATCAGTTTCAAACACACTGAGTATATGTACTGTGGCTGTAGAGGTAGTAGTTTTGTGGCCTTTTCTACTACTTGCCACACTGGTGTGCCACCTGTGTTACATTTGATCCAGAGCAAGGTCTAACAGGCAGAAAGAACCGCACATTTGTGAGCTGAACTGTGTTCTTGTTCTTTTTTATATATGGTGAGTGCGAGTGTTTGGTCGGCTGGGTTCTTGCTTGCTTATGGTACACTGCTGGTTGGGTCCATCCTGTGCGTGCTTGAGAATGGGGGTTGTTGTACTGTTTAGTAGTGCAGGTGGGTGACCAGGGTATTTGACACTGGATGACTGGCTACATCTCTGGTGCTGCTTTGACAGTTATTCTGGTACCTAGCTTTCATCCGAGAGGCCTCTGTGTGTGTGTGTTTGTGTGCGTCGTGTGAGTAGGACTGTGCATATGTGAATGGCCACCTCACCTGGTACCACCTCAGTCTGCAGCACACATGCAGGCAATTGTGCATTCAGACAGTAAACATTGAACACACCTTTATGCATTCACTCGTAGCCAATTTCAAGTGGGGTTAATCCATTCCACTGACGTGAATTTGATTAAAGAGGTATGACTTTAAGCCTCAGCGGCCACTACCCATGTGGTACACTGATACCACGAGTGAACTTAAAATAAATCCACTAAAAGGCCGTCTCGGACTTTCAGACAGCTCATGCAAATTTGCAGCTGTGGTATCCTGCCAGGGTGTATTCAATGCCAAACAATGGTTGCAAACACTAAAAGATACTCCCCTGCGTAGGTGTTCTTATTCTCTTCCTTTTTGCTCTTCATAACAATTCAGTTATCATCATTCATCTTCAAAGTCAGGTTTCTCAATGTGAGGGTTTCTGGAATTTTCTACTGAAAAACTGAACTGAATAGAAAATGTTGAAGACTTCTCACTGCACTCTGAAAATGTGAGATGCACCAAAACAAAAAACAAAAAAACGTACATTTTATTTGCTAAATTAGTTACAATAGGGATAAAGGTGTGATGATTAATCATTAAAGATGGAATCTAACTTACCAAGGCGAAAGAGCAGTAGGAAGAGACAAAGCTGTAATTTTCCACTTACCCAGAGAGATCAAATCTCTTTCTGTATACCAGTTTGAGGGGCAGAAATTTTAAAGGTGGCTATATACAGCCTGTTGGGGACAGGGTGTTATCCCTTCAGAAGCTCCTCAATTTCATTTTGGCTTGCAAGTTAACAGGCAAGGCACAACTCGTGCAAAATGCACATGCCAATCACTGAAGAGCAGGAGACGTGTCTATTTTTAGTGTGTTGCTGGCAAATTAGACTGAAAAGGATCTGTGGTGATTCAAAATGCCTAATGTCTATACCCGTAGAGTAAATATATTCACAACTCTTGTCCTATCTCTTGAGAGTTGTGTTCACAAATTACAGCAGAGCTTGTAAAACAGAATGTGTGAGTTTTACAGCAATGCTAGCTAAACAGAGTTGTATGGAATATGCTGGAGACATCTCTATTTCGAATGTTTTGGCTGATTAGATGACGGATAATTGTGGATTTAAAGACTTGATATCTTGCTCTCATGCTTCAGTGAGTTTCACTGATTTTTCAAATGACATGCATCACAGCGGTAAGGACTCTCTCACCAGTAGATTTCAGTATGTAGGATTTGTACAGGCATAACAGGTTTGGATATTTAAAAGACCTCTAATGCCTTTTTTCAGATTTGTTATTTCATCTGGGACACGCAAAGTGTACACAACAGCAGTTGTAGTGTGAACTAGCCTGAGCGCTCCAATATTTTAACAAAAACACTCTTCCACACAGCGACTCATATACCTTCAGTCGGGTCTAAAGCTGTAGGTTGAAAGTACAGGGTCAAGAACTGATAGAGTTTACAGGGACATTTCCCGTTCTAGTGACCTTTTTCTCGCTGAATATAGTTTATCATTCTCACCTGTCACTGCAAGCTCTTGTCTCCCAATGAGGTTTTCGTCTGCCCTTGGCCTGTGGGGACTAAGAGCAATTTTCTATTTTCTTTTCACTGTCTGTCTCAGTATGTTTGTGGAGACAGGGAGGTTAAAACGGCTTTCAGCCAAAGATTGAATGCCAGTTTAAGTGTTTATGTGCAACTCTGGATTTCTATTGAGCTCAGTTTTGCGTGAATGTGTGTATTTCCGTGCATGTGCGCGCACATGCATTTTACTCTACCAGCTGAGTACTCCACAGCCTGTCTTTTCCTCCTCCTTCCCTCCTGCAAGTGGAGCGGGTCTGGCCTTGGCTCGGACTGCTGCCAAGCTTAAGCTTGGTTGGATGGTCAGCACCACACTCTATCTGGTGCCAGAGAGTGTCCCAGCTTGTACCCAGGCTAGTGAGGGGCCACAGACTCACAATTTAATCAAATAATCAAGTATTTACCCTCTTCCTAATGGACATCTTAAGTTTTTGCTTACTTGGTTGGCTTTAATGAGGTCCTTTCTACAAAAAATGGGATGTAACAACTTACAATGCTGGTTTTACACCACGGTTTGGAGCAGATAACTTTACAGTGCATATGTAAGCACTTTGATTTTCCATTCCTTGATGTCAGGCATGTTTTACTCTGTACCTAATCTTGTAATGAATTAATTTTGCCTTAATCGAAAAAAAATCCTGGAGCAGAAGATCTGCTATTCAAAGATTCCATGTGCATAACTAGCAATATCCAGTAATATTTAGCTGTCAGGTTGTTCTGTAAATTGAAATGTCCCCTTGCTCTGACCTTCTGTCAGTGAAGCAACGGTGGCCTTCGAGGACAATGAGCTCCTTTGATGCATGAAAAGGATTGTCCTTCATTTTTTTAAGTTTTTACAATCAACAACCACCCCCCTCTTCTTTGTCTTGCTACTGGAGTATTTAGCGCTGCCGCTCACTCAATACAAAAATGCCAATCTTACTGTGCTGTCCAGTCTGTGCTTCAGTAGAAACATGGCAGCCACCGCGGAAAGGGACTCGCTCCTTATGTACATACAGAAAACTCTGTTATGGATACAAACAGACAGATTTTTATATTCAGGTGATTACAAACTGATTTACACATACTTGCAATTATTATTTTCTATTTCTACCAAGATTGTTCTGCTGCTAATTCCAAATCACCTTCAAACTGCCAGGGTATTGGACAACCATATTTTTTTAGAGAGAGAGTATTACACTTATTTTTTTCATACTCTGTAATTCCTTTCTAATACTTCTTTATTAGTGTTACAGGATTTTCAGATTTTAAAAAAATCCTCCCTCTTTAAGCAGCATGTCCACAGCACAGTAAAGGATGTCTTCAAAAATTTGTTAGCTATCAATTCAATACCATACTACCATGTAATGCTCGGTCTATTGGAATTGGTAATATTGAACATGGTGCATGTTAAACGCATCAGCAGGCCAAAAAAGCCGAACAGAAGCAGTCAGCTGCACCTGTTTCTCTCAAGGACTGATTCAATTTTCAAGACAGCCAGTGGACATTCTCTTGTGTTACAAAAAAAAAGAGAAAAAGCTGCTCCATCAATGTGCTTTGTATAAATGTGTGTTTACCCACATCTTCCCAATATTGTTCCCAAGCCTTATTGAGAAGCCGTACATCATTTTAGAAATAGCAGAGGACAACAATGGAGTCTATCTAGTGCTTTGGCATCCCAAGCTTATTCACACATAACTAACACACACACACACACACACACACACACACACACACACACACACACACACACACACACACACACACACAGGCAGTGCTGGCGTACAGGTCTGCTCAGGTGGAGAACCTCTCTCAGATTGAAGAAAGCAGATATTCATGGTCGGAAGAAAGAAGTGAAAATGAAGAATTAAATCAAAGCTTGTGTGCGTATGGTGAGTCCAGAACTGTGGTACACAATGACTCTAACTTCCAAATGTGATGACCAAAACCCGTTCACTCTGATTCACATGGGAATAATAGGAAACATGTAAAATCAGTGCAAGTTAGCGTCAGTTAAAACAAATACATTTTTTAAAATTAAGTGACCACAGAAAATGTGGAAGATTCTCCTTTACCCCATTATGTGAAGTTAGTCGTGAACAGTTACAGGAAAGCAGATCTACTTAAAGGTTTAGTAAGAAGCTCCCCTCGAAAAAGAGAGTGATTTCAGATAACACATACCAATCTGTGTGAAGGAAAATTCAGGATTTGTTTCTGACATACTGTACATATCAGAAAATCTGTGTTTAAGTATCAGACTAAAAAACTGATGATCTCAATGAGTTTTATGAGGTGTCAAAGGTTGATCCTGATCCAGACAAAATTCCGGATACTGTGATCCAGAACACACAAAAATAAGGGTGTCGTTGGAATTTTCAATGCTGAAAGATAACCAGTGAAGATACAAGGAAGTGTACGCTGACAAATATTGCATAATAAATCATGCATCTATCTATCTAATATGAGCTTTGTTGTTTTAGGAACATTATAAACAGTGAACATACCAGTTTAAACACAAATAAACGTTAATAAAAGACACGTAACAGTAAAAGCTTTGGTGTGAATCACAATATAAGGGGGGACATGAGCTGCTTGGTGGAGGTCTGCGCTCTCCGAGTGCTTTTCTAGTTATACATTGTCTATTGTGGCACAGATATTTTTCAATCAGTTCTACTGTTGGCTTGTTCGTCACAGTCCCATCTTTGTATACGAGGATTATTGATTTATCTTTACAAATAAAATGTATTATTATTATTATTATAAATCGCTGAGTGAAGGCTGGAGGCATTTAACATGTGAGCTGTGTGCGGGTACACTGTGTTACTCATATGTGTGTGTTTTTTTTTTTTTTTTTTTTTAAGGGGGTTGGGGGGTCTTGTGTGGCCTTGTGTCTGGTACTAACTCATCCGGCTACTAATTGTGTTAGCTCCGCAGCTGTTTGCAGTGGCCAGATTGAGAGCAGTGCTACAGGGCCCTTCTGCTTCTCTCCACTGGGATGAGCTTCAGACCCCTTCATTCCCACTCATACCGACCAATCCTTTTTTTTTCCCCCCTCAAATCTGTGCTGTTTCTGTCTTTTGTAATGATTCTTATTAAACGTTTTTTGTTGTGCTTCTTTCCCTCTGTCTTTTGCGTTTTATTTTCCTCTCTGTGTTTCTCTCTGGAGAGCATTCCATCACATGCTCTCTACCATGCTCACCCCTCCACCCACCCTTCACCATGTGTCTGCATGAAAAGATTGGAGAAGACAGCGTAGGTGACAGTTTTTTTAGGAATGGAGGCGGGACAAGGGTGACAGTAGGCTCTTCAAGACCTCTTTGTTTTGACTTGTGTTGGGGTTAAGTGGTCTCATCTATAGGCCGACTAAGACATCCATTTTTGAGCCCGCATATCAGTTTGTCTGAGAGATAATTTGATATAAGCATATTAGTTCATTAACTTGTCTATGAAACACAATAGCCACGTTTGATTCATGCTGGTGTAGTGAGAATGTTCATCAGAATAAAATAGCACAGTATATTAAGATAATATACTGACTCAGCTACACTGGGACAGTAGTAAAGCTGTAAAAGTACCTTTTAAATATATTCATAAGTCACTAGCTCTCTGGGTGTCAGAGAGGTGGGTAAGGGCTTGTAGACCAGAAGAAATTTACACCACAGCAGGCATTATTCAAAAACCTCCACATAAAGGAAAGAAAAAAATAACCCTCCACCCAAATTTCCCACCCTCCAAACATCCTCTCAGTTGAACTGATGGCTTCTCAGATAATGATTTGGCCTCTCCCTGTTCGATGGGCCTGTCAGACCAACCGGTCCTTTGGTTATGTGGCTGGCTCGGCCCTACAGGTTGTAGTGGCTGTAGCCTTGGCTGCCCATCTGCCCCTGGCATCTGTCCCCACATCTGCCTCATCATGGCCAGCGGACAGACCCAAGGAGAGGCTCCCCTCTAACTGCTGTGGGATTCATGTCCATGACAAAAACCCCACCAACAACAGGCTGGAAATTGTTTGGGAAAATATCCCAGCGCAAATGAAATGATAACAAAATCAAGAAGTGTGGTTATTTTCTTTTATTATCCTCTTTTCTCTGTGTAGAGCAACCCTGTTGTTAACTCTTTGTTCTCCAGTGATACTCTGTCCATCTGATGAATAGTCTTTTGATAGATTATTAGTCAGTAAAAAAAAAAAAAAAACTGCATGAAGACAGGATGTTGCATATTAATCAAATACCTAAAAAAATAGCCAAACCAATTTGTTTGAAAATAGTTTCAAGGTGAGGGAGTACTTTATTTTGTCAACTTTCATTTCGGGCCTTTATGGCAACTGAGAATAGAGTGAGGCAACAGTAAAAAAAAAAAAAACACAGGAACATAAAACAAAATAAATGCAGACAAATGTTATATCTGAGATCAGACCGGTTGCTGTATTTTAATTTCATGGTGTGCACTTGTCTTTTTTTGTTTGTCCAGGGCTCCACGCTTCAAAGGCTACCAACAACAAGACAGCCAGGAGCTTCTTCACTACTTACTGGACTCCATTCGAGTTGAGGAAACTAAAGTGAGCTTTCCTTATTTGACCCCCTTTTACTGCTTTAAGAAAACTAACATGTATTTTATTTCATTTTTTGGACATTTCTGTTGAATTTCTTTTGTCGCGTTTTTTTTCTTCTACATTTTCTAAAGTTTTTTTTTGTCGCTTAAAGTCCTTCAAATCTGCACAAAGTACCCCTTGTACCTCTTTTATTTGATTTTTCTTTTGAAATGTTGGTGAAAAATTTGGCAGAAGAAAATGTCTTAGAAGTAAGGACAACATGAGTACAAGCTTAGTCAGATTTTGCCAAACACAGAATTCATTTTTCAACCACGGCGATGCCAATAAACCCATCATCCTCCATTTTTGTGTTGATAAACTTTTTGGCATGCTGACTCTCTGGGTCTTAAGCATGAATATCTCAAAGGCTGCTAATCATCACTCAAGTGGGTATTGTGCTTGAGCATGTTGAAATAAGCACTTAACTGCATGGCTGGAAGTCATGTATCATAATAGTACACAACAATTGTTGGTTGTTAAGTATATTTTATCAAACTAAGCAACGTGGAAGATGACAGAATTTAAGGACTGATCCATTCAATCAGCACCTGTTTCAAATTTGATTTACTGTGGAAATCATTTGTTTTTTTTGTATCTGGGATTTTTCATTGGTCAGCTTTGTGCTTTAATGTTTTGGCAAGTACGGACCCCTCCCATCCATTTGCAGGGGCAATTAGGAAACCCCACAGCAGCCTCTTGCAGAGCTGAACTGCACCCCGTGGCCCCACCAGTGCCTACGTGAACCAAGGTGGAGAAGTTAGCGGGTGTGTTTAGTGGTCATCCACAGACCCAGGAGTAGCCTCAGGCTGGGCTCTCCTGCTTCCATTCAAACTTGTGAACACTGACAGTTGTGCCACTTAGGGGACTTGCAAGTGGTACAACCGGCATCATTGTGTTATCTTGGGAAACCCACAGCTGCTGAATGAGCTCCAGGGCCGTCCTATTGTGCTTGAGGGTCACCCACAACCCCCTCCACACCCCCCCACCCATATACGCACAAGCACGCACACACACTCATCAGCCCATCTTCCAATCCAATCAGGGAAGTAAAAGAGGGAGGGGGTATTCATCCTCTATTCATTCAGTCAGAAACTCATTTAAACAGCCAAAACGTTAAGAGATACAGTTGCATTTGAGCCTGTGGAGTGTTTTTTTAATCAGGCACTAAAACCAGCTAAATATATAATTTTAATCATAATATTTCAGACATTTGATTTATATTCCCTCCTCAAACGCAGGACCAAAAATGAGAAGACCTTTTTTTCTTTACCTCTGTCACGTCTAGTCCACCTGAATGAACCCACTTGGTTCAAAAAGGCACATTATAGCAACTCATGAACACTTCTACTATGTGAGCGTGTGCTAAGTGTGTTGTTTGTGATGTAGTGAGGGAAACTGGTGTCATGCAGTCTGTGTTCCCAACCTTTTAGAGGCCCTAAATGTTTGTGTTTACCAGCCATTAGTGTCAGAGATCTAAATATGCTAATTTGGCCCAAGTCAATTATCACCAATTAGCTGAGATGGTAGGTATTACCCTCTCAGGGCATGGACTGTCCTTCTTTGCCTCGTCTTCATTTGAGTTTCCACCCCTTCACCCTCATACCAGCAACCCTCTGCGCCCCCTCTCATTCAGCCCATCCTGTGTGGGACAGTGCATGCTGTTACACTGGAGGGGGCAGTGAGGGGTGGGGGTAACTGGTAATTAATTAGTAGGAGAGTCCCCCATTCTGGTCTGACAGTGCCGACTGAGTGGGGTGCAGACTGGCCAGGAAAGGATTAACAGGACTTTTTGACCTAAATAGCCAGTCCAGTGCGTGGGTCCCGGGACAATGGGGGCTGACTGGTCTCGGCCGCAGACATAGACCGTGGCCAATTATCTATTGATTGGTCCTTCACTGTGGCTGTGCCTCTTCACAGCTCTCTCACAAACACACTCACTGACCATGTCACCTTCAATAAGAGGGCCCCACTAAGAACTTAGACACACACACAAACACGCACAGTTCATTAAGACATTTAAGTGTTAACGTTTGTAGACAAGCACAATAATTATTTTACACTAATGATGCTTGTAATAGGTAAACCTGTCAAAGTAAGCGGCAGACTCCATTTTGATGTTTCACTAATGGATGTAATTGAGAAAATGCCAGACGAAAACCTGCAATCTCTCTTATTCAAATGTAACGTGGAGACCATCACTTCCTGTTTGCGTTGTTTATCATTTGTTTGTTTGTGTTTGTTGTCTTTAGAGGGTGAAAGCAGGAATCCTGAAGGCTTTCAATAATCCCACAGAGAAAACTGCGGACGAGGAGACCAAACGCCAAGTCAAAGGTTTGCATGTCCATTGCAGCGTTTGTATTGTGATGACTCAGATCAATAGTCCCATCTTCTGGCAGTTGATGGAAATACAGCTCAGTGACTCTTCTGTCAGAGGGTTGTTTGACATTTATTACATGTGGCTCAGAAATACCTGAATGTAGTGTTTGTCAAATATGTTACGTATCTGATTTATTTATGTCCAGCATGCTGTCACTGAAGTTTCCTGATCTTATGTTTTTTGTTTTTTTTTCGGGTGAAGGCTGACTGAATTGTTTCTCATATCCACATTGTAAAAACCATGTCTCTCTGTTCTCCCAGCGTATGGAAAGGAAGGTGTAAGGATGAACTTTGTCGACCGTATCTTTGTGGGCGAGCTGACCAACACAATTATGTGCGAGGAGTGTGAACACGTAAGTGTATGTGGGTGAAGAACTGCAGGGTCAGCAAGGTCATGAGCGCTCGATCCAAACCAACATCAAGACAGTATAGTAGCTGTGCAATAACTATGCTTTGTAGCCTTCTCGGAGTTTCAAAAGAAGCTAGTACATAAACAAAAACAGACTTTACCGGACTTTACCAGTTTCTAGTTGTGAGCCATCAGTTATGATTTTACAGATATTTGATACGGACCTGTCAGACAACTGACCAATATGTCTAATATGATCTTGATGTCTTTTGGCAATTTAATTTTTTCATGTAACACTTTGCTTAAAGTTTTAGATGAAAGATGAATAATGAGGCATTTTAATTATTAGAACAAAGAGAAGTCTCCGTGAAAACAACCAAAAATTAGCATTTCAAAGACCACCTCACATTATTCTAGGTTTAATTAATAAGATGTAGGAGTTTAAGGTCATTAACAAAGTAGCTGCCTGTGTAAAAACTTGAGACTTTCCTTGGAGGTAAACAGCATCAGGTGTGGGAAGAAAAGACAGATATAATGTCATTCACAACCAAAAATAGAAAATCTGAAAGTGTTGAAGGTAAATTGTAGACGATGGTGGTGAGTCTTCTGGGTTTTCTTTTTTTCTTCAGTTGATCGTAAAATTTAAACTTTTTAAAGCCAGGGAGAATTCCTGTTCGAATCTCATCCTAACTAATTGAATTTCCCTTTGGGGATCAATAAAGTTCTTCTTTCTAACCAAGGAAGTGTAAAAGTAGCTCAGACTGTACTTGTTACTACTTCAGTGAGCAGTCAGTACAAACACCACTGTGTCCAGGTTTTTTTATTTATTTAGTTTCAGTCCAGAGCTGCGACTGTCAAATCTGAAAGAAGTCTGCAGTATTGAAAAAAACAGACATCCTTCAACATTTTAAACTTTAAATTTCAAGTTTTAGGGTTTTAAAGGCAGTAACCTTCCTCCCTATGTGCAGTGCACACACAGTGCATAGGACCTCAGCTTATATGGGGGTCCTCGACTAAACCATATACCCATGTGTATTAACAGTATATTTGTTGAGTTTAGACATTACATATAATATTTACTGGTATCAATGTATGACATGATGTGCTGTGCGCATCTTCACAGTGTGAGACACACACTGTCCCGACAAGCACTCACACTTCACTCCTTGTCTAAATGCACTAAGTTTTCCTTTTTTTTTTACCTCTTGTGTCCAGTTGTCTGAACCTGATGTTGTTTAGTAATGTAACTGCATTGGTTCTGGGTTGACACGTAATGTATTTAACACCAGACTTCTTTCTTCCATGCCTCAGTGAACTATATGTAGAGGTGATTGAATGATAAACTCATAGCTGATGGAGATCAGCAAACAAAGGTTCAGGTTCCTGGTTTATGCAAAGATCTCTTGTTGAAATGTTTTTTTTAAATGAAGGACTTGTTCATTGACAGAATTCTCATTAACATGAACTTATTTTAACAGAGTTACATTGACTTGGTTCCTATAAAAGAAGCTTGCTAATTAAAAATGACACTTAGTTATCCACTAGCTCTGTGCAGGCACCCTAGGTGACCGTATGAGCTGGAGGAGGGCGCCTTATCATGAACTCTGCTTTGGGCTTCCCTTTAATCCCTGTTTAAACATATTCTCCAAACTCTTGGTAACATATTAAAGGTATTTGATTATGCTTATGTTAACCCACACGTGATCTCTCTTTCAGATCTCCACAGTGAAGGAGGCTTTCATAGACATCTCTTTACCTATCATCGAGGAGAGGGTAAGCTGTTGCTATTGGTCATGAGACTGTTTATTTGGACAGTAAACATAGTAACAAACAGTAAACATAGCTGAATATGTCCATCTGTATTAATTCATTGATTAATCTGTTTGCACAGATATCAAAACCTACAAACCCTGGCAGGCTGGGTAAGGCCGGACGGGAGCAGGACACTCACACAATGCACAGCGACCAGGTTTTTTCTGCAGCTCATCCAGTCAACAGGAATACAAGGAAGCTAAGTGGACAGGTAAAGTTAACAGTGTGAAATGTGTGGGACCCTCACATTTGAAGTGAATTTTTGGGCCTGTTTGGATTTATGTAGCTCAAAAAAGTAACTATTGGACAGATGTGTTGATTGAATGTAGCTTGTGGAGCCCTTGTCAGTTTTTTAGCTGGAAAAAAAAACTCCACACCCGCCTCTTTAAGAGAGACTTGCGTGTCTGTTATTTAACCCTCAGAAGCAGCAGAGCAGGAGGTCATCAAGCTCTGTGGAGGAGAAGGGTGCAGGCTGTAGTGCGGAGCGGCACGAGGAGGAGGGGGTTGCCGGTGGATCAGCTCGGGGTGTTTCCGTTTGCAAGATGGCTGTTGCTGGCAGCCTATCTGATGGGAGCGAAAGAGACTCAGGTGCCCAGGACAGCAGTAATGACGCTGACAGTGAGGCTTCAGAGAGCGAGTGGGCCCCACGCATCTCTTCTGGCCACAGCCATGGGCACATGTCCACACCATCCTCTACCTCCACGCTGACCCCATCTCCTACAGCCGTCTCTGCCTCTTCCCCGTCATCTTCATCGTCCATGAGGCAAGGTGGCGCTGTAGAGCAGCTAGTTACCGCTGTGTCTAAAGTCAACCTCGGGTTCAGCACTGGGGACTGCTCATCCTCTACTCACTGTACTCCAGAGGAGCAGGGAGAAACACATACACGAGATAACCTCCACCATCAGCCCCATAAGGGGGCCTTCCAGGTGCTGTCCCACAGTTACACACCCAGCTCCAAGGAGTGCTCCATCCAGTCCTGTCTCCATCAGTTTACCTCTGTAGAGCTGCTGATGGGCAACAACAAGCTGCTGTGTGAGAGCTGCACCGAGCGCAGACACAAACAGCTGCGCAAGAGCAGCTCAGCAGGTAAGACGCAGCATCAGGAGGAGCACCAAGAGCTTTGAGATCTACAAATGATGAGCATTACCTTCAAAGAATTTATCACAAGTAGTATAATTACATTCATTTTTAAGATTGTAGCCATTTTTATTTGCATGCGATCTATTTATCAGAGTCCCCCTTAAAATGATGCTCAGAAAAACTGTCTCTTGGATGTCAAACTTTTGTGTGAGTAACTTTGTCATGTGGAAACACTTGCGTTACAATTTTTTTAATGCTTATTTTTTAGGTGCACATCATTTTAAACATAATTTTTCATTGTAACCAGCTGTAGCTGAAGGAAAGTAAGAAGCAGAATAGCACACTGGCAAGATCATCACATTGTTTTGTTTACTTGATTTTCTGAGAAATTTTACACTTCACAAAGGATGGGCACAAAAACGTAGAAGTAAACTAACTTAGATGTTTCACTTGAGGAATAGCCATTCCAGCATTTCTCCTTTGTCCTCTTCCTGACTTACTTAGTCCTTACCTAACATGAATGAATGGTAGATAATGACGTAATATAATGAAAGAAGCATCAACATATTATATGTACATTTTAAAACGTATGCAGACCCAACAGGTATTGAAATATTTCATGCATTTTAAAGTAAATGTGTCAATAATGGTGAATGTCAGGTGCCATAGAGAGGATTAGCTGCTCATCGAGTCCAAGTGTCACAGAGCAGAATTCAGAGCTGAAAGGTGTTTTTAAAAGTAGAGCCTGTCAAAGGTGTGTAAAAGGTGCCTGGATCCAGATGAGCAGGCACTTGGTGTACCAGCACCCTTCAGGAGTGTTTGACAGTATGTGTGAACTCTCTAACACTGAAATTCAGTGAAAGCGCTTGGAAAGGCTAAAAAATGTAATTGTTACAATCTCTCAGACCTTTCTTTTTTTTGTAGGAAGTACATTAGTTTGGTAGATTTGAGCAGCACAGGACTAATTCTGAAACCGGATCTTTCTTTGTTATTGACACAGACAAGAAGGTGGAAAAGATTTACACCAGCGCAAGGAAGCAAATGCTGATATCATCCCTGCCTCCTGTGATCACGTTACATCTTAAACGCTTCCATCAGGTGAGCTGGGACACAGTCTGCCTTTCTATCCTCCTATTCACTGTAAAAGTAGCAGTCGTCTGTGATGTTTCAGGGTGTAGCATAAACAGTGACAGATCTGGCCTTTATTGTGGTTTACAGGTTCAGATGTCAATAAGTTCTGCTTCTGCTCTTGTATTTTAAGGCAGGGATGAACCTAAGGAAAGTGAACCGACACGTTGACTTCCCCCTCATCTTGGATCTTGCCCCATTTTGCTCAGTGTCCTGCAAGGTATCGTGACACTAATGCAGACATCCAAAAAGATTCAATGAGCTTAAAATGAAGTAATGAAAATATCAAGTCAATCAAGAGGTTTTTTTTTTGTTTGTTTGTTTTTTTTGCTCATCCTCTTTCTTGTTTCTGCAAGAATCTGGCTGCTGGTGAGCGTGTCCACTACAGCCTGTATGGGATTGTTGAACACAGTGGTTCAATGCGAGGGGGACACTACACTGCATATGTCAAAGTGCGCCCTCCTCAAAGGAAAACAGAGCAGCACCACAGGAACCAGTCAGGTCAGGATTTGGCTTTATTGAACTCCTTTAAGACTTTTTTTCTTTTTTTAACTGCACCAGAGAAATATTCCTATGAAACCTTTTGTGTGTCTTCCACAAGTAGCAGGATGTAAAGTGATGTTGAGTTATAAAGATCTGTAATTTGGGATATCCGGGATATCTTTTGACACAAGAACACCCAGCAGTTTGCTTTCTTGCAGGATTTGTAGGGTTGTCACTCCTCAAAAAAACAAATGTTTGAAGTGTTGTCTTCTCTCCTATATTTATAAAAAATTAAAAATTTGTACATGCTCCAGCCGATGGCTACAGGAGAAGTCTGACTCTGTCAAAGGCCGGTCTTCTCTGATGTCACCTTAAGGCTGCAGTCGCTGCAGCTTGATCACAGTTTGAAAAGATGTTCTCTGCAAGTTCAGACAGCAATATACTGAATATCCCTTTGTAAATATATTTCAGTTTAGTCATTGTGGAGACACCCTGTGATAGCTCGTCCACAAATTGTACCATACCATTAACACTGAGGCTGTGCGTTTGTGTGTTTCAGGTGCACGAGAAGGAGGGGGCAGCTCCCAGGGCCAGTGGGTGTACATCAGTGATACCACAGTTCAAACGGTACCAGAATCAAGGGTACTCAACTCTCAGGCATACCTGCTCTTCTACGAGGAAATGCTGTAATTTGACTAACAGAAACCTGTAACTGGGTTTTCCTTGTATTATTTCAGTACAAGCCTGTACTGCTCCTCTTGCTGTACCTGTGAGGAGGTGGGAAAGGGAAAGACTACACTTGCTTTTGTTATATTTGAGTAATGAACATAGGGATTCTTAGAATTGTTCCTTCTTAATGTCTAAGATGAATTCAGATCGTATCAAATATCAGAGTTATTATTTTCTGATTCAGTATAACTTAGACCTACAGTATATTAGTGTTTTATGGTTGAAAAGCCCTTCCCTTTAAAAAAGGCTTGTAAAGGAGGGTCCTTATCTCCTGCTATCTCAGTCACGATCATGTGCCTGAGAAGTAAACTGCATGAGGGAGTTTGCCATAGTAACTTACAGGACATAGGCAGATCTACTGCATGCTAAAACTGTGCTCAGCACTGACTTGTTGATGTCAATTTTGTGTGTGAGTGTGCACATGTGAGTGAAAGATTGAGTGAGCAAGAGACAGAAGAATGTAGACTTAAGGTGCTATGTGTATCACTATTACCACAACAAACTTAAAGGTTGAATTACTTGTGTTAACCATCATAAAGAAAATCTGCATCCAACACAAGTGCTTTTACATTGTGTGGCTAAGGCACTCGTTTGTTCAGAAGAGTGCTTGTTTTTTTCTGCCGATGGAGTACGCTAGATGCTGAGAAATAACAGTTTCAGACATGTTTGTCCTTTGAGTCCAGAGAATGAAGCGCGTGGACGGGCAGAAGTGTCATTTGTGACAGTTTATAAAAAAAGAAGTTCAAGTACTTGGAAACAGGGGCGTCAGTGGTGTGAAAAAGAGCTCAGCCCAATTTTCATCCGGTTTATTTATAATTGCATAAATTCCATTAACAAATTGGTTTGAATTGTTACACAAAGCACCTTTATTGAATAGCACAACTGTTATTTTTCAGCCTACTTTTAAAGGATTGTTTTTTTTTCTATATCAGAATGTATAAATGTAAGACTATCGGTGAATTACATTTGCCAAAGACAAGTTAAAAACTGCAAGTCAGAGCAGGAAATCAGAACCAAACCAATGGAGTTTACTTCACTCAGTTGTATTAATGTTTTATCTGTTGAGGTGATTCTACAGTGTTGTTGCACAGCCATTGCTTTTCAGAACAAGAAAGCACTTTGTACGCCTTCATTTGTATTCAGTCTTAACCCAGACCCATGAAAATATCCAACAACAGACATCAACAGACTGAGTTTGAATTTCTGAATATTCTCTGTTAGTTCAGCAAAAACTAAAAACGGAAGTCTCAAAGGCTTCAGGCTTGACTACAGAAACTTTCATTGCTGAGATGTGCATGGGTTGAACCTTCTATTGAATGTATTGCTTGGTCATGAAATGAGCTGTTCATCTCTTTTTATGAAAATGTCATGAGTGAAAATATTTTCTTTCTCATTGGAAATTAGCCAAGAACAGTAGAAGAGAAAGTTCTTAACATCAGAATCTAGAGGATTATCATTATTATTATTATTATTAATAATATTATTATTATCATTATTATTATTTTGCAAATAAAGTCAAATACAGTGCCTGTGCTTTGGGTTAAAGGGACCTATGCATGGTGAAAAGACAAACATATGCATTGGCAATGCAAAGAGGGAAATATGTACAGTATTTATTTACAGTATGGCCTACTGTAAGCAAAATTAATGAGGAGAGTATGTAACTTTGCAGATTAGAAATAATACAAAACCATGGTGCTTCAGGTGTGCAGGGTGTTTTCCTGAAGACACTGTTGTGTCCACAAAAATATGATTTCCATAAGAAAACCTTTGGATTGAGTATAACTACAAACTATGAAAATAAATCTACTTTACGAACTGAATCCTCTCAAAGACTCCTCTTTACCTTCTCATTTGAGCTTCTTTGCTGCAAAAGCTTCACTAGCAAAGGAGAAATGAGAGATCACTGGGGTAAGGTTTTGTTGTTTCTGCTTTGGACTTCATGTCATACTGTTTTTACACTGAGATGCTGTCCAGCGTGGCTCTTAGCTGTCACTGTTGCTCCCATGGTGCCATATTCAGCTCATCGTCACCGGTGATCAGCCCTGACGGGTGCAAAGCAGCACTGCTTCAGAACATGTCGCGAGCTGGTGAAGAGGAGGTGGGTGTGGAATCAAGAAAAGGGCAACGTCCAAAAACATCCCCTTCCATGTCCTCTTGTTCCCACATGCTGTGACATCCCAGTCATGCTGCTGGAACATAAAACAGGTTGTCAAGCCGCCACCAACAAAAAGGGCAAATCTTTTTTGAAATGTATTAAGTCTATTTTTAAAGTGGGAGGGGGGTGGTTTTTGGCTTGAGGACATGCAGCCAAAGCATTTGATGTGATCTAATCCCAGTTAATGAAAGATGCTCCACCCCCTGCATAAGACAGCTACACAAAACTAATGCAGGATTGCTCATTTTAGTGTAGTCCTGTTTCTACCAGCAGTGTAGGTTAAATGTTTCTGCTCTCACCATCAAGCCGTCAATCTCACCTCTTTTTTACACTCCACTATACTGCATTAATGACAACACTGTCACCCCACTTAGTTTCTAGTGTAAAAATCTACAGATGCCTCAGGCTTTACTACTCTCTACGTTTATATATAAATCACTAATTATTAACACCAAAGTACACGTGACAGAGCACCAAACAACACCTGCAAAGAACTTTCCAAAACCAGTGTGTGAATCCCATTATTTATAAAGTGACACCCTATAATGACCACACAACATTGTGACACCAACCACATTACACTGCTGCAGCACATACAGTCTTTATGCTAAAGTCCAACTTCACAGTCTTTTCAAGTTTCAAAATTTTCTTTTCAAAATTTTAGTTTCAAATATAAACATTTACATTTATACAGAAAAAATAAAAAAAACCTTGGAGTGATTTGTCCTCTTCCTACACGGACATGTTTGTGCAACATACTTCAGAGTAAGTCAGTCAGCTAACATCAGGTTAATACCATGCTCAGTGATAACATGTACAGAGAGCACACATAACATAATTCAATAGAAATTTTCAGAATTTCCACCAATAAGAAACTAAATTATTACAGACAAATGGTAGTTGTGTCAATAGTTGTACAAGTATGACTAACTGAAGCTTGAAAATATGTTACTAGTATTAAAATCAATTCTCATAAGTATTAAGCAGGTACACAGCAGCAAAGCAGTATGCAAAAACTATCACGGACTGATGAGCGAAAACCCAAGACCTGTAGTGTGGAAAAAAAGATAACATGCATTAATGGGACATGAGTGCATCTTGATGGAGAGAGACGGGTGACAGGAGCTCAGTGTATTATGGGCTTGGGCAGTCCAAGCACTTAGCAACACAGCTAGGGGCCATCCCATAGCAAGTCTGAGACGACCCTTACTGTTAGCCTGTTTTTAAATGAATGTTTTACATCACTAACATGCTGATATAAGAAATTCAACCATTTTGACAGATTCTTGTCAGTTCCCTTGTTGAACCAGCTGATTCTTATCCAGTAGAGAATGGCAATAATGTAGTATTGAATATATGACATCTATGTATTTGTATGGACCACACATATATTGCATATGTAAAGTTGCACCAATATCTGATAAGTTTCATATAAAGTTTGTCCATACATGTACCTAAATGTTTTCATCCCTATATATTTCATTTTGATATGGGAACCAAATAGGCTATTATGGATTTGCTGGTTGTTAGTCTGATGTACAAGGTTTTAATATTGTCAACCTGACAAGACAACACAGGTGTATTATGTAGACTTTAGTTTCATAAGACAAGAATGTGCATGTGTTAAAAGCACACTGTACAATCCATAATTTGAACATTTCCAGGTGTGGCAGATGACAATTATGTGTCTAGTGACAGTATTTTGACTTTATATTTTGATTGGGACAATCCTATCATCAGTGACCTGATTTAACACCGTTTTGCATCGGTGTGTGATGCATACAGAGGCGTGAAGTCATGCTGAGCAGTGCTGTTCGTAGTGATACCTTTCAGGCTGCTCGGAAATGTATCTTATTCTGGAAGTAAAATAGGAAGTAAAGCGTGTTGGAAGCAACAGTCACGGGGAAGAGGACCCAAAACAATCTGATTACTTAAGTAGGGATCTAAATAGTATAATTCTGCTGAAACTGCTGTACTAATTTTTAAAACTACTCAAAAAGTGAGAGTAGTTAACACAAAAAAGCTACAAAATCACAAAAACGAGGGTAGATGTAATTCGTTATTTGCCACCCCTGGTACGTAAATATGTGCCTGTTTCAAATATACCCCACGAAATAGCCTAATATTTTATTTTACTAGTGGAACGTCCATACACTTGAAATTAACGGACACGCAACTAGCCAAACAAGGTTCCCCAAATGACAACCAGAGAAAAATCAGAATTCTAATATTGCCGGCGACCCTTGAAGGCAGCAGCAGAGCCCGGTTCTCGCTTCCTCTGCTCGCTCGCGGGGGGGTGCAGGCTCAGTGCTGCGGCCATTTTGATTTGCAATTGCAGCGCTGGGGAGAAACTGTCTGGAAAAGGTGGGGACCCTGTTACCCTAAGCATAGCGCTGACAAAAGTTCCTTTTAATTTTCCCTTTAATGCGGAACTGAAGCCAGAGCCAGAGGCAGATTTTTTTTCACCCGGTAAGATTCTGTTTCAACTGTTCGTTACCTTTCGTGTGTAGCTTAGCCTTTCGTTAGCTTACGTTAGCTTGGGGTTGCTTCTGTAGCTAACAAACACATGACCAGAAATAGGTTTGGAGGATGTAGTTTTACCAATCCCTAAAGTATTAGTTATCTGCACAGTTATTTCAACCATTAACAGAGACATTAATTCCTAGCTTGTCGAAATGGTGCACATTCGACAGACGGTTAGCCGGTCAGTTGAGGTGACGCTAGCATACACCAGAGCTAATGTTGGACCCCACACCAGTGTAAGGTTATAGCGCAATAACAGCAGCAGCAGCTCTTGCCCGTCAGTTGCAGAGATGCCGATGATGCAAGTCAAAATCTAAATCTGTATGGGTTGAATATTTCAGGTGAATCCAGAGGCGAGAGATGTGGGACCAGGGAGGACAGCCCTGGCCGCAGTGGCCTCTGAGCCAGCAGCAGTGGATGCAGTCTTTCCAGCACCAGCAAGATCCAGGTAACGGAGTGCATGCACTCTGAGCTGATTTTACCTGACAATGAAACGTCACATAACCAGTGCAGGCTGTGAAAAGTAGATGTACACCAGATTACAAGGGTGTTCTGAGTGATTGCAATTTTTTAATTTACCTGATCGGATTCTTTTTCTGCCTATTTGAAGGTCAAGTGGACTGGGCTGCCCTGGCACAAGCATGGATTGCTCAAAAGGAGTCAACATCTGAACAGCCAAACATTCAGCCCAATGGCCAAGATATCCCAGGCATTGATGCTGTTGCACAGAGTAACCATGGCAGCTTCCAGGGTGACCCAGCATTTGGCAGAATGTGGCAGCCAGGTACAACTTAAACCCTACCAGGCTCTCTCTCTCTCTCTCTCTCTCTCTCTCTCTCTTCTCACTCACCTTTTGGGCTGGTGAAATTTGTTTTTTCTCCCATATAAGTTCCATGCTATTTTCAGATTGTAGAGTATTTGCAAATTGTGGACTCTTGTTGATGTTTGTATACATGCAAAGATAAGTGTGAAAGTCTGGTTACATAGTCCATTTGCATAGGATGCCCAGGCGCTTAAATAAAAGAGGGCCCCTTATTGGTTCCATAAATGTGCTGTGTTGTTTTACTTTCATTAATGGTTACTTATAATGTTACCATCACTAGAATGGGGGATGCATGGCCAGCCTCCTCCCCCTCCTCCACCCCCCGACCAGGCCTGGATCCCTCCGGGGTCAGGACCAATGGACGTTGTGAACCCCAGCGAGGACAGCAACAGCCAGGACAGTGTGGAGTTCAACTCTGAAGCCCACCATGGGGTTTACCCCCAGAACAGCCATGGGTATGGGGCTCAGCCCGACAGCTACGCCATGGCCCCCATGGCCATGAACCAGTTTGATTATCAGGTATGCAGATGCTACAGTAGAAACTGTTGAAGCGTTTCAGTTTTAGTGTGACAGCCAAGTAACACAAGAAGAAGCAATCCATAGAAACTGTCCTGGGTCCCAGCATCTGTGTGTATCAGTCATTGCTTTTTTGATGCAATGCAGAGGAAGGTGTTGGCTTGTTGAGGATCCGGCATGGTTTGGTATTATTTTTAGACTTTTATTAAAATATTAGTCAGCACAGTTGGATGAACATCAGCTAAAAGTCTGCCTTGTTTTTGGGGCAAGACAAAACAATCCCACATTTAGTGTGTGCCATCTGGTGGTAATAACAAAGAAACTTCTGCACTTTGAATCCCATTCGATTTTTGTGCTCACTCTCCACAGCATGGAGCCGCTTCATCCTTTCCTCCTGCACCCACTGGCTTCCATCCCCCATACTGGCAGGGTCCTCCTCAGAATAGGCGGGATGCACGACCACCTGGCTTTAGAGACCGACCGAGATCCCCCATCCAGCTCCCTGTCAAGCAGGAGGCCCCGGCACCATTAGGTGAGTGTTTTCACTGATCTAGAGGCTATTACATAATCAGCTGAAGGCTGCTTGAGGCACTTGGACATACAACACGTATGATGTTGTGTATAAAGAAAAAACAGAATAAGAGTTCTGAAGAGCCTTTATGTTGTTCCAGGATTCACAATGAAACAACTTTAGTCAGATGTTTTTATCAATCTGGTATTTATCCTGTTATGAGTTGCTCTTCATCCCCGAATTACTCTCATTCGTTGGAAATTTGAGCTGCTGTGTTTTCACATCGGCTCACTATGACTTAACAAACAAGAATTTTACTGGGAGGCTGGTGGGGGGAAAAAAAGAGTGTTTCTATGATGTAGATCACAGATAAGATCAGAAAACCAACTGCATGTTTAAAAAAGAAGTGAACACATTTTGAAATTTCTTTAAAAATTTCTGTCTTCTTGATTAATTTTATGTGTCTAATATTGTGGCCGTGTGCGGTGAATTCATTTTGACATGGGATTTCACCTTCAGATGCCGTCAAGAGGCGCACACTCCCTGCATGGATCCGAGAAGGCCTTGAAAAGATGGATAGAGAGAAGCAGAAGAAGCTGGAGCGAGAGCGTATGGAGAAGGAGCGGGAAAAAATTGGAAAGGATGATGACAAAGAGGATGAGGCTGACCAGGAGGGTGATGGGCCACGTGTGCCACGCAAGAGCAAATTTGTTAGTAATCCATTTTCGTCCATTATGGTCCTCTTTGAATGACAGTTTGCATGTTGTGTGGCGTGTTAGTGAAGTAAATACATCCATGGCCATCAGTTTAAACTCAATTATCAGGACTGTAGCAATCAGGGTCTGCAGACATGAGTGTTTACTTTGCCACTGTTAAAAGCTTTTTTCTTTTCTTTCCATCAGGACAGTGACGATGAGGGGAATGATGACAATGAGGAGGAAGAAAAAGTTTCCATGACCAAAGACTTTTCTGTCCGGAGCCCATCACCACCTGCAGAGGAGAGCGAATCTGAAATGACTGACGAAGAAAAGGAATTCCATCTGGTCAGTTTCGTCATAAACTGCACAGACAACAGTTAGTGACACAGATTTATTGAAAACGAGCTGATTTATCACTCCCTTGTCTTTAGATGGTCATGACAAAAACACTTCTGACTGAGATCCTTCTTGAGGTCACCAATGAGGAGATCCAGCATGTCGCTAAAGACACCCACCGGAAAGCCACTCGAGGTCTGCTCTTGTCTTCTCCAGTTTATGAATCACATGCTTGCCACCAAGACAGTGAATTTATTTCAAGCAAAGTCTGTTATTTTTATGATAATCTGCCACTATCACACACACACAGTAAGGCCCTCTAAAGTGGGTCATGAACTGGAAATAGGAATATGTCTGACATGCGTTTTCAGCCATTCTCTGCTAATGTGGCAGAAGGAGAGCAAATGTTGTACTGATAATATCCAAAAGGACTGCTCCTGGTTTAAAGTATCACAGGTTCTGCTGTAAGACTATGACTTAAGTGACTGTGCAGCATTCACATACAGGCGGATAAGACTCAGCATTAGTACAGATTAGTTCTTTCCTTCCTGCCCGACTGTTTTACTTGGCCTGTGCATCATAATTTTGTTTGTTAACCCTCTCTCTTTTCTCCATTTATTTTATTTTATGTTATTTTTGTTTTCTTCTCCTTACCAATGGCAGCTCTTGTGAATATTGCTTGATCTGTGACCACCTTTTCTAGCGACCCCTCTTGCCTTTGAGAAAATGGCAGTATGTGTTTTAACATGTTGTTCCTGTTGTTGATGTGAATCAAAGCTCCTGCAAAACAGCTGGCACAGTCAAGTGCACTGGCTTCTCTGACTGGTCTCAGTGAGTATCCCTTTTTCTGTCTGCGGGAGTGGGGGGAAGTGGGGTGGGGGGTTCTGGCGGCGTAGGGACGTCTGAAAAGCTGATTACACGAGACATGGCAGTAAAATTGAATTTAAGACTGATGTAGACAGGAAAGAAGTCTCTCTGGATGATGTGGATTTGGTCATGTACTCTGATAGAAGAAGCATGCTCCTGAATGTGAAGTGTTTCCTTCAGTTGACCATAAAAGGTTGTTTTTATTAGCAGTGTGAAATCTACAGAAACATCCTACAGGGTTAAGTTCATTTCACCACTTCCATTAGATTGAGAACTCTGATAGGTTGAACTACTTGTGAGCATGGCTCTTGATTCTTTCCAACAATCAACAATCCGGGGGCTCTGTTGTGGCAGGTGGGCTTGGTGACTATGGTTCAGATGAGAGTGAGGATGAGGATGACCGCAGCGTACATGGGTCTGAATCCTCTGACACCGATGAGGAGGAGCTGCGCCACAGAATCCGGGAGAAGCAGGACGCCTTCCGCCGCAAAGAGCGTGAGATGCTGCAGCTGCAAGAAAAACAAGCACAAGAGGCTCTGCTTGCACGTGGTGAGTCTCATCTTTTCTAGTAAGAGTAGATGCGTGATAGATGCCTTATGCCTCAAAATTTAAGTATGTGCACTAGGGATGTGCTGATATATGATTTAATCGCGATATGCGACACTAAAATGGCCGCGATGATGAAATCGTAGGGTACTGTTATAATCATTCCACAATTATAATTTAAATACGAGTGGCAGTGTCACTCAGCAGAGATGAGCGAAGCCGAGTACTTACCAACCTAACCTGCTTGTAGTCTTACCCACAGTGTCAAAGCCTCTGTAGCAAAATGTACAAACAAACCACCACAAAAGTATTCCCAAATCCAAAACAAACTCTCGATTTAAGTACATTAATGCCACCCTAACAAAAACGGGAACATTAAAAGCGAAAATGAAGAAACTTTACAACAAAATGCATGGCCACCCACAATGCATTGCGGCCACCCAAAGCACTGTTGGAGCGTGTCCACTCTGTGAACCGGAAACAGTTTGAAGAAGAAAAAAAAAGTTAACGCACACGTTCCAACTTCCAACCAACGTAACGATGCAGCCGGACCAAGAACAGCTAGAGACTGAGAATGACGAAGCACCTCGGCTGTATCCTCCGATTAAAAAGGTTTGGTTGGCAGTATGGATGTTTTACGGCTTCACAAAACAGACGGAGCAGGTAAACCTGACTCCAATCTGCAGGTTGTGCCATAAGGAAGTTGTAGCGCCGTTGTCTAATACTTCAAACCTACGTGCCCACCTCCATGAACACCATCCAGCATTGTTCGCCCAAATCAAGGTAAAAACAACATGACCGCAACAAGTTTGATCTACTCTACTGCTTATTATTGACAACGTTAGTGACGTTTCTGCTAACTTTAGCTCCAAAAAGCCAATGCTCCCAACGTCGCGTTAGCTGCCTCTTGCTCATATTGTTTGTGCGTGTCATGCTGTGCACAGAAAAGTGATTTGGCAGTTTTTTGCCATTTTTAATAACGTTAAAAGCAATGCGCTAATATCGTGATAATATCGTGAATCGTGATATTTTGGGCCACCAATATCGTGATATCAAATTTTTCATATCGGCACATACCTAATAGTGATACTGCTGATGATCATGATTGTCTTCTACTGTGTCAATGTCAGTTTGGACCTGTATCGCAGCAAATGTTGAATCTTTGTAACTACATAGCTAACATTTAAATCTCTTGTCAATACTTAAAGCGTGAATTGATTGACAAAAGATTTTTATTAGTGCTGACATTGGGTCTCATTCATGAAATGTTTGTACATTTGGTTGTAGATTTAAGTGTAAAGGTCTAAAAACCAAAGTACTACAGATTTATCAATGCTGTAAAAACCTCTGATTTAATCATAGACGTTTGTAAGTTCATGATAGTTCATGAACGCCAATCGATCGTCAAGTGACAACGCGCTCCTGACAGCTGATAATCAGCATAACTCTCTGCCCTTGGTAAGCCCATGAACACCATAGTAGGAGAAATATTGATTTGCCTGTTGTGAACATAACAGATCACAATATGAATTTAAATAGCAATTTCTGATAAGCAACATTTCTGTGTATGCTTTACTTAGTCAAACTCGACTCGGAGGCAGGTGTAGATTTTGTGAGTAGCTTCAAAAGTAACAAATCAAACATTGATGAATGCAAGTTGCCCGAAAATGTTGTTACACACAAAATTCTTCTGCTCCCGTTTCGTGAATGAGACCCATTGATCCCATCTTTGTAAAATCAAAAACTACAACAGATAACAGACATAATGTGCTCCCAAAATTCCCAGCACCTTGTGTTTCCTAGTGTACTTGTTTTAACATATCTTTTGTTGTTGTTGTTGTTGTTGTTGTTTTACAGAAGAGATGATAAAGGAGAGATTGATGAGGGAAAAGGGGGAATATGATGAGGGCCAGCCAGAGAATCCACATAAACAGGAAGTAAAAGAGAGGGAGGCGGAGCCCTTGGTAGAGAGGCGTAGGTCTCGCAGTGAGAAGGAGGGCAGTGAGACTAAACACTCAGGTAGAGGAAAGGAGCGGTCAGGGCGAGGCAGCGAATCCCCAGCCAACGGTCACAGCAGCAGCTCCCGCTCCAGCTCCAGCCACAGCAGCCGCCGGTCTTCATCCTCCTCCTCTTCTTCCTCAGCCTCTTCCCGTAGTTCATCTCGATCCTCCTCCCCAAGAAGGAAGAGAAGGCGTAGTCGCTCTTCCTCCCACAAGGCTCGTCGCCGCAGCCGCAGCCACAGCTCCCACAGGCACCGTAGTGATCGGGGTGAGAAGGGCAGGGACAGGAGAAGGAGTGTAGATAGATCGAGCCGCCACAAGAAAGACCGCAGTGATTCCAGGGACCGCAGGAGCCGCAGGAGTAGATCCAGATCCAGAGAAAGAGACAGGGGCCGAGCTAGAGCCAGAGACAGCCGCAGTCGTAGCAAAGACAGAAAGGAGAAAGAGAGGGATAAGGAGAGGAAAAGGAGTCGAGATCAACGAGACAGCAGTCACAGCCGCAGCAGCAAGCACAAACAGAAGTCCTCCAGCAAAGACAGAGAGAGGAGAAGGGAGAGGAGTTACAGCCATGAGAAGGACAAAAAGAAAAAGGATAAAGACAAGGACAGGGAGTCTGATAAAAAGAAAGAAAAACCTAAGACCAAGGAAAAAGACAAGGAGAAAGAAAAAGAAAAAAGGACTGTTGTTGCAGAGGAAAACGGTAAATCCAAGAAAAGGAAAGACAGTGACTCCTTCACAGACACCCACAGTGACAAGCACTCACGGCAGGATAGTAAAGTAAGTAAGAAGGGCTCCGCCAAAGCTAGCAAGAGGTGCTCGGATTCTGACTCAAGTAGATCCCCAACCCCTGAAGTTAGCAAAGAAAAGAAATCGAAAAAGTCCAAACGCAGTCGTTCACGGTCGACGGAAAAATCTCACAAGTCTGGTAAGAAGGCAAGCCGCAAACACAAGTCTAAGTCGCGATCAAGGTAGTATTCCTTTTTTCTCTTTTTTCCCTACTGTGTGTTTTCACTGTATGTCTCATTGTGATTTCTCTGCAGCCTTCTTAATGAATAAATTACAGTAACTCTAAAACAGGAAATCATGTTGACTGAATGTTACATAAATGTGTTAAACACACTTGCATCCATCATAAGTGTTAAGTCGAGGCAATAAGGAGGTGAAATGCTTTATGGTAGTATCATTTATTGATGCTTGATTGTCTTGGAAAATTTCAGCTTTCAGCCATTTCCTCAGTAGTGTGCAAGCTTTTGTTAGCACAATGTTAAAACATGCAACTACCCAAAATAAAAGGGAGAACGTCTAATTAGGCCGTAGTAATGCCAAAGTGAAGAAGGGCATTTACCTCAAACTATGTGGGATAGATTGACTCCACCAGAGGTTTACAGAGGATGGGCTTTTAAGGGGATACAGCTGTTTGTACTATTAGGGTAGAGTATGCTTGGAGGGGTGGTCATTGTGCATGTTTGTACTTGATGTCTGTGTGGGTGAGTGTGATTGGTGCAGTATTAATGTTACGTCCACCCCTGTCTTTCAGGTCAACATCCCCCTCCCGTCGTAGCAGACGCTAAGGAGCACAGTTAATCTCCTGATCTCTGCATTTGACCATTTTAAATTCCATGAGTTGAACAGGCTTGTCTCATTATAGAGGCAGTTGTGTAGGTGAACCCCCCCTCTCATACATTTCTTTCATTTTTGTAAATATGTTCTTTTTAAAGTGTGACTGGAGAACAAGACTGTTTGGATGGTAGGAATTTTCACTTGTATTATTATGCAAAGCTCAAGATGACTACGGACACTAAGAACTCAAGTTGTATTATTTTAAATGGTAACAGGATTTACTTTTTTCAAACATTATTGTAAGATGTTCAATAAATCTGTTTGTTCCTTGTCTTGCCTCAGTGTCTCTTTGATTCCAAGCTAGATTTATTTGCGAGCAGTTGGCTTTCTATACCATAAAAAGTCAACACAGTAGCATATGGTTACCTGTTCAAACAGTTAATATGTAGATTAGCTGAGGACATACTGACACACAAACTGCCCTGATGACAAAAGGGGAAAATTCCATGAAGTGCAGGAGCTACTGTTGTAGCTAAAATGCACAGGGCACCTGCTATGTCCCATAGTGCACAAGCACACAAGAAGTCCATAACTGAAGACTTCTGTATGGAAGTCTTTTCAAGACCATGGTGTAAGTTGGGGCACCAAACTATTACAGAAAGGCACTGCACCAAGGACACTGAACTAGTGGCTGTTAGCATGAGGCCTTACTCTCTGGCAAGGAAATCCTCATATGCTATAACGATAGCTGCATACCCCCCACCCCACAAACAGACGCAGAACCAAAATCTGATCATGAGCTGGTGCTACTCCTACCTGTACACAAACCTCTGATCCACAGACAACCAGCGGTCACACACAGTAAAATGATGCTTAAGCTGTGACTGTGGGAAACATTAAGGGAGGATCATGAGGACGACTGACGGTTGAGCACACTACATCAATTTCTGTGTGACAATACTGCACGCATCAAAACTACAGGGTTGCCAACAAGCCAGGGATCACGCCTGATATAAAAGCTCTTGAAGGACAAAAAGAGAGTTCGGAAACAAGGAGGAGATAAGGACTGAGGAGGAAGATCAGTGAGGGAAAGCTACAGGGGGATGATGGAGGATCAGCTACAGGCAGCAGAGGAGTTTGGAGGGGCCTGAAAACCATCTGTTGTCACAAGACCTTAACAGCTGAGCTGATGAGGAATCAGGGGTGGGTGGACAAATTGAACACCTTTCTTACCTTATTAACCTTTGTGTGCGTGTAAAGTGCTTGGTGCTGCACTGTCTTGTGTAAAAAGTGCCATACAAATAAAGATTGATTTAACAGGTCTGACCAGCCATCCACCCAACCCATCCTGCTCATTAATATCTTTACTACACCCATCATTACACAGTCACCCAGCTCCAGCCTGTCCTCCATGTCCCAGGTGCAGAGGGAACTAAATAGCTTAAGTACAGAAAGCCTCCAGGTCCCGATGGCATCAGCTCCAGGCTCCTCCGATCCTGTGCAGACCAGTTGTGTGGCAATTTTTGAGCATCTTTACACCATGAGCCTAAAGCTGGGAAGGGTGCCACAGCTGGGCAAGACCTCTTGCATGGTATCAATGCCATAGATTCCTTACTTCAGGGCAGGCCTCTTCACCTGCAGTGTGTGAGGGAGATACTGCAAGTCCTTCTTTCCTGCTGCAGTCAGACTGTTCAACCAGGCCTGCTCCCAGTAGTTCAAGTTTTCAGCACAACTAATGAACAAGGACACAGTGTTACCGTACAGTCTTTGAGTGTTACCTGTATGTGCAATATTGACAGGCCAACTGTTTTTTTTTTTTTTTTTTACAATTGTAAATACCTACAGTTTTCTCAGGTATAATAACTCAAATAATGTGCAGTGATGAGAGTGTACTTATTCTTTTGTGTTTGTTATGCCGATCCTTTGCTGCTATTAACTGCAATTTTCCCTACTGTGGGATAAAGATTTATCATATATTTTATTTTATCTCTTCGCTTTTTCAAATTCTGGTGAACATGCAACAATATGAGGTAGAAATGTAATGAAGTGAATAGAGAAAAGCACCAATACATTAAAAATAGATCATTTCCGCACAAAGTGTTATTTTTTAACTGGTCACTTATATCATGATGACTTATTATCCTGTAGAAGGGCATCCCTGCTACATTTTATCAACTAAGAGGTATGAGGATTGGCGCTTTTATCTATGGTGTTTTTCAGGAGTCCAATTCAATTGGGCGAAATCTACGCAGCTTGTGAGGAGGAACTCAGATACACGTGAAAAGACATGTTTCATTTCAGTTGTGAGTTTTTTCTTCATTAAGTGTGGGAACTAAGCGGTGGGAACTATCGTACGCGTTGTTTCCACCCGTGCTGAAAAGATTCGAGCACTAGATATACAAACGCAGACTACACTGATAGCTAGTTGCTAAACTGTCATGAAAGCATGTACTCTAATAAGTTTGGCCGTCTCGTGTTAGGGCTGTACAGCCGGAAACAGAGTTCCGTCTGCGGCATTGCTCAGGGTTGCGCTGGACGGAGCTCGTTCAGCTGGACTGCGGTGTGTAAAGAGCGGACACTGAGGCTGCAGAGGGGCGGCTGCCCGGAGAGTCATGCTGCGTCCTCTCAGATCAGGTAACGTCAAAACCCTTCAGGGTAACTGCCTGAGGCTGACAGGGTCAAATCTGACAACCTTTTAATGTGTGCGTTAAGGGGGTGAATTGTTAAAAAAGAATTAGTAGAAGATACTGTGTTATATCATGTGCAGATATTGTAGAGCTGTAAGCTAATGTTTGCCCCTGATAGTTTCTATACCAGTACAAGGTGAGTTCAGTAATGGATACTGCAACACTGAATGTAGGCTTTATGTTCCACTAAGCCTTCACTTACGACAGGTTATAGCTCAAAATGTAGAAATGAGCAAATTCTGCTCATACCCCCATTATTATCAAGATAAGAAATACCAGAGATCAGACCTCTACCCAAAAACACGGAGTTTTATACATTTAAGGCCTGAGCCGAGCTTTCAGTTCATCGTTTTACTTGATTAATAAAACAATAAATGGGTCATTGGCATTTTTGGAAGATTTCTGTCACCTAAATAATGAAAGTCTTATTATTCCAGTCATATCATACATGCAATGAGTCAGTTACAATATATGTATGAAAATGTTAAACTTCTGTTTTAAATGTGGTGTCATGACGTGACAGTATGAATATGACCCTGTCACTTCTGCCCCTTTCATACAGTTCTCGGTCAGCCTCCCACACCACAGTGGACCCTGATGAGGTGAGGAGGTTCCAGTCACTGTCCGGCAAATGGTGGGATGAGCAGGGAGAATTTGCAGCGCTTCATGCCATGAATGACCTGAGGGTGCCTTTTATACGGTTTGTGTAGAAAATATATATTTTAATATTCATTCGATTTTTGATATACCAAAATGCCATGCTTCAGTCACTCTCAACACATAGGATTGAGTGGCAGAGGTGTCGGGCAAATGTGTCAAAACATGACCTGGAGGAACTCCAGCAGCCATGAGATATTTGAGAGTAAAAAATACATGAGGAAAACACAAGTAACATACATCAAAAGAGACAGGATTCCTTCACACAGCAGCATATTTTCAGGCAACAGCATACTTGAATGTTTTGGCAGCTGGCTCGGCTGTTTTGATTGATAAGATCTGCTGTAGGGGCCCCTACAAAATAACCATTACATTACCCATCCAGCCAAGAGTCCGCTCCAGCTCCTCCCTTCCCCCCTCTGCCCTGTTAGTAAAGGTTTTGATGATGATGTGTGTTTATGGTGACAGTATGACAGATCCAGTCCCAGTGTATGTCTGAGTGTTGTGGATTTGCCTGAAATAAGTCTCCCCTCGGGGCATGTCTGAATGAGAAGCAGCAGCAGCACCACTTCTACTGTTGCTATTGTACCTTTTTTGGTCACTTTAAGCTGATACTGTCCATTCTGACTCTTAATGACTTCAAAGTAATGTTGGGACATGACTAACTTCTAGATTTGGACAAATAAGGAAACAAAAAAAAATGAATTTGGAAAATTGTGTATTTATCTTGATCTAATTTCTAAAATACTGTATGTGGGGTATCGAACGTATAGTGTTCAGTGACTAAGTTAAACGTGAAGGTAAAATCATAGTGCTGTAATAATCTTTAGTTTAAAATTTATTATTTCAATTACAGAATTCTTTTTTTTGTGAATAAAAATGTTTTTATTATTATTATTATTATTATATATTTTTTTATTTTTATTTTTTTAGATAGCTTTACATTTCCTCTTTACTAAATAGCTTTTGTCTGCATCCACTTGCTTCAGGCAGGGAGCTAGTTAGGTGGATATCTGCTAACACCTCATCTTCTTTTCTTCACTGTTTGCGACCCAGCAGAGCTTTAATGAGGTTGATGCACACCCAGATTCTGGCCTGTTCTGCATGTTTAATGCCCGGGGCAGACTGTCATCAGACATGTGTAAGAAAAGCAAAGAGGGCAGAATGCAGGAAAAAAGGGGATCGACATGAACATAAATTGAAGCCAGAGGATATTGTTGTTATCCCACCCACACTGAAGCACAAGGTGAAATGGGAGTGGTGGTGACAGTCGATGGTAAAAGCTAAGTGTAGAGATTTTTACAACGTCCAGCTGCCAGTACACATCCCTAGATTTATCAGCATTTCATACGAGGCTGATGTTTTCATCTTAAATATGAAGTGGTGAAATGTTTGTCACAGAGGAGACTTGAATTGAAACCTGACTGCCAAATGTATCTTTTCAGGGACAACCTGCTGAGTGTGCACAGAGCACGGCATCCTGGTAGGCCACTCGCAGGACTGACAATCCTGGATGTGGGCTGTGGAGGAGGTCTGCTTACAGAAGTAAGTGTGTGTGTGAGAGAAAGGGAGATAGAATGAGACAGAGATAAATGCAAAGGCCCAGTATTATTAAGCACATGCAGGCAAAAATATCCTTCACAATATACATCCTCTGTTGATTCCCAATAGTTCCAATTGCCACCTTTCAGATCACATTGAGTCCTTTCTTTCCAGATGGCAGTCTGTTTCAGTATCAGATTCTGCTTTCTGTGCACTGGACTGCCAGTCTCTTGCATTGGTAGAAGCCAGAAAACATTTATATGCCAGCCTAATCCTGGTTTTCTTTTGAGATGACTGGTCTCAGCTTGGTGGATCGGACAGTCGGTCGTTTACAGTTGTTTATCTGTTTGTTAGTGTTGATAGCTGGGCAGCCATGACAGAGCTTCTGTCTCTGACTTCATTTGAAGTGAGGACATACTGGCGGTGCTGTGTGATCTAGGAAGACAAATTCAGGTCCTGTAGCTTGTGTGGCCATGGTACATAGGCTGTCATATTCAGACACAGACACAGAGGAACATACACAAAAGTGTCTGGTAAGATCGAAACTGCGGTCGCATCTCTGGGTGTCTTGTCACTTCAACCCCTCCTATCAGGATGGATCAGCTGTGTGGGGGATGAAGATCAGCCCCAAGGCAAGCAAATGCAGCTCATCACACAGGCATGTGTACAGACTTTATCCAGTAGAGGGTGCTGTTGGTTAAAAACATTAACTTCTGACTCTGGACAATCTTAATAAAGCTGCATTGACTTTTAACTGCATTTCTCAGATTTAATGAATATCAAGTCAGCTGATGAACATTACAGTGCTTCTAAACAGGGTTTTATTGGTTTGTTGGTGAATATACACAACTGATTTTCAGATTTACAGAAAAGCTCTGTGTGATTCGCTGTAGCTCATACTGACAACAATATTCTACTACAGGGAAATGGACTGGACATGATTGAAAGTTTTATTATTATTTTTTTTTTCTGTTCACATTTTTGTTGAACAATCTTCATTCTTTAGTTGTAAATACCAGCCTGACTTTGTTTTTGTAGGGCAGGTTTTCTTCATAAATTGGACGCATAATGGATCTATGCCTGAATCTCTATCCTCGTCCCTCCCCCCGTATCCCCTAAAGCCTTTAGGTCGCCTGGGAGCAGAAGTGTTGGGTATAGATCCAGTGGAAGACAGCATCGGCACTGCAAGGCTGCATTCGTCTTACGACCCAGACCTTCGGGACCGGGTCAGCTACAAGGCTTGCTCCCTCGAGGAGCTTTCAGCAGAGGAGGAAGAGGGAGAGTCAGAGGAGCTAGAAGTGTCCCAGTATGATGCTATTGTAGCATCTGAGGTGGTGGAACATCTGGCCGACCTGGAAACATTTGCCTTCTGCTGCAGCAACGTGCTGAAGGTGTGTCTTGGGACTGTGTGTGTGTGTGTGTGTGTGTGTGTGTGTGTGTGTGTGTGTGTGTGTGTGTCAGTTTTTTCCAGTGTTGAACACATAGCTGATATTTCTGTAACTGTACACTGTGTTTGCGTGTCCATCTGAGCGTGTGCTAATGTGTATCTATGATTCGATGTGTTTGCATCTATTGTGCATCACTGGGAATTGGTCAGTGTGTGTTTTAATCTGTGTGGGTCACGCTGAAACTTGACAAGACTTAGTGAATGCTGTGCATCAATACTGAGAGTTGATGATCATAATCTCGTAGGTCAGTGGGCCAGAGGAGCTGAGAGGGAAAAAAAGACAGCTTAATCTTTACTTAATGCCTCTGCGTTTGGTCGAGGCATGACTGCACTGTCCCTCTCTCTGGCCCCAATCTCTAAATTCTAAGTTTTTAAAACCAAAAATAGAATTTAAAATGCATCCTGCTACAGGGCATCTGTGCTGGAATGAATTATTGCATTGTTCAGATTCATGTCAGAGAAGTATTGCACTCTAGCACTCATCTTTCCCATTTCTTTTTTCCGTCTTTCTTTCTTTTTCTTTCCATTATACTTCTACATCCTCTCTTGTGACCAGAGCAGACTGAGGTTGACCCTTGACATCTAGTCTTAAAGTCCACAGTATACAAAGCTACAGATCCCAAACTTGGCTCCTTTTTAAGCTTTTCTGTGATCCAGCAGTCAGTCACCATATTTCTGAGACAGTGTGAACATGACTTTTCCGTACCTCTATCTTGATTGACAGGTTGTTGCAAGTTATTGATCAGAAAAACTGGGGGTCCAAAGCAGGATATCCAAAATAAGTAAAAGGCCTTAAAAGAAGATTTGAAACAAGTGTTTGCTGTTACTCTAAGATTTTCAATCCAAATAGAATTGGAATTACTAGGCCGCCAGGTTCACTCAGTAGTTGAAGCTCAGGCTTCAGTACAGAGGCTCTGGGTTTGACTTCAACATTTGTCCTTTGCTGCATGTCACCCCCCCACTCTCTCTTCCCATCATTTCTTCTCTCTTTGCTATAAAGGCAAAATTTGCCTCAAGATAACTATTAAAAAGGGTCATTTGGTCATCTCTTATCACACAGTACTTTTTTTCTTTTACTGCTGTGGGTATAGGTGCTCCCTTCTGGTCACTAGACAGAATGCACCTTGATTCTACCAATTTAGTATGTAGCATTAATTCATAGCAAATGTAAAGAACGGGTCTCCTTGACTACTCTTTGGTTTACTGCAAAGACTCAACATCACGCTAGATGAGATTAAGACTCTGCTTTATCTTAATCCACCATTAGCAGAGCACTTTGCAGAATCTGGTAAGTCACTGTGTTCAGGGAAAACTCTCTTTTGATTGGCAGAAACCTTGAGTTAAACCAGACTTTTGTTGAACAGCCATCTGCTGCGATCCTGTTAGGAACAGGATCCTCTGATGTGGTTTTACTTTGCGGACCTATAGGCTACTGTATGTCATCTTGTTATAAGCATTGAATGGGTTTGGCTCTGTTTCCACTGACCTAATGTACTTTATCTCCAAATCCATTCTCTGAGTGGTATTATTACAACAGTTCAGACCTCTAATGTGTAAAAAGCATCAACAGGAGTATGAGGTCATTGCAAAGTTATCTGAGCTACTGCAAGTGAACGCTATTTGTAGTTTTAATTATGTGCTAACAGTGTTTCTCCTCTCTGTGCAGCCAGGCGGCTCACTCTTCATCACTACTATAAATAAGACCAACCTGTCGTACGCGTTGGGTATTGTCGTAGCTGAGCAGCTGCTGCGCATTGTTCCCAGTGGGACCCACGACTGGGAGAAGTTCATCAGCCCTGAGGAGCTGGAGCGCCTTCTTGAGTCCAGTAAGTCCCTCCTCACACAGGGAGAGATGTTTTCCCTGTAGAGCAGATGATGTTTTCCATGATCTGTTCAGCAGATGGATATTCTACAGGTTACAAAGTTTAGGTTTATTCCCAAACAGGACAGCAGGTTTCCATACATCAGAGCATTATTTCCAGAGTGGAAAGGGACCCACTCGGGTGTATAAAAAAGATATAAAAAGCCTTGTTTATCAGAACAAACCAATTTTTGTATTCATGTGATTATACTCTCACTGTACTCTAGGGCTGGGTGATAAAACCATAACGATATATATCTAAGATTAATTTCCCTCAATATCGATATAAAACATGGTCAATATGCTTTTTGATTGTCGTCATGTCATGTTTTGGTAGATTATACAAATAGCCAATGAAAAGGGGAGTTACTGCGGGTCTGCTTCGCGCTAAACCAATCATGTGCTGAATTAGAACCAAGTAGTAAACAACTGCGAGGTAGCAGGCTCCAGCTACACGCAACCATAGTGCTTTAACACATGAAGCCAACAGCATTGTCAGTGAGAAAAAAAGAAAATGAGTGCTACCCCAGGCAGAAATGCAGATGAAGGCTCAACAGATGATGACATCGTCGACAACACTGGCACGAAAACGGTGGTGTGCAGGTGTTTTGGTTTTTTGAGTTCGGACATGAAGCAGAGTAATGTGCACTGCAAATTATGTCGCGTACATTCTCTCGCAAAGTCGGGGAATAACGCAAATCTTTTCCACCACTTGATGCAGTGCCATGCGGCAGAGCACGAACACTGCAGAAGGTTACAAATCCCAAGCGGAAAAAGGAGCCCATGGCGCCTGTGCAGCCAAAACAGCCAACCATTCAGTCCGCTTCCTACAGCGCAACGCCTTACAACAAAACGTTGAAGAGAAACAAAGACCTCACAGATGCAGAAGCTTATTGTATCGCAAAAGACATGCGTCCAATTAGCACTTTCAAATTTCATTTTTTGTATTGTGATATATATCGATATCGACTGATATGAAAAAAATGTATTGTGATAAACTTTTTCCCATTTTGCCCAGCCCTACTGTACTTACTGTATAGATATCAACTCTAGTTCTACCAAGTCTGTTCTGATAAATGCTGCTGTGAACAACTCACTGCACCATAAACAGCCTTGAAGGTCATTATTTTCCCTTTGTGTTTTTTTCAGACGGTTTCTCAGTGCAGTCTGTGCAAGGCATGTTGTACAACCCACTGTCAGGAGCCTGGTCCTGGACAAACAGCACCGCCATCAACTACGCCCTCCATGCTGTCAAAGTGAGAGATGATCCGCTGCCAGACCAGACAGAGGAGAGCAGTTCCTACCAAGACGGCTCTGCAGACACACACAGATGAGCTAAATGATGAAATAAACCAGGAAACAGAGGAGCATCTAGTCCCTGTTCCCTGGTGGAAGACTGAGGTTATAATGCTACAGGGCAAACCATCTGGATTGTAGTCACTGGTTTGCTCATAGAGTAACTTTGTGTTGTGCTGTTATTACAGTTGAAGACATCTTGAGTTTTTGTTGACTGGGTAAATGCAGCTGTCTGTCCTCTTGTGTTTTTCACATCTCATAGAGCTTCTAAAGCTGATCAACATCAATTTTAGAGCAAACTCTACGAAAGCTGCTTTGTATTCTAGGTTTGATATTAACTGATTTGCCATATCCTATTATGATCTGCCTTCAATCTTTGTGGAGGAGTGAGAGAATGACAATTAAATATGGTCGATGTTTCCCAGGCTGCGTGGAATAGCTGGATCTTCATGTTAGTTTCGGTGGTGATTCTTTAATCTAAAGCCTTTGCAAGAAGAGGACACAGTCACGTCCTCTGGGATTAAAATGGCTCTCGTGTGGAGTATTATATAATGCAAATCAACCCTGTGGCGGAGAAGAAATCAGGCGTACATGGTATTCTCAAAGACAGTGATAGCAGTGTTTGCAAAAATAATATTCATGTTTGATGAAGCTGTGAAAACAGACACGGGATTGGTGGATTGATCAGAGATCCTATGAAGAACTGTTTAAGTGACCAGAGTTAGACTGGTTATAATGATTTACGTCTTGTGTCAATGAATGTATTACGACAAACTTATGACTTCCCACATATCCTTTCTCCAGCTCCAGTAGTACCTGCAGAGTGCTGTCTTTTCCCTGCTCTCTTTATGAAAACAAACGCAGCTGCTCTAAGGCGCGCCCCTCAAAGCCACGGGAGCGCGCATCTAACTTGCAGTAGCCATGGCTGCAGTGAGGACTTTACGGCACATCACTGTCCTGTAGCCTGAACGCACATCGGCAACAAAGCAGGTCTTATCGATCAGGACAGATTGTAACCTGCTGTTACCGAGAGAAGAGCGAATTTCAGAGCCATCAGGTGGTGAAGGGTGGTGATGTAAGCTGTTACGTTGAGAGATTTATGAAACCTGCAGTTCTCCAACTTGTCTGCGTCCTCCTCTCGGTATGCCCGACCACCAGATTCACAAAACAACCGCTGGACTGAGCCTGCAAGATGAACGTCTTCTTACACTTCCGAAGTTGTTCCAAAGTAAGTTTGATCCCTATCCGTGTTTGTTTGCATGTCTCAGCTGGTGTCAGTTTGGATCTTAAAGAGGTTATCTTTGACCTGACCAAAAACAGACCTGCAGAAACAGTGTGGCCCGTTGCAGTAACAACTTATTTTATTTCATTAGAGCACCCGAACATAACAGCAGAGACAGAAGTGATAACTCAAAGAGCAATCAGACGTCTCGGCTCCAGGTGGAGGTGCTCTGAGTATTGTGAGCTGCCAGGTGCATGTATATCATCTCTACATGAAACACAACACTGAAGCTTGTCGTCATTGCGACTTGCTGGCCAATGGACACGGTTTGCATCACAGAGGGCCACTGGTTGCACTGAGATGCAGGGGCTCGTCAGGGCGGGGTGTCTCCCCCACTGGAGCAGACAATGGGCCTGCTGCGTCAAGTTACCGCAGTTACGCACGTTACCGCCGGACACTGTTGAAGTTTCACTGAAAAAATAAAATATGAGCCAATATTAACGTAAAATTAACTGCACATAACTGGTTAATTCAATGTGTTAAAATATTATCTTTGAATAGATTAGAGATGTAAAAACCAGGTCAACATTTGTGGTCCTGACAGAGTGGACATAAAATCTTGCTTAGTGGACAAGATGTTCCTGTAGCTCTAACATTATATACGGCCAATAACAGGCACATTCAACTAAGCCGTGTTAAAGACAGCAAAAGAAATATAGGCCTATTTTAAAATAATCTATAACAAAACACTGAACACCCAACCCAAACTGTGGTTTAAAAAATGCATAATATACTTCAAAACCCAAATTTCTGTGCTTTTAAAACAATATTTATTTACTGACATCCCAAAAATGTGTTGGTAAACTACATCTTTTGCTGATAAGGTCATTTGATCCTGTGATTTTTGCTCTTTTAAATGGTGTAACATCTAGCAAGTTAAAGACTGAAAGACTAGATGGTAAATAGTTTATTAATGTTTAATCATCATTTAAAAACAGCATATACACCAATTATAAATGGTAAGTAGACAGTTTATTAATGTAAGTTATGAGTTACTTTACCATTAACAAGCAATTTAATTATGATGAATAATTTTCATCAATTATTATTGGACTGTTTATTAAAGGTTTATATAGAGTTCAAATATTGGTTGTAAAACATCTAGATTACAAATGTGTGTCAGTAGCACGTTGTAAATGGTTAATAACTGTTTTTTAAACCACCTATAAACATTATTTAGATGGTTATTGTAAAGTTGCAACTGATGGTTGTAATACTTTGTAATTGATTATTAAGTGGTTTATAAACAACCTATAAACATTACTTAGATGGTTATTGTAAAGTTAGGGTTAGGTGTTTAAAATTATGCTATTAATAAATGATGATTAAACATTCATAAACTATCTGCTTACCATTTATAAATGGTCTATCTATCATGTGTAAGTTATGGGTTACCAACGTCACTGTTGCTGTTCCGTCAACAAAAACTGAGATGCCACCATTGAGTGTCCACCATACAATGTCCACCATTGATAACATACATTGTAAATCCCTGATGGCTTGCTGATGTTTCACTATTTCAGTGTTTAAACATTAAAAAAGAACCATAAAAACATAAAAAGAGGACATTTTGTCAATATTTTGAATTCCAGCTCACACACTGCCATAGAAAAGAAGGTGTTACCAAACCCCTGAAGTTATATTTTATTTTGAAAACCCTAACCGGAAGTGGATTTGTCGTGAGTTTGTGTAACCTGATGCTTGCTTGAAAGCAGCTGAGGGAAAGTGAGCTCTGTGTGTGCTGTAAGCATCATCTCAGGGAGGGGAGCTCCATATGTTTATTCCTGATTTCTGGAAGATTACCTGCCGCACCGCCGTCATGCCGTAGATGACCTACCGGGCGTGTAAATGAAGCCTAACGGGGACTACAGCAGGGAGGACGCTGGGTGGCTGTAACCGAGGGGGAGAAAGAGAGGATGTACTGGGCTGCTGGCTTCGCCTCTTCCCGTCCGTGTGTGGTCGAGCTGGGGCGGAATCACAGCCTGCCGCTCGGGCTGTGCGGCTCCGAGCAGCAGCAGTCGTTATATGGCTATATCATCGCCTTCCCTTTGCAGGACTACGGAGGCATCATGTCGGCTCTGGGCTCGGACTCCTGGTGGAAGAAGACCCTGTACATCACTGGGGGGGCCCTGCTGGCTGCTGCAGCCTACCTACTGCATGAACTGCTTGCCATCAGGTAGGAAAGTGTTATTGTTATCTACCTTTTTATGCAAACAGTGGTGTTTTTCAATTGATAAGCATATGGGTGTCACTAGACTGGGCTGTGATAGGCTGCATTTATGAATGGGCATGAGTGGGTCCCTCCATAGATTGCTGTTTCCTTGCAGATCTCGCGGTGATTTCTGGGGTTTCAGAGCCTGTGTTTCTCCTCCCAAGGACACGACACTTGCTGGGGAGGAAAAAAAAAAAACAAATAAATAAAAAAATAAGTCACGAGTCTGTTCATGTGCCAGCTCTCGTGCCAGTTCTGTCGGCACCTGAGCGTGAATAAACGAAGCGCTCCTCGGGCGCTGCGGAGTCAGAGCGACCTTTGATGAACTCTAGCGTAAGATGCACAACTGCAGCACACAGATACTGAGAGAAAACACCAAGTTATTTACCTCTACCTTCTTATGGGGGCGGAAGGATGGGGTGTGATGAGTCCCTGGGATGTAAACATGATTATCTCAGATCTGGGAGGGGGGGATTATTTTGGACCAGGCCAGTACCGGGGTGTAAGTACATCCTGTCACAGTGGCCTGGTAGTTTTTGCTTTCACTTCCCCTCCCCCTCCCCCCCTCGTGGTAATCTGTGTAACCTTGCATCTCGTGCAGAGACGTTGCTGCCGAATCACGTGCAGCCTACGGAGGCTGGACCCGCAGCCTGCCAGCATCATCTGTTCATGCCATGTGATGTGGTCGTTGGCAGTGGCAGCAGCTCTGCCACTATAGTCAGCTTCTATCCTCCATATTACCTCTACGTAAAGAGATCTTTAATGTTAAGAAAGCCCCTTAAGTGGGAGATTTGTACACCATATTAAAGTAGACTGGGGTATATAAGAAGGTCAAGATGCAGAGGACACGTCTCACAGTGATGTTTGGATACAGACTGTACAGAGATTTCGATTGAATTCAGCACCATATGACTGTGGATAGCAGCCGGCACAGTGGTGTAGTGGTTATTACTGTCGCCTCACAACAAGAAGGTCCTGGGTTCGAATCCGGCTTAGGGTGTTTCTGTGTGGAGTCTGCGTGGGTTAACTATGGGTACTCTGGTTTCCTCCCACATCCCCAAAACAGGAAGAAGTGGGGTTAGGTTAATTGGTCACTTTCAAATTGCCCAAAGGTGTGGATGGTTGTTTGTCTCTATATGTCAGCCCTGCGATGAACTGGCAACTTGTCCAGGGTGTCCCCCGCCTTCGCCCGAAGATGCTTGGATATAAGCTTATTCGGGAACAGGAATAAGCGGTAGAAAATGGATGGACTGTGGACAGCAACTTATACGACTTGGAATGGTTTCAGCACCACAAGGAGCTGGAAAGAGACACACATAAACTACTGTACCGGGTGTTATGTAGTTACCTGTTCATCTGGCAAACCAAGCTGAAACTGATGCAGTCTTTTAACACCGTCCTAATCTGAGCAAGGTTAAAGAGTTTGTTCTGTGGGACTGTGTAGCAACACACACTGTTTCTGTTCATCTGCATTCAGAGAATCAATGATATGAAAAAGATATTCACAATGACAGGAACACCAACAATAAAACCTGATACAATTCAATCACTACAACAAGTAGAGCCTCCAAAGTGATAGGCTAGAGATGGACCAGCTAATCTGGCAGATAATTGGTATCTTGAAATAATCTGCATCACATTAGCATCATTATTTATAATGGCGCCATCTTTAAATCTTAAATAGTAGCTGGTTAGTGTAGAATAATGCAGTTTAATGCTGCTTCTGACAAGATTATCATGAATTTAATAGGATAACTCAATGTATTTTCCCATTTCACAAATTAATAAAGAATGCATTCAAAACATGTTACTACCTAAGACAATCGTGGTTAAGATTGAAATGTGCCCAGAGTAATAAAATCAACTTTACTTTCTTTTAGCTTTTTTTTCTGATGTCCTTCAATTTGTTGTAATAATAACAGACAGAAATCCAAAAGTCTCTTTGGTACAATTTTTTTTACTGCGCTAAATATTTTTCTGTCTACAGTAATTTAAAACCTGCTGTATCAGCCATTGTAGTATGAACATTTGGAGGCCAAAAGGAAAGTAATGGTGTGTAATGTTGGACTGTATTGTTCTTTACTAAGACCTGTTATGTTCCTGAGGGTGGACTACAAAGATCTAACCCCCTGAAACGAACACTGAACCTTTTGGGTGAGGGGGTTGTGTAGTGCTACTGTGCTATTCCTCACCATATGATGGCAGCTGTTCTTAATAGGCTGACTGCTGATTGTATTATTCATGATAAAATAATAGATACAATTTGAGTACATACAGTCAGCCCACTTTAAAGTTCTATTGAATAATTTAGACTTACAGAGGTGGTGATAAAAGGAACGCCAAATAGATCAGCAGGCTCTGTCTGTCTCTGGGCAAAATCTTGGTGATGCCAGCCTGTAACATTTTCTTTTGCCACTTTTGGGAGGAGAAATTTGTGATCCGATCTGATTTTGGAGGTTTTTAATTTTGTATTTCTAGTGTTTGCTGTGTTCACTGAGTCTGCTGAGGGCAGTTCTTGATATATCCATCACAGACTTTGGCCTCAGTGTTTTTTTGATGGTCTCATCTTAGAAAAAGTGTTTGTTTCAATGAGGCCTCAAAGTGTCCTTACTACATATGAATCAGGAACACATGCATAACTCTCATCGTAAAATAAACATTTTAGAGCAACGACCCCCACATCCAGAGCTGTCCAAAGAACACAGACTAGCGATATAGTACCAGTAGAATATTTTCTTATAGTGTGTGTAGAAAACAGTCAAACAGTATGGCTGATCATAGATGACGGATGAGACTAGGCCAAGAGTGTATCTGCTTAAAACTGGGGCAGTACTGTGATTCATTTGGTCAATAAATTCAATTGTAACTGAAGCTGTGAAAACAACACAACTGAGCAGTGATAGTGATACAAAAAAATCAATATCAGCGGTTATGTAAACCCTCAAACTGCCATAGATTCCTGTTTTTTTTAATTCAAGTTACTCAACAAAAACACACAGGGCTTTCTAAATATTAAACAAACAGCTGTGCAGTGAAGTATTGTGTTAAAGTATTGTAACAAATAAGCAAAAGAGATTTTATCCTCATAAGGCTCAACCAGAAAAACTAAACGTAGGCTCTCGCAGAACAGTTTTGTGAAAGCTGATAAAGAGAAGCCTCGAGATTGCATAAAATTAAAGTGTCCATGTTTAGTAGGTGGTTGTGCTCAGGGACACAGGGATTTACTGCCGTGTCACTGCGCTATAATAAACTGCAGGTGTGACCCGTTACTTCCTGGAAGGTCTGTAGAGCCTGAAACTGAGCAGCAAATCTGGCTTCCTGTTTGGATGCTGAGTTCTGGTTAGTATTAATCTCACAGGCTGGCTGACCCAGAAAAAAACAGGTTGTTGGATTGACCCTCTTAGCCAGAATTTTTACAGTTGTACATCTGAATCAGTTATCATTCCCAGTCTCATCTTTTAAGTTTCGATAAAAAAAAGACTCTTTATTGATGCCACTGGTGTCTGCACAAAGACAGCTGGGTTTAAGATATCAAAGCTGATTGTCGTCCCTGAAGAACCATTCATTTGTTTTTGTTTGTTTTTAAAAAGCAGTCCCAGGGAGAGAGAGTATCAATCAAAGTAAACAAAAAGATATTACACCTTTTTGTTCTGTGTACTGTCAATCAAATCTTGAGGAAAATAGATCAATAAATCGTTTTCATTTATCTAACACAGTTGTCATAATCTGTTAGTGTAAGTTTAGGCAACCTGATCCAAACAACAGTGTTAACTAGAGAGTCTGTTATTTCTCCATCTTTTTTCTCTGTGTAGGAAGGAACAAGAGCTGGACTCTAAAGACGCCATCATCCTCCATCAGTTCTCCAGGCCAAAGAACGGCGTGCCCAGCCTCTCACCTTTCTGCCTCAAAATAGAGACGTACCTGCGCATGGTGGACCTGCCCTACCAGGTGATACTCGGCACACTGTTGCAAGTGTAAACTCCTTTAATGTCCATGCTAATGTTTCATGGCAGTTTGGGACTGTTTTACCTTTTTTTATTTTATTTTATTTTTTTACAAAAACCGACAAATCTTCGCACCTAAACTGTGGCGCATCACAAACTTTATGATTTATAATTTCTGAAAAGAGAGCTATTTTTACCCGTGTATCTTGTCTTTGGTGGCAACTTCCACCAGAGACATTTGTGTATCTTTTTCTTTTTTAATTCCCTATCTGACTATGAGTCCCTATTATGGCCTAACCTTTCAAACAATGGATCAATGCTAAAGTAAAACTCAATGGCCTCTTATATTAGGAGTCGTCCATCCTGTGCTCTAGGCTTTATGATTTTTTTTAAGTTTCTAACAAGATTATAAGAGGGTTGTTTCGGAATTTAGAGACCTTTTAAAACAACATGCATCTGTTGAAAATGTTCCTCAAATGATAAGATAAGATAAGATACTCCTTTATTTGTCCCACAATGGAAAATTCCCAATTTACAGTTCATCTTTTCCAAACCGACACCACTTTTTCTTAGATGAGAAAACGGAAAACAGGAGGAAGGAAGAGAGGAAAAAAAGACAATTCCAAACTCTGCTCCTGTTGGGGGACACATTGTAGGATCAGTGAAAAAACACCTCAGCACATAAGTAACATAATAAAAAACATCACAATAAAAAGAAGTGACCAAACTATTGAGAGGCTTTTGAGGAATCCTGGCTCACTAACTGGAAAACACAGTGTGATGTAGTGTTGAATATATTTAATATGATAATTCAAAGTCATGTTTCAGGAATCAGAAATAATGTATAACCATTTTGTTCTAAAAAGAGTTTTGTTTTTGTAGAATGAACCTTTTGTGATCAAATATTTTCTTTTTATTGCAAATTTGGGTTCGAATACAATAAGTTTCAATTACTTTTAAAATGCTAAAAAAAAAGGAAAAAAAATCCACCCCCCACTTTTATATCCACATGGAGGCCTCACACCAGGCCACCATCTTCATCATGTTTCTACGGTAGCACAGGATGGACAAACTAGTAACAGTCATGTTTATGTATTTTCTGAGTGGTCACAGAAAATGCAGCAGTTTGAAGATGAAAACGAAGAGAAGAATTTGTATTGATAGATGTTTTTGTTTGACATATGGAGAATTATACCTCTCATTTATCACAGAAGCTTCTTGTCCTTGAAGGCCACTGTCCTCTCATTGGTAGGAGGGGTGAGCAGCAGGGGAGTGTTTCTACATACTCTACCTTTTAAGCCACCAATAGGAATATAAGCCACAAATTATTAGTTGAATTGTACATATTCTGACTTGTAGCTGTTTCTCTCTGCAGAACTACTTTGATGGGAAGCTGTCGCCGCAGGGTAAGATGCCCTGGATGGAGTACAACCACGAGCAGGCATCGGGGTCAGAGTTCATCATAGACTTCCTGGAGGAGAAACTGGGTGTCAACCTCAACCAGAACCTGACCCCGCAGGAGAAAGCTGTGTCACGAGCTGTAACCAAAATGGTGGAGGAACACCTCTACTGGTAGGGGTCTCGTGTTGAAAATAAAAAACTTCTGTGTGATGGAAACTAGGAATCCCAATACCCCAGCTTTGATTGAAATTCCAGTGGTGTCAATGGAACAACTCTCAGCTTTTTAAAGGGCAAAATGCAGCAACTAGTTTGTATTCTGGAGATCCAGTTGTTCTTGAAGGCTGATTTTATGCATTTGCTGTCTGCACATATACACTCCTGATCACAAATTCATGTTTACAACATAATAAAGCCCGTCAGCCCATTGTTATGCAGTGGCAGGAACCACCCACACTGATCTCATTGAAAAAACACTGTCACATTGATTTCAACAGCTCAAGAGACATTTCAAGCCTTAGACCCATCTTGTTTAAGGTTTTTGTTCATTTCAGCATTATTTATGCAGCCCTCCAGCCCAGACTGACTCTATCCTCACCATCACTTTGTGTTAACGGCCATCCGTCGTTGTGGTGAGTCACTCAAGTACCTCTGGGTGAGAAGCACAGCGCTGCTAGGAAATCGTTTACTACTCCTCCCACACCCAGAGAGGCTCAAAGTGTTTTCCATTACCTAAAAGCTTCATCCATCATCACAATAACACCCCAAACACACACAAACACGCACTGAAACACACGTACACACAAAAATGCTATAATGTAATTTTGTCTCAATGCCTGCTCCTCTCTGTTGAGCGACATAAGGAGGTATTTTGAACCAAAGATGAGGACGTTCAGTCTGTCTGAGGCTGTAGAGCTAAGTAGAGTTACGAGGTTCTGTAACATTTCTTCAAAGCTCTAGAGGTCAGTCATGTAACCTACATCCTCCATTTCCTCCTTCCCTCCTTGTGTCTCTTCCTTGCTCTCCTTCCGCTTATCCTCCACCCACTCTGTGCCAACTTTAGACCCACATATAGACCTATTGATTCAATTATTTATGTCAGGGAAGGGCAGTGTGGCGGCATGTTGATCTCTGAGCTGCAGAGCATCAGGCCAGCTGACGCTTCCGTCATTTCCTGACAGCTGTCCTGACTGATGCTGGGATAAAAATAAGAAAGCAAGAAAGTGAAGGCCAGGCTGCTGAACTCATGGCTCGATACACAGCTGCAGGAAGAGGCAACAAAGACTTTGTATACTTTTTTCAGTGGTTGATTTTGAACCGTGATGAAGATACAGGCATTTATTAACCGATAGTGGGCGATAGTTTTTTCACTCCAGTCTGCAGTTCAGTTTGTACTCTAAACTGACAAACAGCAGACCCATATTGGACCACCAGGCTTATGGGCAAAGGTTTTATTCCCCTTTCTCTCATCATTATGTAATAATCTTCTACTCTGCAGTTTGTGCACATGTTGTAAGCTCTCCTTCTCTCTCTGTGGGTCTACATCTCCATTTTTTATGATGTTATTAAAGGCTAGTGAGAGTAAAAAGAGAAAAGAGAGAGTGTAATGGGAACTACAGCTCTTTTTAGTGAGCCAGATCATTTGGCTCCCAAATGGCTCTTCATTTTACCACTTATATATTTTCTAATTTAGCCAAATTTCGCGTTGTTTGGCTAATGATATGTACATATGTGTACACATACCTCTTAAATAATTCAATACATCCTTTATACTCAAGTATCCACAGGTAAACTACATTTTCTAATATCAGTAAATTGCTGTAGCCAATTGTTTTAATTGCAGTTACAGACCCTTGTGACTCTCTGAAACCACCATGGGAAACCATGAATGGACTGACTTACTTGTAGAATCACTCAAAGCAAATAGGAACATCTTTAAAAACTCAAGCACAGAAATAAAAAAGGACAGTAATTGAGATTTTCAATATTAATTTAATCACAAATGATTAAATAAATAACATAATAAAAGGAAATAGCTGTATTGCAATGAACAAAACAGCAGCATTTCACAGTTTTAGGTGTATTATTGAACTGACCACCATCAAGAATAAAAATGGCAGCAGCAAATATGTCCATGTAGATTCTCATTCATCCAGGTCATGGTTATCTTGAAGACTTAAAACAGGCAACTGGACTGTGTAGAGTTGAGAAGATGTTTCGCCTCTTATCCAAGAAGCTTCTTCAGTCTTCAAGATGCAGCAGCAAAGTTAATCAAATACAGAAAGAGAGACAAAAAGAAAGGAAAAAAAAGAAAACAGCTTACAGATGGGAGCCGGCTCCCATCGTTCACATTAAAGAGCCGGCTCTTTGAACCGGTTCGTTCATGACCAGCACATAACTAGCCCTAATGTAAAAAGGGGAAGCATTCAGCCACTGGACACCCACCACTCCCTCTTGTAATGTTAGCCAGATGCTTTAATTGAATTTCTATTGAGCCACCAGTCATGTCGAGTGATCGGACAGACTGCAGGCTGGACACAGAGGCTTCCTCTCAATCGTGTCACAGCTCATGGATTAGTCACCACAAGCCGAAATCTGACATGAGGCTTCCCGGCTTTCAGACAACCTGAGGTAGAAGCTCAGTCTGTATTTTTAGCAAGGTGGTTTGAAAAAGTGTGTTAAGAATAAAGCAGCTTAATCTTGTTGGTGTCTGCACGCAAAAACAGCTTGGCTAGAAAAACATCAGCAATGAATGTTCCAAACAGCGGACAGTTAACCTCCTTTAATGTGTATTTTAATGGGATCAAGGTAAAACAATTGCCTCTTATTGGTTTCCCTGATTAAATCTCTGCTGGTCACAGAGGATTAGGTGCAGATAAAGAGAGGCAGAATTAGAGAGGGATTGTGAGGGTGCATGTTTGGCTTGTTTGCACATAGACAAACAGGATCTGTATGTCTGTCTGTCTGCTGCCTGAAACAGATTTATTGTCATAGTAGCTGCTCAGGTTTCATTTTTAAAATTCAGCACAAGCAACATGTAATCTATGATGAGAAATACTCCAGAGTAACATTTATTTTCCTTTTACCAATGTCTTAAAGATTTTTTCTTGTTCCTATAACCCGTGTCAGTATGAGAGGTGGCAAGAGACCAGTCCAGACAGTTCCTCACGTTCATGACAGCGACCTGCAAGATTGAACGGCTGAATATTTGATGTTATGTCCTTGCAGCCATTGAGAGCAGTGCAGCTAAAAAATGTGGCAGTGGAGCGTATGGTGTGCTGCACTTTTATTGATTGAGACAAGATTTATTGTCATAGACACAGAAGGTTGATGGTAACTGGAGGCAGGGGCTCACAAGCCAAGATTAATACGTGTCCATGTGGATAAGGACCATTTTTTCTGTATGTTTTAGTATCTTGTTAGGTGTTGCAAATAGCAGCCTTGGATATAAGCTGATTTTATAATCTCTGCATGATCAAATTTCAGAACTTGTTTGTTTTGTAATGGCAGAAGAATCAGGAATTGATGGTTTTATGTATGAGTGTGATGATTCTGAAACGTTGGCTCGCCAAATGTGATAATCTTTTGTCTGATTTGAAACAGATCAATCTTTCACTCGCCTGTTTGTGTGTTTTTTTCTTCTTCTTTCTTTTAAGCCATGTTTCTCTTGCAGAGTGATGTTCACAACAAAGTTTGCTCTGTGTCGAGCTCACTCAGCAGGTTACTCATACTATGATGTTGGATGAGGTCAGTTGATGATGATAAATAAATGGGTGTATACGTTAGGGTGTGTTTCATTAGATTTATTTAGGTTTGATTCTGTTTGGCTCTTGAGGATGTGCAGCTGCAACCGAGAGAAAAAGACACTAAATCAAGTTTTGCAAAATGTACAAATAACTAAAAGACAAAGAAACAGCTTGTTTATTTGTAGTTAGTGGCACTCACAGGTAAAAACTGAGATGATACTATCAAAATATGCCCATGTTAAATAGGGCACATACAAAATTAAATGAAGTATTACAGTAACATTTTAAATTTAGATATTTGTAATAAGCATTGATTAATATAAGTGAGCACTTGTAAGACCTTGTAAGTGCTTATAAAGGTTTGTAACTGTTGTTAAGTGTTAATTTAGTGAACTATGAGATATAAAAGAGGAATCCTAATACCGCCACTTTGATTACAACTCCAGCGGTGTCAGTGGAACAATTCAGTTTATAAGTAACCTAATAAATTAAGTTACGTTAACTTAATTTCAATTAACACATTTATTATTGCATATAAGACACTTACAAGGCCATTAATTTATCAGTAATTTTAAGATACTGTTCCCACTGTAGATCTATTGCTGCAAAGGAGCATTAGCAGTTTATAGCTGCATAATGAACCAATTAGTAATCCCTGTAAAGCATTGATTTTAATCTTTCATAGTCTTATTCATGGTAAAGTTACAGTAAGAAGTGGTCTCTAAATGATCAGTGTTCATAAGAAAGCTTATAATAAATGTTAATTATGATTATGATAAAATCTTATAGTTATATAATGTTGATCAACATCTTATTTAATTCTGAAAGCTGTCTTTACTGTAATAAAGATTAAGTCCTGAAGTTAATAATGTAATGTTCATTATTTTTAATTAACTCTTTTGAACTGTAGTTAATGCTAAAAAACATCCCAAGAACACATATAAATGTTTATTTTAACCCTAAAAGGTCCTTTAAATAGTTTATTAACTATTAATTAATGCTTAATACAAGCATATGCCTTTAAGTATTCGCTCGTGTACTAGGTGTATGTAGGGGATGTTAAATTTTTTTTTTCTGATGCATTAATTACAGCATTGAATTACAGCAGCTCTTGTTGATTTTCCTGATCATGGTCAGAAAACACTGCCAAACTATTATTCTCATTAAGAATTACAGGAACATGAGGAACCCTCTTTTTTTTTTTTGAAAAACCCAAAGAACTAAGAAAAGCAGACAGAAGCTCTCAAGTTTTGCCAAGTCTGAAAGGATCTGTGCTCTAACTGAACTGGTGTTGGACCAACTTCCGCTATAACACAAGACTGTGTTTTGTCTTTCAGGACGATAGCCTACTGTCAGTGGGTGGACAATCTGGAGGAAACTCAGAAGCTTCTGGCGATGAGCGGCCCTCTGAGCGACACACTGAAGTGGATACTATGCCACCTGAATGGCAGCATGGTGCGCAGGGAGATGTACGGTCACGGCATCGGGCGCTTCTCCAAAGAGGAGGTGTACACGCTGATGGAGAAGGACATGAGGACTCTGGCCACACTGCTGGGTAAGAACAGGATTGTGTGTGTGTGTGTGTGTGTGTGTGTGTGGACAGGATCTTTAATGCCTCTTTGCCAAACCATTGCTCACAAAAACGTGCTCCATTAGGACATCAACTAACCTCATCACATTTATGAGCAGTAATCTACTGTACGTGTTCAAGAGATAACCCATCCTCTGTTACGTAATATGATAATGGAGTTAGCAGAGTTATTATTTGGAAACATAATGGCGTGCCTTTTTTTTTCATTTTAAATCCCTCTGCATTAGTGAAGAGATTTCTCTTTTCTTACGAAAAGTGGTGGGCGGTCATTGGTGTCTGTGAAAACTCAGTGTTGTGCACAATTTTATATGATAATGGACATGGCAGTCATGTTCAAGTGACAGCTGAAAGACAGAGTTTGTCTTGGTCGACAGAGGGGATATCATGTTGATATGAGTGATATTGAAATTACCTCTGAGAGCTGATGAAAGGCAGGCTGATGAGGCCTAATGAAGACTTTGAGGGGATGCTTAATAGGATATGAATATGATATGAGCAGCAGCAGCACTTCCTGTCTTATAAAGACGTTATTCAGTGAAAAGATTCAATTCATATGTGTCCTTTAATGAGAGTGTAATTGTTTTGAGTCGCCTTACCGAAAACATAAAGTTTATTTTCACAAGTGGCCATGCAGAAAAGTGTCAGAGAGAAGAAATAAGTGAAAACAAGTCAAGTTTTAGATGGCTCACACAAGGATACAGTATCAGAGTATTGAGAAAGAAACCAAGTGTCTGATGCAAGAGAGAAAAGTGATTTCCATTGATCTGTTTGTGATCTTTGAATGGGAAGCACTTGTTCTAAAACGGAAAAGTTTAATGGAATAAAAGTATCAGAACACTCTAGCTTTCCTTTTACTGTACGGCTCCTCCAGACTCACGTGTTCAAATCTTAAACTTGTTGTTGCCAGAGGTGCACTGCAGAGAAATGAACTGAAACCTGATATTAATGTCTCTCCATGACCTTCAAAAGCAAAAGTAAAACATCAGCCTAATTTCACCGGAGTAAATTTTAACGTTTAACGTTATTTTACGTTTCACTTTTCGTTGTTCCTGAAATTTCTAAGATAGATTTGGGTTAATGTGTTGGCTTATAGCCTGTTTGCCAGTTTTTACAGCTTGTTAAGTGTTTCTTCTTCAAGATAGCTGAGGTTTTGTTTTTTCTAGATCCATCTGTGATCCATCAGAATCATAAAAAAGCTTAATCATAGATGAATATGTGTGAGATGTAAGGTAAATAAATCAGGAAGTCTTTTAATCTATTGAGACATTTTTATACCACATTAATGTAAAAATTATTAATTAGTTAGAAAAGGTGATGGTTTTCTAATGAGTAAACTAACAGGTATTTAAGTCACTACCAGCTCTCTAAATCCTGATCCTTCATCCTGCAAAGCAAATGTGCTGCAGCTGACCTGAATGTGAAGCTTACTTGAGCTTAAATCAGCTTTACAGGTCTCACATTTTGGCAGGATCTGGCCTATAGTGCCAGCCAGTGCTCAGATAACTGAACTGGACTTCACTGTCGAAGAAAATCAGGTGTAACAACTGGAAATGTTACCATGCAGGTTTCACACGATAGAATTGAAGGGTAAAGGCTAAAGGAGAACGTAAAGTATAGATAATCATACCACATTAATGCACAGAGGGAAATCAGTTTTCAATCAGTTACTGTTTCCTTCATCCAAAAGCTGCCAAGTCTATTAAAATTTGACAAGCAATGATAACGATTTTTGATAAACCACAGTTTACTTCAGATGGATTAGTTCTCTTATTTCTAAGAATCTGATTTTAGGCGTGCAAGGTTGGGTTCAGTTTTTATCATCGCAAAACAGAGAGACTTTTATTTTGATCACTGACACAAAAATCAAAAAAGGAGTGAAAAGAAAAAGAGCTGATGACATTCAATCTTGTGAAAGCTCATCAGAGATTTTTGATCCGTTTTTTTGCTATGTGGACGTGTAAATGCAGGATCATCTGTCTGATATGCTGACAGCGCTGATTTTCTACTCGTTGGTCTTTCCATAATTTTCCTCTTCATCTTCATGTCTGCATCTTTCCTCAGAGCCTCCCCTATCCATCCTTCCCTTGAGCACAGGCTTTCCTCATCTTTTCCACCATCTCCTCGTTTTCCACCTCAAAGGCCTTCTTCCCTTCACACTCTGAGACTTTGAAACACACTCTGAATTTTTTCTGCATTTAAAGCCTTTCACATAAAGTTCTCCTTTAGTGGAGGATTTTCTGTCTTTTTTTTACGCTCTACTCCTTCAGTTAGAGAGCTCCCACATCCATGTAGGCCATCCTCACTGTAGCTGTCTAATTCTTTCAGAAATCTCCTTGTTGTGAAGTGTAGCATCTCCTTTAGCCTTATAGACCCTCCTTTTCTTTCCTTATTTTCTGAAAGCTTCTCTTTCTTTTTCTATCTACTCTCTCTCCAGCTGGAAAGCCTCTCTCATCCTCTGTATTTCTGTTTCTTCCTCATTGTGAGCCTCTCTCTGTTGCCTGCCTCTGTTGCCAGTCCTTTCTTTTCTCACACATGACCTTCTCCTCTGCTTTGAAGGTCTTCCTCCTCTCTTTGCTAGACTTTCCTCTTGAAGGTTGTCTTGAAGTTTTCCTCTTCTCCAGCTGGAAGTGGCATTGCCCGACCGTCTCAGTTATTTGAACCTGCTGCCTTTGAAAGGCTTCTCTCTGTCTGGTCAAACTTTGTCTTTCTGTTTCCACATTCTCTCTGATCTTTTTTTATGTGTGTTTGTCCACAGAAACATGTCTCACATCTTTTGTCAGAGGAGAGGTTTTGGCTTCTGCCTTGCTTTGCCCTCCATTTGCCCTCTTAGCCTTTGTTCCCCTTTTATATATCATTGGGGTCAATCTGTGTGCTGGGAATCATTCAGTAAACTTCCAAAAGTCACTATGGGACACCTTTAAAAGCCCTCATCGATTTCTCAAATCAGGATCAGAGAGTGAAACTTTGAGAAAAAACTCAGTCTGCAAAATACAGCTTTTCAAATTGTTGATTTAATTACAAATATTTTGGATAAATATATTTTTGAGTGAAGAGAAAATTAATTCTGAACAAAGCAGAGCAAATATCTGTTTATCTGTGACACTGCCTACGGCTGTTTTCTTCCTTCCAGGAGGAGGTTTCAGTCAGCCTTGCTGGTAAAATAATGTTTCTCTGTGAGGCTGCTGGTTATTTTGAGACAGGGTGTTTAAGGGGATAGTTCAGTTTTTAATTTATTTTTTTATTTTTATTTTTTGGAGACGTCGTCTACTGTCCCAATATGAAGGCTAAATCATATCCCATTATAGACAGACCGAAGAGACAGAGGTTTCTTCTCACTTTAGCTGCACATCAGACAGCTCTTCTCATCAACACTTTGTCTTACTGCACACAGCTAGATGTGTACCTGCACATGTAGTGCATGGTATGAGAACATCTGTTTTGGTCGGCTGCAAGAAGAGACAATAAGTAAAAGAAAATACCAGATTACAGAAGAACAAAATGTTCATCACCGTGGAAACAAGAGGACACTTTGATCAACCAGAGAGCACACAGAAAGCAGTTTTACAAATAGGACTGGCCAGAGACATGAAGATATCAAATACTTTAAGGTCCCTTCAGGTGCATGTTTGAACTCGAGCATTATGAGTCTAAATTAAGCTGTGTTTTATCAGACTTTTTTATCTGATAAATAAGCAAAAACCTGGAAAAAACACTTGGAAAAAAAGAGTCTAAATAAGACAGCACAGATGTGATGTTACTCTTGGTGATTTTTACCCACATTAATCCACTGACTTTTTTTTTTTTTTTTTTTCCCCCCGAGTAAAAAGGTGTCCCAGTGAAAAATAGTCTTGATGAGGTATGTGGGTTACTTGGCACGCAGATCACATCTTGAGATGTCGCTGTAGCTGTTTGAAATGTTTTATTCAATACTTGACCAACAGCTCCACAAATTAAATCTCCTCCCCTCTGTTGTTGCTTTACTTGGTGTTAGAAAATGTTGCCCGATGTCACTAAAATTATCTGCATTGCCAGAAACCTGCAGAGGAAATGAGTTAAAAAAGTTTAAAAGAAAAAAAAAAACTGAATCTGCTGTGACACTGCAGTATTTACAGCAGAGCTATATAACACACACACACACACACACACACTGAAGTTTATAGTATTCAACACACATGAAGGACCATATATGTTTTCTTGCCAAAAGCAAGAAATAAAGAAGTGAAAAAAAGAACTTAAATTATATGAAAAACTTGCTCACTTCCACTTGATTCCATTTTTGAGAAAAGAGGACACACCTCTCTTCATCAAAACTTCAAATATCTGTTTGTTCTCTGTCCTTTAGGAGATAAGAAGTACTTTATGGGCTCCAAGGTGTCAACTTTAGATGCCACAGTGTTTGGACATCTAGCCCAGGCGATGTGGACTCTACCTGGGACACGACCGGAGCAGCTTATAAAAGGTCAGTAGATGTGGGACACTCAGAACCAGCTGACTGTATAAAAGCATCATCTACTTGTTATTTTGTTTGAGCACATTATTTGTTACACATAACTGTAATATGCTGCACTGTACTGGTCTGTCATGGAGATGTCAATTTCAGCCACTAGATGGCAGTGAGACTCTACTGCAGTGCTCTGATTTGTTTTAAATCTTGCACACGGAGGAACATTTCAAGTTCTCATGTTTTCAAAGAGCAGAATCACAGCTTGTAATGTCACAAATGAAGATTTTTAGTTAGATTTCACTTTGATGTATAATTTCTGAGGAAAAGGCTCATAGTGAAGGGATGTCAAAAAATATGTCCTTGCAAAAATCCCAGTTGTGTTGTCTTTCTTTCTCTGAGACAGCCTCTTGAGTATCATTGAGCTCCTGCTGTTCTTCATCTTGTGTCTCTGCTGTTCCTTGTGTCTACGCAGGAGAGTTGATCAACCTGGCTATGTTCTGTGAAAGGATGCGGAGGAGGTTCTGGCCTGAGTGGTTTGTGGAGGTGGAGGATCTTTATTATGATGGAGACAGTGAGAGCAGCGGCGGCGGCGGCTCACCTACAGGCCAGCTGGACTTTGGCCTCTTCTCCAGGACGGACACTCTGGAGGACAGCGAAGCCAGCAGCCACTCAGCCGGACACTCACACACACACTCCCCCGACTCTGACCACTCTCTCTTTGACTCGGACGTGGGCACAGGATCTGACAATGACATGCAGCTTAAGGAAGAGCTGATGCCCGACCTGGAGGTTTGACCTGAGAACAGCCATGATTGGCTGACTGACTGAAACTGACAGGAGGTGGGAGACGTCTGGCAGTCTAGAAATGCTGCCAGACAAAAGCTCACTCAGTTGAACAAAGTATTCCAGCTTCTCCACCTCCAAAATCTGAAGTGATTTACCTTGCTGATCAAACTGGGTGTTCATATGCAGAGCATAGAAGCTGAACCTCATAATAAACATGCTACTGCATGGTTCGTCTCCTCCTGTTATGTCAGAACTGTCTGCGTGACGGTTCCTCTTTGCCTTATTTGTCTTGACCCAAGATACAGAAGCTGGCGTGGAAAGGTTAACTTGTAGGAAACATCTCATCTCATCAAAAGTGCAGAGATTACAGAGTACTGTTGTAGAAAAGACAGGTGGCACTTCACTTGGTATGAAACGATGCAACTAATCACCACTCTGCCATGTGTCTTAACGCACAAACCCATTCGAACAGGTGGAGATTGATCATGTGGCTAAAAGGAACAGCTGCCGTGTCTCAGCTGTTAACCATCCGAGTGCCGGAGAGGAAGCACAGATGACATTGAGCGCCAGTCCATGCTCTAAATCGATCCTCATGTCATTTCCTTTATGCTTCTGTGCGTGGGGAGAGTCTGCGTCAAACATACTGTACGTCTCCATCAGACCACAACCTTAGATGCACATGTAGTCCTGTGGAGAGGAAGAACAGGAAGAAGGCGGTTCAGATTTGTGCCTGTTTTATTCATCGGTTATCATTAATGTTTATATCCTAAACTAATTATTCACTCAGTTTTTTGCTGTAGATGAAGATTTCAATCATCAGTTGGTAAATAGCTGTTGTTTAACTTTTGACCACTAGATGGAGTCGGCCGTCAGCCTGATGCCACCTTTATTCTGCATCATCAAGGTCATTTCACCCTGAACTGTTGCCCGTTACACTCAGTAGATTTTTCCTCTTTTAACTGTAAACTTTGATATCAAACTTCTCTTTCAGAAACTACATGTCTGGGTGTGTAGACAGGAAATAAATGCATGCATTTGCATACACACAAACATATCAGCCTTAGTTCTCTCAGACTGTAAATGTTATAAAAGTCTACAGTGTTTTTTTAGTTATATAATTTATTACCAGTGCCACTTTATTCTTTACGGGATCGTATGTGTCAAATATATATTTGTTCATTTTTATGTTCTTATTACTCTCAAAGAGAGACTTTATTTTTGCACTAGTGGAAATTTATTTTCACCTTATTTCAGTGTGGGCAGTCTGCTGTAGAGTTAGAGAACAGAAAGGGTCAGATGGACGGGAACGTCTGTGTGTATATCAGTAGTTTAGGAGGCCGAGATTTCTGATGACGATTGTGTCGGGAGGGGTCTGTGCTGCTTTTATTCGGTGTGTGTGTGTGAGAGAGAGACAGAGAGAATTTTCAGGGGTGTGAATGTCATTAATGGGGGGGTGTGGGGGTCTTTGCAGAGACAGTCAGAAAACCAAATCAGCTGAAAAGATGTTGCTATATTTGAAAAACAACCTTGTTGATAAAAATGGACCAAAATGATTCAGGATGTGTTTGCCTTTGTCCATCACCTTCAGTTTGGTAGGATGTTTCATTATGACGAGAAGATTGACGTAAGAAAAAAGATTGTGGTTTCTATAGAGTAGATATCAGGCTATGGGTCACTTTATTATAGCATCAAAAACAGCAATGCCGTATTCAGTTACACCTAAATCCAGATGCAATTTCTTTGGCTAATCCACAGAAAACACAGTCAAGATTCTTCATTAGGGCTGTTTGATTATAAAAAGAGAAATCAGGTCGAGGTTGGTCATAACTGATGCTTAAAACATTCAAAAGAAAAGATAAATACTGTATAACAATCAAGCATGACACTGTTAAATGACACCTCTTTGCTCTTGTGTCTGGACGTGTTAAATGATGAAGATGATGACCACGCATACTGTAGTTTCATCAAGTCTTTCAACAAACAGCCTCACCCTTATTTGTGATTTTTCTGTTATTTTGTTCTATTTAAGAAGCTTTTCAGATCACTCAAAGCGTTGTTTTCAGACAGAATGATAAGCCATTTCTTAACTGTTTCTCTCTTGATCGTACGTTTTTCACAAATGATCAATCAAATGAAATTTTGCTTGACGAACCCGCAGAGAATCAAACTCTGCAGCTTGCCTCAGCTAAAGGAGCGCTCAAGCATCTGTTATATCACAGATTTTTTTAAATCCCAGATCTTCTCTGTTTTGTTTCTATACTCTCAACAACAATGTCGTTTTAAAATGCAGCAAGTTAAATTTTGAATCAAAGAAAGTGATTAAAGAAAAACATTGCACAATATTAAACAACTAACAAACCAAGTTTACAAGAAGATAATGGAAAGAAGGGACATTAAGCTGCTTTTTAATAGAAACGGGTATTTCCCTCAGGAGCAACTAAGTTATTACTGGACACTCCAGATTGAAATGAGTGTTGCTCAAATGTGTACATAAGCAGCTGTTGTGTAATAAGTTTGCCAATTTCCAAGCTGTCAACTCTAGAGGTCAATAACGGAGTATTTCTGCAGCTAGTTGAAGAAAATGCAAAAGTAAAAATATTTGAAAGGTGGAAACTAGAGTGGCGCCTCTGTTGAACCAAAACCTGTGCAACTAAATGTCATTTTCAATGCCGTAAGCACCTCAGCTTAAATTTGCTTTAACTCAACAGCTTTGGTTTGGAAAGAGAAATCTCAGAGACTAACACAGAGCCAGAAAACAAAGCCATCAGCACAGCCACACAGCACCCAGAGTAGCTGAGGTGATACGAGAAGTGTTTTTGCAGTTTTGGTGAAGCGACTCTTCAAACAAGGAGAATGATAAGTTAGTAATGTGAGACTGTAACGTGATTCAGATATTTGGGACTATGAAAGCAACCTTCTTTCGTCGTGTCGCCCTGTGGTTCGCACTCTAACCCACCCTGGTCTGGTCTGGTCTGGGTTGTGTTCCTTTCAGTCGCATCATTTGGGCCTGACGTTGTATACCTTTGGACTGCGTTAATCAAGCCATATTAAACCTAAATGTCTTGTGTCATTGCATTACTTCCTTGGGTAATGTAAATACTGTATGTGTGATAAAGTGTACCATACTGTATGTAGAGCTGACTGATTGACAGGTTATGGATGTGCAGTCATAAATGGAGCGACTGGTTGATTTCAATAATAAAAAAAAATAGCTGTGACAATTTTAAACCCACTGGTGTGGTGAGTTTTTATCCGCAGCCCTGCATGTCTCAGGTTAATAACAGGCTTGTGATGATATGATGCTGTTTATTGAGCTCTACACTGTATTTAAGTCATCTGTCTGCAGATTGTGCTATATTGTCATACCTCTAACTGTATTTTCTGCGCGCTGTTGTGTGTTTCAATCAGGCTAACAAGTCATAATCATTCAGGGGCGGATTCAAGCTGATTAAGACTCTGCCAGCCGCTGGAGGCGAGACAGAAGGAGAGAGGAGAGGAAAGCAGGAGCTGGAGGAGAAAAAAAGTTATGAAGAGGATGAGGGAAAAAATTAGAACGACGTTGAGCCAGGGCAAAAAGGCAAAACAAAAGGTGCATGTAACCAGGAGCAAGAGGAGAATGAGGGATAAAGAGGAGGAGAGGAGCAGGTGGTGGAGACGAGAGAAGGGGTGAAGAGGCCAGGACTGAGGAGTGAAGGGATAGAGGGAAGTCACGGGGGAGCGAGGAAAGGAGTTTTGGAAGGGGAAGATGGAGAGTTAAAGTTTAAGAGGAGAAGGAAAGAAGCTGCAGAAGAGAAGGAAAAGGAGAGAAGGAGTGAGGAGAAAAATGTGGACAAGAAATGGAAGGAATTATAGCAGAAAAGAGAAGAAGAGGAGGCGGCTGGGCTAGGGGCTCGGGGAGGAGCGAGGGCCACGGATCAGGAACCAGGCTCCTGGGGGATGGAGCAGGTGCAGGCTGCGAGCGAGGCCTTTGGGCCTGAAGGGGCTGCCAGAGCTTAAAACAATCTGCACTGCTCCTTTTTTAATTTGGCTCTCTGAACAGCCCACCCTCCACACTGACTGTCTCTCCCTCTCTCTGCTTAACAGATCAGCGATCCACAAAGAGGGGTAAACACACAGAGCAAAATTAAAATCGGAACTCCCCTGGCACGGAAAAACAAATTAGAGCAAACAAATTACTGAGAGTCAACACACAAACAGTGGAGCATCTGTGGCTCTCTGGACTACTGCAGCCGGTGGCTACCTCCCACACCAGCACCATAACCTATAGTACATGATCATGATGGCAACCCTACATACTGTTTACATGGACTCCTCAGATCTACATCGGTCCTCAGTAAGTCTTCACAGCCTGTTTCTTGGCATAGAAACATTTTCTTTCTCACGGTAAAAGTTGAGAAGAGCTTTAGAAGATTGAAATAAAGTGGAGGTGTGTTTTGATAAGCATCTGCTTGCCATATATAATGTAAAGAAGTGTTTTTGATTCTGTTCTGACTTTTTAATGCAAACACCTGCTTCCCTTATTGTCTTCTGCTGATTTATTCCATCCATACAGAAGCCATTTTTTTCAACCAGAGTTTAAGCACAGGTGCCACTGAAGAAATGATGCTGGCAAGCTAACACATCTGGGCTCATATGTACAGTTTAATTCTAGCATGTAAGTATGTTACGATTTACTAATCAACATTAAAACTGATGCTGACTAAGTCTTGAGGGAGGTCATTGTACAGCTTAAGACTTTGAGTCCAAATGAACAATTACAAGGATATACAAGGGGGTTATGTTATCAGAAGCTTGGTAACTCTTTACTTGATGCCTATCTCTATAACACATTATAAATATGTGTATAATGCATTATAATCATGTTATAGCACTGTATATGTATAGTTATAAACACTCATAAATGATCACAGTGCTTTATAGCAAAAATCCCAACATATTATAAAGCATTTTATCATGACTTATAAGGTCAGGTATTATAATGTGTTATAACAGCTCACTACCAATGCCCA